GGCATGCGTCATCGAGGCTTTCGAGAAGGTCTTCGCACCGGAGGTACGCCAGGATCGCTTCCTTGCTGTCAGGAGCGCGTCTAACCAAACTTACGGGGCAACAGAACCCGCGCGAGGTCGCCGTCGAGGAACTTACGATCCAGGTCATGACGCTCAGCCTGGGGAAGTGCGAGGAACCCGACACGGTCTATTACGAGGAGGTCATCCCGACGCTGCTCGAGTTTATGCAGCCGACGACTTCAATCAAGCACCTGCGCTTCTTTGGCTTTGGCGACCTCCGGTGGTGGAAGAACAACATCCGCATCGACTCGATCGAGTGCGTCACGCTGCACGAGCATCCGTCCGGTACCGACTACTCCCAGGTACGTTCGAGAAAGAGCTCTGCGCCTCCTCGGGATCAAGCCGAGTTCGCTTACCGCTCTGCAGACTACCAAGCGCGACAATCTCGCCTCTCTCCCACACTTTCTCTCCATGTTTCCCTCACTCCGCAAGCTCATCATCTCAGGCTTCGGGCTCGTCACGGACGAATCCGTCTCTGCGACGCCTATCCCGCCCGGCTCGTTCGCCGCTCCCTCCGGCAACGACTCCTCTCAGGTGCGTTCACCGAGTCAGTCATGTTCCCGCACATCGCAGGCATCTCACCTTTGTCGCGCCTCGTCTGGCTCCCCAGAGGGACAACCTCGTCTCGACCTACCTCCCCTCCGTCTTCAAAATCCTCCCCCACCGCCCCCTGCGCACCCTCGTCTCCGCCATCCCTGCCTCCGTCTCCGAAACTGTCGCCACGAGCTCGGGTCTCCTCGGCGCGGACAAACCCTCCACCCCAACTACCTCGCCCAGCTTCTTCTTCCTCGACCACGCAGACCGCCTCGCCTCGCTCCTTGCTGATTTGCAGAAGAGCCGAGTGGAGGAAGTGCGATACCGCTCGAACGTGGAGAGTGAGCGCGAGGTGCGGATTAGGCGCGAGGGGAGGGGAGGGCAGTGGGAGGGCGAGTGGTGGGATGTGTAGCGGAGAGGGTGGTGGAAGGGTGGTGTGGGCTTGTACAAATGAGCAGGACGTTTCGATCCGCCAGACTGATTGCGGGTGGTGCAGCGAGAAAGGAGAGGTGAGGCAGCGATGAAGGAAGGTCAACTGAGAAGCCGACGAGACGAACAACCCTGCATTCTCTTCTCCCCGGCAGCAGCGAGTGCTGCGAAGGCTCAGCGCAGCGATGGAAGCGGGCGCGAGCAAAGAGGGACTGAACGAAGGAGAGAAGGCCTTCGCCTCTCAGACGCGAATCTCTCGCCAACACCTCGATCCTCGCTCCTCAAACCGCAAAGAGAGAGAGAGAGAAAGCAAGCGCATGTGCACATTCCCCCGCTCCTAGCGAGTAACACCCGAGCGAAACTACAACCGGACCCGCTCGTTGAGGAGGAGAGAACACACACGACGCGTTGCCTCGTCGAGGGAGGGGGGATGGCGAGTACCTTAGTCGAAGAGACCGAAGCCCCTGTGGAAAGAGGAGAGTTAGTATGCTATGGGGCGAAACGGGAGCGAGGTTGGCGGAGGAAGAGGGGTGCGCAGAGGTCTGGGAGACCAAGGCGCGAAGTGAAAGAGGGGAGAGAGAGGAAAGCTCGATATACATGTCGTCGTCAGATTCTTCCTCCTGATGTGGTAACGATAGAGGGGGTCGCGGGCGAGCAAAGGTCAGCCTCAGTGGACGAAAGAAACGGAGGAATCCGACGACGATCCTCGAAATCGACGATTTGAACGCACCTTCTCGGCGGGCTTGTCCTCGGCCTTCTCCTCGGCGGCACCACCAGCGGCAGCGCCGCCAGCAGCAGCGGCGGGGGCAGCGCCGCCCGAGGGGACGGAAGCGAGCTTCTTGGATCCCTCGGCAATGACCTCGTTGACGTCCTTGCCCTCGAGCTCCTTGATGAGGACCGAGAGGCGCTCGTCGTCGGCCTGAATGCTGCATGCGAACGAGCGTCAGCGAGTGAGCTGGAGGGAGGGGAGAGCGAGGGGAGGGGACGGACTCGGCGGCGGCGAGGACCTTCTTGACGTCCTCGGCCGAGGGCGAGGTGTTGCCGGCAGAGACGAGGAGGAGGTAGGCGGCGACGTGCTTCATCTGCGTAGTGGACAAGAGTGTACGTGCGGGTGTCAGATGTGCGGGTTTCGAGGAGAGGGGAGTTTGCTGTAGTGTGCGAGGTGTGCCCGCCCGTCCGCGTGTTCCCAGCCCCAGTCAACATCCTCCGCTGCCTTTATCCACCCAGTGCGCTCTTTCTAGCCCCTCCTACCGCGTGCGCTGCGAGGTGTCGGTCTTTTTCGAGGCAGGTGGTCGACGAGTTGTCGGTGCGAGATGGTTCGAAGACGGGTGCCGAGAGCGAGAGAGAGTGAGAGTGGTGATGTACCGTGAGCTGGACTGGACCTTTAAGCTGTGTTGAGCGGCCGCGCGATGTGAGAGAGCAGGGAGAGAGCGAGCGGGGCGAGGGCGAGCTTTTGCGGTGCGGTCGGAGCTCGCGCGCACGTCCAGCCAGCGACGACGACGGGCGCTCTCTCTCTCCACTTCGGTCACTCCCACAGGCAAGTAACTCCCTCTCACACACTGCTACACAACACTCCCACCCCGCCTGTCAACGCCCAAACGCGCGCGAGCTCAGCGCGACACCGACTCGCCAACTTCGACACAGACGCTCTTTTCGCACACCGCTCGAGCGACACACGCACCACACGCCACCGTCAGTCATGCATGGGAATGGAGTATCGGGCGTAGAATGCGCGGACGGGCGGACTGGGCGCGCAGGGAGGGGGTGAGGAGTGTCGAGGCGGGACTGGGTGGGAGCTCGAGGCAGCTGGACAGGGGCAGGTGACGGGCGCATGGAATGGGCTGGATGGGCTCACGAGGTGCAAGGACAAGTGCTGCTGGGACACTGGGACGACCGCCTCGACCCGCCGCAGCCCACGCCGTCGACCCACCTCAACCACCCCCTCACATCCTCGCGCAACCCTCGCAACACGGGACTGACTCCCGATATGTGCTCACGCAGGTCAATATGAACGCTGACGAGGCTGCTGCCGAGCGCCGCAAGGCCCGCACCTTCAAGAAGTTCTCCTACCGTGGCGTCGAGGTGCGCACTCCGCTCTCACCTCCGCCTGCCGCCCCTCCGCTGACTGGAGGACTCGTCACGTGTGCAGCTCGCCCAGCTGCTCGACCTCGACTCGGCAGCCTTCACCGAGCTCGTTCACGCGCGTGCCCGCCGCCGCTTCCAGCGCGGCCTCAAGCGCAAGCCCCTCGCGCTCATGAAGAAGCTCCGCAAGGCCAAGACCGAGGCTCAGCCCAACGAGAAGCCCGCCGTCGTCAAGACCCACCTCCGTGACATGATCATCGTCCCCGAGATGATTGGATCGGTCGTCGGAATCTACAACGGAAAGGTCTTCAGTGCGTCAACACTACTCCCTCCCGTTCGAGTAACTGCTCACTCGCTGACGCTCGTGTGCGCAGACTCGGTCGAGATCAAGCCCGAGATGGTCGGCTTCTACCTCGGCGAGTTCTCGATCACCTACAAGCCCGTCCGCCACGGTCGCCCGGGTATCGGTGCCACCCACTCGTCGCGTTTCGTGCGTCTCACCCTCCCTCCCTCCTCACCCTCCCTTGCGTTCTGGACCGCCTCGCTGACTGTGACGGTGTGCGCAGATCCCCCTCAAGTAATTTGCGAGAGGTTGGAATGGGCGCTTTGTGGAGGCGGGCTCTCGGGTTTGTCGAACGGACGGACGGGGGCTTTGCTCTGCAACGTGTGGTGTTTTGTACGAAGGCACGAGTCGAGGCGTTGCAGCTGCGTGCGAGAGAACGCGGAGCGAGGCGGCCGAGTTGGACGCCGCGTTGCTCGGATTTTGACACGGGACACGCTGGGTTGAGACTGTAGACATGCTGTCAGGGAGCGTCCTTCGGCGCCGGGACTTACGAACGAGGCGAGCGTTCTGGCTTCCGTCGGTAGCGACGTCGCGCCCTCGCTCCGCCTCTTCCCACCCTTCTTGCCTTCCTGCGCTGCTGCACTGCCTGGACGACCCAAACTACCCAGTCGACCCTCTCCATCCCTCCAGCACCCCGCTCACACCTCTCGCGCCCGTCTCCTTCGTCATCTCCGTTCGCCCCTCTTGACATCGCCGCAATGCCCCCTCCGCCACTCATAGACCTCTCAGACCTCGACCCACTCGCTCCGTCCTCCTCTTCGCGCTCAACGCCACGAACAGGCTCGCCAAAGACGCAGGGACCGCTCTTTCCCCCACCTCCTCCTTCCTCCTCGTCCTCCGCTACACCGACTTCGTTCGCGCCGACTATGCAGGAAGTTCGTGCGGAAGACGTACGGACGGGAGAAGACCCGCTTGGGGGACTGTTGAACGGGCTGGAGGTCGGCTCGTCTTCGAGTGCGACTCAGGTGAATGTAGCGGATCGCCTTCGACGGGCGCAAGAAGCGCGTGAAGAGCGGGTTCTGCAGGATTTGCAGAGGGAACCGTTCGAGGCGACGAAACCTCCGCCTCTTGCGTTCGTCGACGAACCCACCTCGCTTCTCCCCTCTTCCTCCTCGACACCTTCTTCATCCGCCGCGCCAGTCTCGATCCCCCCTTCCCCGCGCCGCCGACCCTCAATGAGCCACGCGTCCTTCTCCCCACCCCGCCGCCTCTCAAGCCTAATGGACCTCTCCTCCTCCACCTCTTTCCACACGCCCACTTCTCCACCCGCCGAAACATCCGTCTTTGCGGATCCTTTTCATTCGCCTGGACATTCTCGAAGTCGGACGCGGACGAAGAGTGGAGGGAAAAAGGAAGGGGAGGGAGAGGCGGAGGAGTGGGAGAAAGGGATCGAGCAGGCTATGGAGGGGAATATCAGTGCGGAGTGGGGGGACTTTCAGGATGCTGACATTGCTGGGTCCTCTACGAACACGAACGGAGGAGGGGGGCTGGGAGGGAGCGGGATATTCGGGTCTCTCAGGTCTTCCTCTTTCCCTTCCGCTGCGAGCGCCTCAGCAACGCTCTCAACAGCCGCATCAGCATTCACCTCTTCCCTCGCCACAAACACCCACTCGACCCTCTCCTCCTTCTTCTCCCAACACACCCAATCACACTCTCAATCCGCACACGTCTCGTCTCTCGCTTCGCCCGACGTATTAGAGCGGAAACCTCAGCCTCAGAGAGCGGCGACGACGGGTCAAGGGGGGTTCGATCCGGCTGCGCAGCCGATCAAACTTGTGGGTGTTAGGCCGGGGGTGGTGCGGGTTTTAGAGGAGGATGTTGCGGAAGGTGTGAGTCGAAGTCGTGTTCTACCTCTGTCCAGCGCCAAGCTACCGGGTGCGACGCTGACATGGAGATCTACGTTCCGTCGCAGATCCGCTCAGCCCTCCCACCGCGCCTGCGCCTCTCCCCGCGCTGGACGCTCCTCTACTCGCTCGACCAACACGGCATCTCGCTCCAAACGCTCTTCACGAACCTCTCTCGCGGCCTCAAAGACCGCGACGGAGGCTTCGTGTTGGTGGTCAAGAGCGAGAGGGGAGAGGTGTTTGGGGGTTATTGTTCCGAGGCGCTGAAGGACTCGAGTGCGTCGAGGGAGACGAGGGCCCAGCGGTGGAGCGGGGACGGGAGTTGGTGAGTCCGCTTGCCTGCACTTCAGGAAGCTCCGTACTAACGACAAGCGCCGCGGGCAGCTTCCTCTGGAAATCTGTCCCCTTCCCACCGTCCGACTTCCGCCTCGGCTCCTCCGTCCGCGTCTTCAAGCCCACCTTCCGCAACACCTACTTCCAGCACGCCTCTTCCCAGTTCCTCGCTTTCGGCGGGGGAGAAGACGGCGTTTTCGGGTTGTGGATCGACGGGGTGTTTGAAAGGGGATGGACGGGGACGTGCGAGACGTATAGGAATGAGCCGTTGGTGGATGTCAAGGCGAGAGGCGGAGGGGACGGGGAGAAGGACGCGGACAGCGCGGGCAAGCAGGAGACGGGCAAGTTTGAGGTCGTCGGATTCGAGTGCTGGGCAGTCGGATCGTGAGCCCGTCATCTTGCTGCAACGGTTGCCGGATCAACCAGCACTTTCTCTCTCACGGGACGCCTCTCAACCGTAGTGAAAGATGGCATGCGACACTTCAGGTTGCAGCTACGCCTCGCCAGCTCAGCCAATGACCCTACTCAACCTCTGCACGCTCGTCAGCACCGCGTCGCCCTGCTTGATGACGGCGTTGTAGCGCGCGTTCTTTGCGTCGGGACGGTGCGTCTCGACGACGCCGTTGACGCGGTCGATCGTGCAGGTGAGGCGGCCGGAGGAGATGAAGCGCGCAAGGTCGCTGCGAGGCAGGAGCAGGGGTCAGCCCCGACTCTCGTCGTAGACAAGCGGGGTGAGGCGAGCATCGAGCTCTGGCACGGCGCCGTGAGACAGAGAGCGGAAGCCGAGAGACTCACTTGTCCAACCACTCTTTTGAGACGCCGAACGCGCTGCACAAGCTCTCGAGCGTGACGCTCCTGTAGCTCTCCAACAACTGCGCATACGCCTTGACGCGCAACTCGCGAGTGTAGTACCGCGAGTGGACGGAGAGAAGGCGCGAAGGGAGGAAGTGGTGTTCTTCGACGGTGGCTGCAGGAGGGAACGGGTCAGCGAGAGAGACGGAGGGGGCACGGGAGGGACAAACCGAGGCAGCGGAAGAAGGTGGCGTAGTCGGACTTGTAGAGCGACTCGGCAAAGTTCTTGATCGTCGGGACATTGGGAACGACGGCGATGACTTCGGGCGCGTCAATGACCTGTACGACGAGTGAATCGAGTCATCAGCCTAGTCCCGTCGCTTCTCCGAGCGGCATGTGGAGCCGGAATTCGCAACGCACCTTCTTCTTCAGGTCCTTCCGCTCGAGCGCCAGCACGCCCGCCAACACGCACAAGACGACAAAGTCGTCGTACTCGATCAGCTCGGTCGCCGTAAATGTCGGCAACGCGTCGAGGAGGAGGTCTGCGCCCTTCTTGAAGTTGCGGATCGAGAGAAGGTGGACGCCCTCGTACACCTTGAGGCGGTTTCGGCGGTCCCAGTCGCCTCCCTCGTCTACCAGCCTGTTACACGCCCGAAGGTCAGCTCCAGTTCAGCCATCAACACGATGAGTGCACACACTTTTGCGCGCGGTCAATGTTGGACATGACGAGCTCGTGGTCGGAGTGGAAGAAACCGATGCGGATGATAGAGAGGACAAGGTCAATCTTCGTGCCCTTCCCTGCCGACTTTTCGAACGCCTCCTCGTGCGCCTTCACAGCCTCGTCCTGCACATCATTGGTCAGCCTCTTCCAACAAAGACAGGAGCCTGCAAGCGAAGCGAAACATACCTTCTCGCCAATCCGCGCCAAATACGTCGCCCGTTCCCGCAACACATCACTGACTTCCGTCTCGCCGAGGTTCGTCTTCGCGTCCTCGAGTTTTGCGTCGAGCCGTGCGAGTTCGTCCTTGTTGCGTTGTTGCAGCCGCGAGAGAAGATCGGATTGAGGAGGAAGGACAGAGGTGGAGGTAAGGTGGGAAAGGTACGGCGCCATCTCTGCGAGCAAGAGCGTTCGTCAGCTTGCCGGACTCCCTCGTGGCCATCAGCAGCTCTGCGGAAGGCACAGACGTGAAAGCGAGCGGAAGGTGACGAACCGTCATCCTCGATCCCCTTGAGCAGCCGCTCCTGTGCGCCCTCGCGCTTGTGCTGCGCCTTGGGTTCCGTCAAGACGAACGCAAGCTGGGGCAGGGCGAGGTTCGGGATGGGCAGGGGAGCGTCGTCGCCTGCGGAGGGGGCGGTCGAGACAGACGCCATCGTTTCGCGCGGTTCGTTCGGGAGGGTGCGTCGGTCGAGAGAAGCAGTGCAATGGGTCTGGCTGAGCGAGTCCAGGCAGTCAACTGAGCGAGAGCAGCGAGTGGACAAGAGCAGGCCTCATCATCGCTTGGTTGATCCTGACCCACCACCTCTTTCTCGCTCAGATGGCACACGCTGCTGGTTCGAGCTCACGGCTGCAGACTGCTCTCGCTCACGACGACCCCAGGGAACGCGAGCGCGCGCTCAGAGATGTCCTTGCACAGCCTGCAGGCGAGTCGTCACCTCGCCGCACTTGCACACACGCACACGCGCACAGCTGACCCCTTGACCGTCGCAATGCAGGGCCGAGGGATGACGAGCTGCTGCGGGACAAGGAACAGGCGATCTTGAAGCTGGGAGAGCTGTACCGGGACGCGAAGTGCGCACCCCTACCCCTTCAGCGCTCGTTCTGCCCCGCGAGGCTGACCGAGGGTATTATACAGGAATGCGGATGCTCTGGCAGAAGTGCTGAAGTCATCGCGACCACTGGTGGAGCACATGGCGAAGGCGAAGACGGCCAAACTCAGTGCGTCTCGCTTCCTGAAGGGCTTCTTTCCGAGCTGACCTCCGCACACGCGTAGTTCGAAACCTGCTCGACTTCTTTGGTGACATCCCCGGCAGCACGCAAGTGCAGATCGACGCGGTGAAGGAGAGTGCGGAGTGGGCGAAGGGCGAGAAGCGCATCTTCCTCAAGCAGAACCTCGAGACTCGGCTTGTTGCTCTGTGCGCTCCGTCCACAATACGCTGTCCTACCGCTGAGCTGACGGACTGGTCGTCGCTGCAGCTACATCGACAACCAGAACTACAAAGATGCCCTCTCGCTCATCAACTCCCTCCTTCGCGAACTCAAGAAGCTCGACGACAAGATGATCCTGACCGAAGTGCACCTCCTCGAGTCGCGCGTCAACCACGCACTCGCCAACATGCCCAAGGCCAAGGCCGCCCTGACTTCGGCACGGACAGCCGCGAATGCGATCTACTGCCCGCCGCTGTTGCAGGCTAGCCTCGACATGCAGTCCGGCGTATTGCATGCGGAGGACAAGGACTACAAGACTGCGTGCGTTGAGGTTCTCGTGCGCCTGATCTCCTTGATCCGACTGACCTCGCCTTCTCGCTCGTGCACAGGTACTCCTACTTCTTCGAGGCGTTTGAGGGCTACTCGGGCCAGGACGACCCCAAAGCCGTCCCTGCGCTCAAGTACATGCTCCTCTGCAAGATCATGCTCAACCTGGTTCGTCTCGCCCCGCCCTTCCCCCCACTCCCTTTCAGGCTAACTCGTAGGTTCGATGCAGGCGGAAGACGTCAAGTCGATCGTGGCGGGCAAGTCGGCGCAGCGGTATGCGGGTCCGGATGTCGAGGCGATGAAGGCGGTTGCGAAGGCGCACGAGGAGCGGAGCTTGCAGGACTTTGAGCGCGAGTTGAAGGACCGGAAGAAGGGTGCGTCGAGGCGCTGTCCCGCAACGGTGTCTACCGTGGTGCACACGGTCTGACGGTTTGCGTCCGGCCTCGGCAAATGCAGAACTCTCCGACGATCCGATCATTCGCAACCACCTCGCAGCGCTGTACGACACGCTCCTTGAGCAGAACCTCGTCCGCATCATCGAGCCTTACTCGCGCGTCGAGATCAAGCATGTCGCGGAGATGGTCAAGCAGCCGGTGCGGGATGTCGAGATCAAGTGAGTTGCGAGCTGCTTCGCTAGCGCTTTCGCTTCGTGCGGGACGCGACTGTTCGGGGCCGGGTCGCTGGTATTGACGCGTATTGAACTGCAGGCTGAGTCAGATGATCCTCGACAAGGTCTTCCACGGCATCCTCGACCAGGGTGCCGGCTGTCTGATCGTCTTTGACGAGCCCGAAGTCGACGTGCGTCCTCACCTCCAATCCGTGTAGCTCTCGCACGTACTGACCGATCGCGCGTTCGCAGGCCACCTACGAAGCGACCCTCGAGACGATCGGACACGTGCGGGACGTGGTCGACCAGCTTTTCCAGCGAACGAGGACGGCCGTCATTTGAGCAGAAAACGTAGCACGAGCTCGCAATCGCATCAATCGAACTGTCTCTCAGCTTTCTGGCGTTCGCGAGGCGATTGAGAAAGGTATCGCGAGCGGGCTTGCTAAGATATTGCAGGTCCGGGCTGGCCGCTACTCGTCGTCGCCTCCTGCTGCATCCTGCTCCTCATCCGCTTCTCCTGGCGCACGAGTCTGCTCGCCGTCCACGCGGCGGTTCATCTCGGGGTTCTCGCCCTTTTTATAAGTCGCTGACGCTGGGATGACGCCCTTCGGGTTGAGGTATCTGCAAGGTTCGGGGGTGAGCAACGCGCAGCGAACGACTGGAAGGTCGAGAACGCACTCAAAGTCGGGTCCCGAGTACATGTCAAGGTACTGGAGCCACTTGGCAAAGACGAGGTCCTTCTCCTCGACATCCCACATGCGCTTGTACACCTGCTCGCGCTTGAACTCCTCGATCTTGTCCATCAAGCCGAGCTGCGTCGGGTCGATCGCGTCCCGAATCTGGTCCTTGTGCGCCTTGTCGTCGATCCTGCCTGCACTCAGCAGCTCGTCAAGCTTGGCGTTCGCCTCGCCGACGCGCTTGTTGTACTCGATGTACTGCGGTTCCAGGAGCAGGAGACCGAGACCGGGCGCCTTCGGGATGTGGATGCGCGAGGGTCCGAAAGTCTCGGGGACGAGCGAGGGAGGAGTAGCGGATCGGACGGCGAGGACGAAGAGGCCGATCATCTTGCGCTGCGTTAGTGATACACCGTCAGTGAGGATAAAGATCTGAAGGAAGGCTGGCGGACCGTACGATCTGGTGCAGCATGAAGGATTGCCCGAGGAAGGAGACGGAGATGTACTCGGTGTCGTTGACAACGAACGGCTCGGAGAGCTGTTCGACTTGACCGGTGAGCACCCGCTTACAAGAACGAAGGAATAGTCGAGCGCACCTCAAGCTTGCGCATGACGCGCTGGCAGCTTCGATCCCGGAAGTCCTTGCCAACGGTGAAGTTGTAGTAGTTGTGCGAGCCCTCGTACGCCGCGATGAATGACTTGGCCTGGTCCAGTACTTCTTGTGGCATTCGCCACGCCTTCTTCGCTTGGATGTCATCGGTGAAGGCGCAGTCCGCTGGCCGCGACGACCAGAACGCCTTCGACGCCGCGATCACGGGGGAGGCCTCGGCGGTGGTGGACGACGCAGCAGTCGACGAAGTCTCGGCTCGAACGCGCTCGAGCATGTCGCTCATCGGCGTACCCGATTTCGGCCCGAGGAAGACGTGCGTCGGCAGGGTGTACTGGTAGTGCCGCTGGTCGCATCCTCGTCGCGGGTCGAACGAGCCCTGCACTCGCAGCGTCTTCCAGATGCGTACGCCAGGCGGCAAGAACGAGTTGATGTGCTCTTCAATCGACGTGTCCGGTTTCTTCGAAGCGGGTTGGAGAATAAGCTTCAGGGTGAGGACATTCATGGCGGCGTGGACGCCCGCATCCGTTCGTGCCGCTCGCGCGAGGGAGACCTACAAGTTAAGGGTCAGTATACGTAAGAAGGGAGCGAGAGTGCACAGCAGCTGACCTTCTGCGGGCTTGTCGAGTTGTCCTCGCTGACGGCGCCAGCCGCAACGAACGCTTTGAACACCTCGCCCTCGATCGTCGCTTGCGAAGGGTTGCTGTGAAGTACAGGGAGACTCAGTTCGGAGCTTGGGAGAGGTCGACCGGAGAAGCAGAGCGGAACGCACATCTGGCTGCCCTTGTAGCCGATCCCGTTGTAGCCAATGAGCACCGCGACCTTCCGCTTCGGCAGCCTGTCGCTCTTGTCGTCTCCTCCAGCACCTGAAGCAGATCCCCCAGCGTTCTTGCCCGCCGCTCCGCCGTCTCCCTCCTTCAAGCCGTCCTTCTTCGCCTTGTTGGCCGCCGCCTCGGCATTCCTGCTTCCGCCTGACCGACTGTCGGGCTTGCCACCACCCTTCCCGCCTTTCCCGCCTCGCCCACCGCCGCGCCCGCCGCCTCTTCCCCCTCCCGCCTTCTTTCCCCTGACCGATGGTGAATCCGCCTCTTTCGGGTTGAATGGACTCGATGGCGCTTCGCCGGCCTGGCCAGTCGCGACAGAGGCATCCGAAATATCCTTCACAGCCGGCACAGGCGCCACGGACGCGCCGTCATCGATGCGTGGTCGTTTCGAGGGCGTCCCTTCTCGAGGAGCAGCGGCCGGCGCGTCGGCTTCGCGCTTGTTGCTGGTCATGGCGAGGGGAGGACCGTGTGTAGCGAAAGTTTCTGCAGCACTGACGAGCCCAGCAAGTGGTGAGCCGGCGAGCAGGATGAAGAGCGCTCGCCGAGGTGAACGCACAAAGTCCCGATTTTTTGCAACTCCGCGAAAGTCGCTTCTGTGCGCCCCTTACATTCTTCAAAGCTTGCAAAGATTGCGATGCGCGGCCCCGAGCGTCGCGAAGGAGAGTTTCAAAGCAAGATGCGATTGCTGCCAAGCATGCTAACCCTTCGACTACACGGGTGCCTACCACCGTCTGACAGGTCTCCACCCTTGACCGTGCCGCTCAACCTGGCCTTGCGTTGCGAGGCGCGAAAGAGCGGCGCTGACCGCCTCGCTGTAAAGCGCGACACGCGCCCAACGGTCGTCCTGGTACATGCGTTGGCGCAGGTCCTCCTCGGTAACCGACGGCGACGAGACGTTCGAGGCGTACGCCGCGGAGAGGAGATCGAGAACGAGCGGGCAGAGGGATGCGACCGTCACGAGCTGGAAGGATTGAGGTCGAGCTTCGTCCGACAGCGACCCGGTCGTGGCGAAGCTGGCGTCCGAAGCGGCCGACGGAGAGCGACGCGCTCGAGATGTCGGCGAAGAGCGTTGGAAGGAAGGCGGCAGATTCCAAGCGGGCGAGGATGGCGACTCCACCTTGACGGGAGGCGACAGCGACTGCTTGATCCGTTTCGGCTGCGGCGTCTTGAAGACGGAGTCCGGCTGCGGCGTCTTGAAGACGGAGTCATCCCCGTCGATACCCTCCAGCTTGACGTCCCCCCACGGACACGCGACGGCCGGACTTGACGGCTCCTCTCGCTTGACCCGCTTCGAGGCGCGAGGCGTTTCGGGCAAGAGCTTGGGACTGCTCATCTCGAGCTTGACGTCGCCCCAAGGACAGGCTGAGACGGTTGAGGCGCTTCGCTGTTGTGTCGGGGGCGAGGTGCGTGAAAAAGATCGGCGAGAAGGGAGGTCGGGAAGGTCGTCGAGCGCGTTCCTCGACGCCTTGCGGTCGATGAAGGACAGCTCGAAGTCGGCCTTCTCGTCGTCTTCGTCGTCCTCTGGGCCCTCGACAAACTCGACGATCATGCCGTTCGCCCTCATCGTCCTGATCGCCTCGCGCCAGACCTTGACGACCTCCTTTTCCAGAGCCTCGCCTTTGAGCGGGCCGGCATCTTCGAGCTTGGCCTCCCTTTCCTTCTGTCGCCGTGCTCGGCGCTCCTCCTGCGTCTCTCCGCCCCGCGAGCGGGAAGAGGACGCCGAGGCCATCGGCGGCGGGAGGAGCAGGCTCGCTGCCCCCCTTCCACCATTCCTCCACCCCCCCTTCCGCCCGCCCATCGGCCCCGAAGCAACCCAAGACCTCGGGGGCTTTGGCGCAGCTGTCCCCACGACAGCACTTGCTAGCGAAACAGCCGTCTGACGCAGACGTGTCTTTTCGAGCTGCTTTTGCTCGGCGAGTTTGGCTCGCTCCTGGACGAGACGGGTGGCGAAGAGAGCGAGGTGGCGGTTGGCGGCGAGGTCGGCGATGGTAAAGGGAAGAGAGTACTCGACTGGACCGGATCGAGGGGGAGACGATGTAGGGAAGGAAGCCGACCTGGTGCGCGAGAGAGGCGTGGAGGGAGAGGCGTCGCCTTCGTTGGCGAAGGCACGAACGAAGTGGCGCAAGAGATGGTGCCGGATGTAGACCATGAAGTTCGAAAGGGTCAGGTCCTCTGGTTCGAGTTTCGAAGGCCGAGTCGGTCGGTACTGCTGCAGCGGGACAAGATGAGGCCGATGGTCCGAAGCAGATCGCAGGCCAACGCACCAGCTTGTCGGGACTGCCAGCTGTACTCGCACCGCCGCCCCAGTCACTGCCCGCCGAACTGCTGAGCGTGTTGCCTTCCTCCCACTCCCTCTGCCGCTCTTCTGCTTCGGCGCGCTCGATGGCGGCAAGACGGGCTTGAAGGTCGAGACCGTGAGAATAGACATCGCGATGAAGGCGAGAGACGAGGAGGAGGTGTGCCGGGAGGGCGTTGATATCGGGAAGCATGTCTGCGTGATGGGAGGTGTGAGCAAGAAAGGAGGATACTCTCGAGGAACTCCCGCACCCATTCGACTCGCCACGACCCGCTTCTCGTCGTCCCACGTGAACTTCGAGTCCTCGACCATGCCGGTAACCTTGACGAGCGCGCCAAGCGGAATGACCGTCTTCGCGCTCTTCTCCTCGGCGCGCTCTTCTAGGTCGCCATACTTGCGCTTGACGTAAGCCGTAGACGCCATCTTGCTGTTCGACGTAGAGGCGTCGTTGCGAATGTGCGGGATGAGGCGGGCGGGCGAGAGAGGGGCGGAGTACGTCCCGAAGGGGTCGGGCGCAGGCGCGGGGCACTTGACCGTCAGGTTGGCAGTCCCGTCGTCGACTGCAGGAAGAGGTCAAACGTCAGTCGCATGCGACCTGCCTTGCGAGCTAAGTGAACGCACCAACGTAGATCCATCCTCCCTCTGTCTCCTGGTACTCCTGGTGCGTCACCCAACCAACCACGATGACCGTCTTGCAAGGGAATTCTTTGCCGAGCAGGTAGCACTCGGTACCGCCTGCCTGCCCAAGCAGGACTCTGCGAAGAGCCTGGACGTCGGCGGCATAGACGAGAGGGGTGAGCGGGTTGTCGACTGAAGTCGAAGATGAGCCGAGGAGGCGTGACGAGAGACGGCGAATGAGGTCTTCTTGCCACTCTTTCCCATCGACCGTCTTCGCCCAGCTCGGCACCCCCGTAGGCGGCTTCGCCCCGGCCTTTCCACCGGCGGCGCCTTTCAGCGCGCCGTACCCTTTCTTGGCGCCTTGTTCGACAGTAAGCGGACCTTCGCGAAGGTGCTCCAAGCGGAAGAGGACCGAATGCTGCAAGTTGTACCGCGACGAAGGGTCGAGAGCCGCAAAGTCCGTCTCGAATATGGCTGCGGGGAGAGTAGAGGCCGTGTGACGTGTGGAGCGGGCTGAGCGCGAGACCTTTTGGTTGAGTGGAAGGCCGGGGAGGGCAAAGGCGGCGGGCGGCGGGACTGGCAAGGGGCGCAAAGCGGTCTGCGTTCGAGGAGGTCGGACTGTCGCGGGCGAGATCGACGGACCGACGGATCGTTGACGGGGCGGCGTAGCGGGACGGGGCTGAAGAAGCGACTCTTTCCGCTTCCGAGATGGTGCGGGAGCGGGCGGCGGTGAGGGTGAGGGAGTGGTCGACCGCTTCTTCTCCCGTTTCCTCGGGGGTTCTTCGGAGATTAAGAGGAGTGACTCTTGAGTCGAAGCGGGGGAGCGGGTTTGTGTTGACCCGAGCGGACGACTCGTCGGCGGTACGCGGGACGAACGAGTCGACAGCCGGGACGACGAGGCAGTCGAAGGACGAGGGACGCCGACCGGAAGACTCGTCTTTGCCGGAGCGGGACTCTTCTCCCGCCTCAAACGCTTTGACGGGGTTGCGCTGAATGTGTCGGTGATCAAGGCAGGCGACGACGAGAATCCTTCGCTGCCGCGAGGAGGTCTCGAGAACGAGGATGCCGAGGTGGAAGCGCGGTAGGAGCGGATAGAAGGGGTGGGTCCCCGAGTCGAGGCGCCGTTCCTTGTAGTCGCTGGTCGGCGAGGCTCCTTGGTAGGCGTGGTGCTCGTGGGCTCGAGGATGATGAGGTCGTCGTCGCTGTCCCGTGAAGCCCCGCCTTCCGCTCGTCTGTCGGCCTGCATGGCGTCTGAACCTCCTCCTTGAGGCGTCTCGACTGCTCCTGTCCGTACTCCACCGTCGCACAAGCCGAGTCGAGGTGTATGCCCCCTCCGAGAGGGTCGTTCAACCGAGGGTGTTGAGGGCCGCACAGGCGTTGCGAAGGCCGCGCGTTGCGTCAAGCGCGCGATAAGCAATCCAATGAGGCTGGTAAGCAAGAAGCGAAGCCTTCTGTGGCACGTGAGGTGAAGGCTAGCGGACGAAGGAGGAGAAACCAGCGAGCACCCAAGTTGACATTGCGCACGTCGCTGTTCCAGCAAGGACAGACTAGCTCGTGGAATCGTAGGTTTCTGCTGACACTGTTGCGAGTGTCGCAAGAGCGCGCGGAACCGGGAGCGAGGCGAGTTGCTCATCCACGCCCATACCTCATCGTCGTCGCGATTGAATGGCTGCATACAGGATCCCTACTGTAAGAAAGAGAGTACGAAGCCGTGCTGGTAGAGGACAATCAACGGAAGGAGGGACGGAAGAACAAAATAGACATGGGGGAGAAAGGCGAAGGGTTTCGGTCAAACGAAGGTGAGTATGGGCAGATGTGTGCGTCCGTGGCGTGTCGCTTTTTGCAGGCGGGGTATAGTTGCAAGAAAGGGGATGCAAGGGTATCGAAGGTGGCGTGGTGGCATCGAGATCAGCCCGCACTAAGGTCGGAGGGTATCCTGTACGCCCCAGAGTTGCTGTAGCAAGCCCTGTGATACGGATGCGTCAATCACAGACTCATGTGCACGATCGTAGCAGCGAGACGGACCTGTGCGACGTCCATGATGTCGGCCTCCGTCAATGCGCCCTTGGGCGCCTTGTGCACCTTGTCCGCGACGTGCTTGACGACGGCTTCCATCAAGCGATCGTTGATGTACGGGTACTTCGTGGACGGCACAGCACCTGCAAGTCGAATGTCAGCGACTAAGGCGCGGCGCACGAAGGAAGTCGACGCACCCGGCGCCTGCTCGTCTCCCGACCGTCGCAGGAACGGCTGCTGCAGGAGCTCCGGAATCGTCGCTCGCTGCTTCGCATCGTACTTGAGGCAGCTTTTGAGGGCGAAGAGCAGGTCGGGCCCGACGAGGAACTTGTGTTCACTCAGGTCCTCGCCCCGCTTGCCGATCGGGACAGCGTACTCGGGAAAGCTGATCCGCGTCTTCGGGCTCGAGATCGCGGCGATCTTGATGGCGATGTCGCGCAGATGGGAGAAGGGAGCCCCGCCGTACACCATCTGGTACAGGATGCAGCCCAGCGACCAGACGTCCGCAGCGCGACCGAGCTGGGTGGGGCAAGTCGTTAGGATGTGAGCAAGCTTGTACAGCGACCGTTTGTCGAGGACGCACCTTCATGAGCCTCTTCCCGCCTTGTCCGAGACCGGTGTCGTTGAGCGCTTCGGGCGGCATGTAGTTGGCCGTTCCAATCTGCTGGTCGCGGCCGATGTTGGTCGTGTCGGCTGCGATCGCCTTCGAAATGCCGAAGTCAATCAGCTTCAGTCGACCCTTAACGAGGACGAAGTTGGCGGGTTTAAGGTCGCTGTGGACGACCGCCTCCTCGTGGATGACCTGGACGGCCGAGAGCATCTGCAAGTACCAACGGGTGAGCTACTGGGAGCACGCGAGAGTACCCAGACGCACCTGCTCCCAGATGTAGCGAATGAAGTTGAGGCTGATTGGCTTGCCGGCGTAACTCGCGAGAAGCGAGTTCAAGTCGGTCTCGCCGGCCTCCATCACCTGCGCACACGTCCTTGATCATCAGCGTATGACATTCGGGGCAGTGCAAGGAAACGAACACACCATAATGACATACTTGCCCTGGATTTCCGAGTCGACGAGCTGAATGATTTCCGGCTTGCCCGCAAGTTTCCGCAGGAGGGTGATCTCGTTGATGAAGCTCGCTCGCGACTCCGAGTCGTTGCGAGTGTCGACCTTCTTGAGCGCGTACACCTCGTTGCGGTCGGTGATAACGCGATAGACCTTGGACGAGCCGCCCCGACCGAGGATGCCTGCTCTGTTGTACGCCTTGCCGTTCACCTGAGTGGAGCAATCGCAGCGTCAGCTCGGAGGACGAGAAAGGACGAACGCAACAGACTCACCCAGATAGGCTTCGGCAGACGCTTCTCGGCAGCATGAGCGTCGCCGGGCGTGAAACCCATCATCTGCATCTGCTGCATCTGCTGCTGCTGCTGCTGTTGCTGCTGCTGGTAAACTTGTCGACTCTGGTAGTGCGCCTGCTGGACCGTGACGCTGGGCGTGACCTCGGCAACGCCAGGCGAGCGATCTCGCAACGGAACATGGTAGTCGCCGCCTTTCTGCGCTGTCGAGGGCGCATAGAGCGTTCCGGTCGGTCGCTGCTGCGTACCGAGTGGCTGAGGCTGAGGCGGCGGAGCATAGCCACGGTTGACTTCGGCAAGAACGGGTCGGGCGGCAGAGGCGGGTACGGCGTGCTGCTGAGGCGGGACAGATGCGGGTGGCAGTGCCGGAGCGGAGTGGGTGTAACGAGCGTCGTAGGCGTTCTCATCCTGGTACTGCTGCTCGTAGGAAGGCTGCTGAGGCTGGTTCGGGTCGGGGTGGATCTCGGCGATAGGTGGTTGCTGGTACTGCATCTGCTGGTAACCGCCTGACGGCACGCGAGCGACAGGCGGGCGCGCCTGCTGCGGTTGCGGCTCGTCGCGGTACACGGCGATGCTTGAGACGGGCGGAGCAGCCGATACCTGCGGCTGGTGGACCATTCCCTGCGTGATCGTCTCGCTGTTGCTGCGCTTAAGCAACGAGGTCGATGCCGTGTTGACGAGCGTCGTACCGCCATGCGTGCTCGACGAGGCGCCAGACTCGCTGAGGATGCTGGGGTCGCCGCCTCGCGAAGTAGTCCTGCGGTGCGAATACGGAACAATCGTGTCGCGAGGAGGCGAGGTCCTGCGCTCGTCGAGACTTGCGCGACCAGCGTGCGCGCCTCCGTCAGCGAGTTGACCGGCAACTCGGTGCGCAACCGTCTCGCGGCGGATGTCAAGAGAGGCGGCTCGGGCAGTCGAGACTGGCTGTCCTTCCGTGACTGCCGAGAGCATCGAGATCGAGTTCTTGCGACTTAGCGACGAGCCCATCGGTGCGAGCTTGAAGCCGCCGGCCGAGCTGGTCGAGCTGTGCGACTGGCCAAGGGAGGAGGGAGGCGAGGCGCGCGAGGATGAAGAGGAGAGAGCCGACATTGAGCCGAGGTCGGGAGAGTTGTTGTTCGACGACTGGATGGACGAGAGCGACGCGGACGATCCGCTGTTGAGGAAGCGGTTCCGGAACGCCGTGCTGCCGAGAGCCTGTTGCTCGGCGACACTTCCGAGACCGAGATGTGACCGCTGACGAGCGAGATGACTGCGAGCGGCGCCGAGTTGACCGGCGTCTGGCGACGTGTCGGCGCCGTCGGAACCGCTGTAATGACCCACTGAGGAACCAGGGCGGGTCGAAGCCGCCGACCTGTGACCGTAGCTTCCGGCGCCAATAGTGACTGTCGAGGCATTGCGGTCGACGGGCTGGACCATCTGAGGCGAAGAAGGCGGGATCTCCGAGCGAGAGCGGCCGTGACCGTTTGGCGACATCGGTGGACGACCAGGTGGAGGCGGACGGCTCTCGACTTCGGGAGCTATAGACGATGCTCGTCAGTACCCTTCGCAAATTGGGCAGCGGAAAGGACGCACAAGAGTCTCTACTCGGCGTCGCACTGCTGACATCGCTTGCGCCTGGACTGGCATCCCTCCGGCTGCTCGAAACGCTTGTCGAACTCCTCTCCGCCTCGCTCAGCGTTCCGGCACTCTCAGGCGTCGTGTTCGTCGAGAGATTACCGGCGGTGCTGGCTGCCGAGACGACAGGGATAGGCGGGGGAAGTTGCGGAGCTGCGACACCGCCTGCAGGGGGGACGACGCGCCTCGCTCGGCCGACGACGCCAGACGTGCCGGTCGACCGAGCGCCAAAGAAGCGTCGTCCGCTTGTCGAGTGACCTGTCGTCGAGGTGGAAGTTGCGGACTTTGATAAGCCTGCGCGGCCGAAGCCAGGGGTGGTCGAGGTTGAAGCGAGAGAGGGGTGCGCGGAAGATGCATCGTTGGACGGCAGGCGAGTGAGCGGTGCGCGAGGGATGAGCTGTGTACAAGCTGTCAATGTCGGACCAGCGAAAGACGAGCGAGACGGACGCACTTCTGAAGGCTTAGGCACCTTGTGCGTCAATTCGCCGTCATCCTCTCCGTCCGCCATTCCATCAGCAATGCTGGAGCTGAGCGGCGCCCGTCCCACGCTTCGACCTGTCGCCGAAGAAAGCGACGACTTCCAGTCCGTACCCTGCGTTGCTGATTCTGTTCGACTCCGTGTCGACATGGACGTCCCTGGTCGTGAAACCGACGACAAGGGTTGTGGCGGAGGTGGCAGGGCGGTCAGGTCGGTCGAGGAGTTGGCAGGAGACCCGCCGAAGGAGTAGGGCCCGCTTGACGGCGCGTGGAAGCTTGGTAACTCGAGGTCGAGCTCATCGTCGAGGGAGAAGGAGGACGCGTATCGTGGCGAGTTGGCAGAGGCTAGGCTGGTCGAGCTGGCGTTGAGCGAGGCGGGAAAGGGAGGAGGAGGGGGTCGGGGGCTGTTCGAGCTGTGCGCGCTGTCGAATGTCCGTATCGACGCCCTACTGCTGCTCCTCCGCCCCATCAGCGACCCAAATGGCGACGAGGACCGCGGCCCGCCCTCATGAGGCGACGACGACGCAGCACCGGGCGGTGTTTCTCCTGAAGAGGGCGTCCGGAGTTTGTTGAGGAAGCGGCCGAGCGCGCCCGACCCTTTGCCTGTAGACGGCGTAGAGGGCTGTCCCTGCATCCTGCTGCGACCGTTCAGGCTATCCGAAACGAGCGAGAGTGTCGAAAGGAGCGATCAGGTTGGACGAGGTTGAGTGAAGCGGTGAGGCCGGTGTCGTCGTGTGTCGATGAGCGCAAGCGGGCTACAGGGACTCGTACGAGTGTCCAAATAAGCCACAGACAGCGGCAGCCCAGCGCGCGGGTTCGTGCGCTCCCCGGAGAGTGAGTGACGAGGAAAACAGGCGCGCGACTCGTCGGGGAGAGGAGCGACTTCGCGATGAAAGGGTCCCTCGCTCGAGCCTGACGCGCAGTACTGCGCTTTCAAGCTCACTCAATCGACTCCACTAAGCCAAGCTCCTCGACTCCGCTTCGTTTCCTCAGCTTGTAACGGGCTCGAACCGGGTCTCGTGCAAGAACGCAACGCGAACTTGTGATGATTTGCACTCGATTGTCGGTATATGGGATGCCATAGATGCAGTGGAATGGATGGAGGAGGCAGCCGTGCGGAGCAAGGCAGACGGAGAGGTGAAAAGTGCGACGGAAGCTGTTCAGCTGGCGACGGTCAGCGACGATGCAGAATCACGCCGAGCTGATCACTCACAGCTCATGCATCTTGCTGCTGCTGCTGTTGTTGTTGTTGTTGAGGCTTCGGGGCAAACTCGAGCTGAGTCTCCCGGTAGGTTCCGCTCGGCGGGCCCGCCTGCCTGCCGACCTCCTCGAGAATCGTCGCGATCTGCTTCAGGACAGCACTCTGGCCCTGCTTGTCGACCGGCGGCACTCCCTTCTTCGACTCAATGACGACGACGAGGCGATATCCCTTTTCGAGGAACCCTCTGCCCTTCTTCAGCTTGTGCTGGAGGTCGTGCGGCGAAACTCCCCACGTGACGTGCACCTCCTTCGTCGACCCAGCTCCCGGCGTACGAGTGTTGGCCTTCTGCTCCTTCTCCTTCTGCTTCCGCTCCTGCGCCTGCTTCTTCTCCTCCAGCTTGTCGATGATCCTGCAGATGGGCGGCTTGTGTTTCCGGTCGACGAGCAGGAGCTTGTACCGGTCTCGGTCGAGGGCTGCGAGGACGGAACGGAGCGTCGTTGGCGGAAGGAGAGAGCCGTTCGTAGGATCGACAATGACGATGGTGGTGACAGGGATGTCCTCGTCGTACACGCCCTTGACGTCCTTGATCCTGGCCAGCGCCGCCGCCTCGTCGTCGACAGGACCCTCATCTGACGGTGGTGGTGTTCGCGTGGGCCCTCGAGGCGTGTGTCGCGTGAAGTTTCGTCGAGAGAGGTCCGGGACTGATGAAGATGGGAAGGGGGCGGGAGGGCGAGCGAGCGGAAGGGCACCCGCACAGGCTATCCGGGGAGCCGTTTGCAGTAGTCGTACACTCGTTCGAGCGGCCAGCATCGTGGTGAGCGGGAGTGGTTGCGGTCGAACCGTTCTCCACCCTCTCCAGTTCTCTTCACTGCGCTCTCGCCGGCTCTTTCGGCTTGCTGCTCCTGTGGACTCTGTGACGACGCTATTCGAGCTGATCCCCCGACTCGCACACTTCGAACAGACCCACATCCTGCTACCTTGACCACCTCTCCCGGCCTCATCTCTCTGACCGCGCAGGGCTCGGGAAGGCAGCGGTGTGGCACGGAGGCATTGTAGTGGAGCTAGCATATGGCGCGTCGGGCGGCGCGAGCATTTCCGGTCTACCCGAGTCATTCCCGTCGCCTCCGTACTCGCTCCGAATCCTTGTCGCCCTCGCTGCACTTTCCAATCACTCATTCGCGCTTTCCGCGACCGCCTGTGCCTTGTTCTTCCTGCTACCGACACCGAGTGCGCCCCGTACGGCAGACCACACCCGGTCCACCTTTGTCACGCCCAGCCACCTTCTTCTTGGTCGGCCACCGGCTCATCCCTACAGTACATGCTTTGGAGGCCATCCTAACTTTGCGTCGTTCGCGCAATGCTGCTTACCACGATACGGCGAATCCGACGAGACGGCCGAGAGCTTACTCAGGGCCCGCTGCCTCCGCCCGACGTTGCGCCGCCGTAAAATTGGCTCGGCCTTAGCTCTCTTCCGTCAACATCGCTCTCCTCCCCTCTGCTCTGTATCGCGCTCATATCATGGTTGCACACCAGCCCGACATGACTGCTACTCAACCGGGCCTCCCCGTCCTCGCTCAGCCCGTCGTCGACAGCTCGCTCGTCTCGCCTCCGCCCGCTGCTCCGCCCGCCGAGTCGTCAACGACCGCCCGCAAACAGTCCATCCCGTCCTCAAGATCGAGTCACTCGGGAGAGACGTTGGCAGAACGGGACGCTGTTGACCTCGAGAAGGGCGAGAACAAGGAGGACAGGGCTTTCAACGATCAGGAGGATGAGGTCGATGCGCCTCCCAAGCCGGACCCCGCAACGGCAGCGAAGGGCAAGGAGGATCCCGCTGGGTACGTTCTGCGACTCTCCCACGTCGTTTGAGAGGCACTGACATCGTGCAACAGCGGCGACCCTTTCCTCGTAACGCTCAAGGGGCGCGAACACCTGAGTCCTCATACCTGGAGCGTGTGGTACCGCTGGGCGTTGACGGCCCTCGCCGGTTTCCTCGTCTTGAACGCAAGTAAGTAGCAGCGCCATGCACAGTCGGTCTTGCGTCGTTGAGCGGCGTGCTCGCGCGACCCGACTCGACCTCCACCTTCGGAGCGGCGACTCCACCCACGGCTCCGCACGAAGAGCTGCTGACAACTGCGTCGCTTTGCAGCCTTCGCATCGTCTGCGCCGTCGAACCTGATTCCGTCCATCATCGGCCACTTCCACGTCTCGCAAGAAGTCGGCGTTCTCCTCATCGCCATCTTCGTCGCCGGATAGTGCGTTCATCTTCTCTGCGTTCATGCAACTCTTGATTGACAACTCCATTCACAGCTGTGTGGGACCACTGTTTTGGGGCCCTCTCGTGAGTTATCTCACGCCGCTCCTCCTCGACTTGAGAGTGGAGGTCTCGCTTATCGGGCGCGCTGACTCCCCTCGTTCGCAGTCTGAGCGCTACGGCCGTCGCCTCGTCTTCTTGGTCGTCTGGCCGCCCTACATCGGCTTCCAGATCGGCTGCGCCCTTGCACCCAACATCGGCTCGCTCATCGTCTTCCGTTTCCTCGGCGGCTGCTTCGCCGCGTCGCCCCTTACCAACTCTGGCGGTGTCATCGCCGATCTCTGGGATGCGGAACGTCGCGGGGACGCCATGGCGATCTTTGCGCTGATGCCGTAAGTCCTTACGTGCCCTCTTCTCGCGCTCGTGCTGACCTCCAGTTTGACATAGCTTCGCCGGTCCCGCCCTGGCGCCCATCATCTCCGGTTTCATGCAAGTCACCAGCACCAATTGGCGCTGGATCTTCTGGGTCCTCACCGCATTCGCCGGACTCTGCGGCATCCTCCTCGTCGCTTTCCTGCCGGAAACCTACGTTCCCGTCATCCTCCAAGCCGAGGCCAGGCGCCTTCGCAAGGAGACGGGCGACTCGCGCTACCACGCCGAGCTCGACATTAAGAAGGAGGGCGGTATCAAGGCGACTCTCCAGCGTACCGTTCTCAAGCCATTCGTTATGGCCGCGCAGGAGCCGATGCTCCTCATCATCACTATCTACATGTGCGTCGCCCTCTCGTTGCCTGGTCAAAAGTCGCTGAGACTGACGCCTTTCGCTCCTTACAGGTCACTCGTGCGTCTGCAACTGATCTGGCCTCTCTGGTCCGTTTGAAGCTGACTGCTCCTCTTCCCAGGTTTACGGTGTCGTCTACCTGCTCTTCGAAGCCATCCCCATCGTCTTCGAGGGCAAGCACGGCTTGAACGGCGGCGAGTCCGGACTCGTCTTCCTCGCCCTCCTGACCGGCGGTGTCATCGGCGTCTGCGGCTACATCTTCTACTTCAACCCGCAATACATGAAGAAGCACCGCGCCCTCCGCCCCAAGATGGTCCCGCCCGAAGAGCGTCTCAAGCCCATGGTGATCGCCTCGCCCCTCTTCGCCGTCGCCTTCTTCTGGTTCGGCTGGACCGGCGCCTACCCGCACATCTCGATCTGGTCGCCTATCCTCGCCATTGTCATGCTCGGCACGACCATTCTCTACGTCTTCCTTACCGGTTTCAACTATTTGGTAAGCGCGTGGAAGACCTGCCTCGAAACATGCCAACTTTGACTTATCCTTCCTCACCGCAGATTGACACCTATCTCTGGTACGCATCAAGGCTCCAACAGACTCAGGACGGGCCATGAGTGTCCAAAAGCGCGAAGCTGACTTCTTGCATCACCGCTTCTCCCATTCCTTCTCCTCTTCTTCCTTTCTCATCCGCCCGGCGGCTTCATTTGCAACGGTGCAGGAACGCAGCCTCCGCCCTTTCTTTTAACACTGTGGTGCGCTCCGGCTTTGGCGCAGGGTACGTCCTTCGCCCGGATCTTGTCACCCGCGACGACGCTGATTTAACCAAACCCTCCCACAGATTCCCGCTCTTTGCGACGCAAATGTACAACAAGCTCGGCATTCAAGGTGCTTCTTCACTACTAGGTGGCCTCGCGTAAGTCCGCTCATCCTCGCTCCTCCGCGTCGTCTGCTAACCTCACCTCTGCTCTCGCAGCATTCTTTTCGTACGCCTGCCGTCGGACTGCTCCGCCGACTCGCCGCTAACATTCGCCATCGCAGATACCGGCACCATTTCTCCTCATCAAGTACGGCAAGAGGATTCGGTCGCTGTCGAAGAATGCGTTGAGTTGCTTCGCCTCGCCTACCCCTACCTTTCGTCTGACGCTTCCCCCTGCAGTGCCGTACTCGATTGAACGGTCGTCGCCTCCGTTCGTGCTGTGTCGCTGAGCAATCTAATCCTTCCGTGATGTCCGCCTCGTCTCGCAGACGTAGACCATAGACGACAGATGCAACCATGTTCTTGCAGTCAACAAGTCTAGAGCGATGCTCGAGGCGGTCGAAGAGATTGGTGCTTCACAGAACGGAGGGAGAAGAGAGAGGAAAACGAACAAGCCCGCCGGCGCCCCCGCTCGCTCACCGTCCGGCGCCGTCTAGGCGCGCAGAATCTTGCCGGCGAGCTTGCCGCCCTTCGTCAAAGCGATGTGGTGTCCGCGGACGATGTCTTTCGTCGGCTCGCCGACAGCCTTGATGAGCAGCGAAAGCCACTCGGCGCGCGAGGCGTCGATGCCGCCCTTGACGAGCTGCTCCTTTCCGAGGACACTGTTATCGGGATCTCGCTGGTAAGTATTTGCAGGCTCAGTCGGGTGAAGGTGAACTCACATCTCCTCCTCCTCCTCCGCAATCTCGAAGATCTTGATCAACTCGCCGAAGTCGACGACGCCGAACTGGTCGAGCGCCGAGGTGTTGAGCAAGAGCTCAGGCTCCTTGGGTTCCTTTCTGCGAGGGGAGTGGCCTGTTCAGTGGGTCTTGCTACAACGCTGAGAAGGTCAACGCAAGACTCACGCCGCGAAGCCAACGAGGAGAAATCCGCCTTCTTCGTCGTCGTCGCCCGTGTAGCCGACACTCTCGCGAACGAGGTTGAGCAGCTTGCCGAGGTGAGCGAGGGAGAGGGCGTTGGCAAAGACCGAGGGGTAGACGAGCTGAAGGGTCGGTTTCTTCTGTGCGACCAGCACATCGTCGTCGCTGTCTTCGGCGGGCGTGTACGGCCGGTACATCTTGAGGGAGCGGTAGAACTTCTTGAGAGTGTTGACGAGTCCACGCTCGCCGGTGTAGTCCTCGAACTCCTTCTCCCTGCCGAGCACCTTGATGTAACGCTCGACGACCGGGACATTGATGATGTCGCGAGCCTTGTTGTCGAAGTCTTCGAGCTGCGACAAAGAGCATGGTCAGCCTCCGTCCTTCCGCCAGCCATGGCATTCGCCGAAACCGCATGTTTGACTCGGACGGCAGACTCACGTCAAAGTCAATGAGGTCAGGCTTCGTCGCAGACGAGATGAGGACGATCTTGAGCTTCTGCTTTGAGCCTCCCCCGGCCGCGTGGACGAGGGCCTCGATGTTCTGCGCGAGAGGGAAGTTCAAGTCAGACTTTGTTGACGGATACGAAACCCGTTTGGTGCGACCCACCCTCTTGCGCTCGAGCAACGAAACAGTCGCAGTCTTGAGAGTGGGCTCGCAACTCTTCTTGTTCAGGCTGGCCTGCGCGGTGTAGAGTACAAGAGTCTTGGCCTCGTCTGCGGCGAACGGAATCGGCTCAAAGACGACTTCCTCCGACTTGAGCTTGAGGTGAGCAACGAAGATTGTTTGTTGCTTCGACCTCGAGCAGACGACGAGGTTCTGGAAGACGTCCGTGTACTTGATGCCCGCGCCGAACCACTCCTTCTCCTCAATGCCGTACTTGAGCAGCCACTTGACGTGCGCCAATGCCGTCGAGAGCGACTCGCCGGTGAAGTTGTTACCGCGCTTGTCGCTCATGAGGAGCTTGAGCGAGTCGGGGATGAGCTTCTTGACCTGGGCATACATCGTCGTCTTGACCTGCAAGCTGGAATTCGGTGACCTGTCAGCTCTTTGCGCGTTTCCGCAGTCTCGTCCCATTTGAGAAACGCACTTGCAGGACGAGTTGTACTCGTAGAGCTTGAGCAAGTCGCGGACAGCGTTGAGCCACTCGAGCGCGCCCTCGAAAACCTCCCCTTCCTCGAACCTTTCACAAATCTCGGCCTGCTTCTCGAGCGACAGCGCGTAGAACCTGTTTCCCGAAGACATGCTGCGCTGCGCGAGTTCCGAGATAGTGTGAGCGAGTGACGCGAGGCCTGTGCGTAGAGGGGCGATGAGGCGAGTGGGAGAACGGGCAGGAGAGACCGTCGTGGGTGGTAGGCTCACTGTGACTGATGACGAAGTGCCTTGGGTGGTCCAGAGCCTTGACGCGAGCACTTCAGCCTAAGCGGGAAGCGAGCGAGTGAGGTGGACGGGGACAAGAGAGGACGCGACCAAAGTTGACTTTCACCTTGCTCGCTCAACTTTCGCTGGACCTCTTTACACAGTTATCTACGCGTCTGAAGCCGACAGAATTCCTTCAGTATGCCACTCAAGCCGCCCGACGTCGCTCGCGACAACCGAAGCGCCCGAGAGGAGGAGCAGGCGGGTTTGGCGGCTGCTGGCGTCGCAGTCGCGCCTCGAAAGGCTTGGACGGGGAAGAAGAACAGGTCTCAGGGTGTCGGTAAGTCTCGCGAGCCCAGGCGAGGTCGGGTTCCGGGTGAAGCGCTGACCTTCTCCTGCTCAGCTCCTGCCCAACCATCTCCCGTCATCAACCCGACTCCCACCCCAGCTCTGACCTCTCGCCAGCTGCTGCTACAGCAAGCCGACGCGCACCCAACACTCCGCAAGATCAACGAGCTCATCGCCGAGAATGCGCAGGCCGGTACGGGCGCGACAGCGGGAGATTTGCAAGGCAAGACTCTCACCACTCGTACGCGCAAGGGCGTCCCCATCAACCCCGACTGGATTGTGTGTCGCCCTTTCGCTCCATCTCCGTACGAGCTCACGAGGTCTCACTCTCGCAGCCGGCCCGCAATGCCCCCGTCCTTCAGAAGCGTCGCACGGCGCTTCAAGTCTTCGCGCTCCTCGACATTGCCCAATCGTCGGCTGAGGACTCTGTCAAGCCGGAGGCGATGCAGCTTGCGCAGCGACAGGCCAAGGGTTTGCTTGACATTCACGAGGCCGGACGGCAGTGCCGCTGGGTGCGTTGATCAAGCCTTTGTACTCTCGCGTGAGCATGTTGCTCACCCTGATGATGCTCAGGGCAATGCAGCGGAGGTCGCGGCGATTGCTGCCGTCGCGTACAGCGGCGACTGCATCGAAGACCTCGCCAACCGCACCCTCTCTTGCCTCGAGCACCTCAACTCGGTCGACCAAGAACGCTCAAGCGGCCAGTATCGCAAGTCTCCGCTTAAGCGAGCGCTCCAGTGGGTGTCTGAGGCCTCGGGAGACCCTTCTCGCGGCGTGCGTCTTCATCATTTTCCTGCTTTGCTCGCGACTGACACATCCCACAATCTTTGGCAGCGCATCAAATTGACGCTCGCCGAGACGCTCAAGACGCTCGACTTCAGCTGGCTCACCGAGATCGACGTCAACCGGGATGTCATCCATCTCGTCTTCGGCAAGCACACCGAGTACACAACCACTCCGCATCTTCACCGCCTCTCGCTCATTTCCAAGGGCGACCTCAAGCCTCTCCTCTACACCCAGCATCGGGAGCTGCGCAAGATCTACCTCGGCAAGGACGACCGCGCCATCGTAGCGTTGGACTTCGAGGCGATCTTGGTCGGCTGGACCGGCACGGTCGAAGGAGAGCAGCAGCCCGCCGCCGCGTTCGTTAGTATCATGTGCGCGGGACCGCTTCCTGACAAGTCGGTGCGTGTTTTGCTCGAGCGCAAGGAGCATGTTCGCAGCTGACTCTTCCCGTTGAGAAGGTCGTCGTCGTCAAAGGCGAGGGCGACTGCAACATCCAGACACGCCGCTTCACTTCGTTCCGCGTCAACAAGGATGGCAAGATCCTCAAGACATCGACAGGAGGCGTCAAGGTCCTTGTCGAGGCGATCTACGAGGCGGGCGACTATGGTACGTCCCTCTCACCTTTTCTCTTGAGACGATACTATCCTAGCGTCACAAGCTGACACTCCACACTCTCGAAAAGGCAACAACATCATCTGTGCTTACTCCCGCGCCCTCCCCGACCTCCGCATCATCATCACCGCAATCCACACGGTTGGCGATCTCGACATGGCGCGCCTCAACTGCGCACCGAGCGAGCTGTTGAAGGGATGCCATGGTCTTGTTGACCTCCCTATCAAGGTCGGCACGAGGCGCTTCAACCTGCGCCTAATCGACATCGGAGGCTTCCTCATCAACCTCAACCGCCAATTCTTCAAGCTCCCGACGGCATCGCTTGCATCCCTCGCGGCATCCTGGTACACAACCCCGTCCGGCATCACGCTGCACGACCCTCGCTTCCCTCAGCCCGCCACCCCCTCCACGAAGCTCATGACGGTCATCAAGTCCAGCCTCGATGCCGGATCACTCCTCGCCCAGCTGCTCAAGTGCATCACCGACATTTATCAGACCGATATGATCGTCAAGTCGATCGTCCCGCTCGTCCAGCTCATCTTGAGCGACGAACTCGAGGGGAAGTCGGGACTCGACCTTATCAGGCGCGAGCCGGACGAGCGCAGCTTGAGGGAGTACTTCGCCGCAGTCTCCGCCGAGAGCGAGACAATCAAACGCTCGTCGCAGGCTGTGTCAACGTCGACTGGCACCAGCATCCCTGGCAATCTCGGGCCGATCGACCTGACGCAGGACTCGGACCAAGACGACGAGGGTTTCAGCGGTGGACGCGATGGCGCAGGCTCGTCGCGCGGCGGACTCGACATTCAGACGGTGCCGAAGGGGACGGCGAAGGCTGCGACTGAGGCGGACGGGAGCGTTGTCACGGCCCAGCAGGAGGAGCGCTGGAAGAAGCTGATCTCGCTCGTCTGGCCGGCCGCGGGAGTCAAGCGCAAGCGTGACGAGGCCGACGAGGCCGGGGGCGAAGATGGGGATGCGTAGCGCCAGGTTGAACGCTTGAGAAGGCAAGAGGCGGGCTGCTAGACGAGCCTTCCTAGACGTACGCTTGAAAGACAGGTTGCATTCCCATCACGGTACTACCTGTGAGCGAAGCAGCGGGCCGCTGTCGACTAGGCAAGTGTTGAGGCTTGCGGCGCGAAGGTAGCGGTTGAAGCGGTTCGGCAGGTGTGATTCGGGGATGACTCCGGGACGACAGCGGTCGAAGGAGGGAAGGAGGCTGACCGTCACGGGAGAGGAGAGAGGCTGGATGTTCTGGTCTCATTCATGTGCGATAGCCTGAGTGGTGAGGAGAGGAAGGGTGTGAGCATCATGCCCTGGTCGCCAGAGGTCCAGGCAATCGTGTTCCCTCCCGTCCAAGCACTGCAAAGAAGCTTCTCCTTGTCAGCAAGCACCACTGGGCGCCTTCCTTGGTGTCGATTGGGTTCGCAGAATCGTGCGACGAGACGAGGAAGAGGCCATCAGGCGTTTCGCACTGGGCGAAAGAAGCAAGCGCATTCCGTATCTTGAGAAGAGCTCAGTTCGCATGGAAAGTGGGCCCATCTCCGTGCGAAACCATTTTAGCCTTCGCCAGCAGCAAGGCGCGTACTCGACCGCGACGCGAAGAGGACAAACAAAGCAAGGGAGTCGCGAAACCCTCGCTCCAGCCGCTCCGAAAGCCTCCAGCCAGGTAGCCGAGAGAACTCACAGATAGGACAAGCATTCGGTGATGGCAGGCGGGGTCTGCGAGCGCGCGAGGATCGAGGATGTCGTTGTGAGGACAATCCTGTCAAGCAAGCAAGCCTTGTCAACGCTCCTGGACGTAGTTCGGCGTGACAGCGGTGGACTCACTCGTCTGCACGTCCCCTGGTAACCGTCCCGGCTTGAAGAGCGGCCGGACAGCGAGGTAATGCGTGCACGCCGTTTGAGGAGAGCGAGAACAGCATCGTCGGGGGAATGCCGGAGGGAGGCTGTGAGCAAGCACGTTCAGTGACACTCTGCAAAGCGTCTCAGGCAGCGCAAAGAGCCATCGACACTGAGCTGAGAAAGCGAGGTAAGCGTCCATGTCGAAGGAGAATCTCCAGGATGGCGCTTGGGCTCAGAGACTCGCCCATCGCCCGCAGGTTCGCTGCTTAGATGAAGTCCGACTCACCGCTTTGCTCAAAGTGCTAGGACGTGGAGCAGCTAAGCCAACGAAGCGCCTTGCACCGACTTCTCCTCGCCGAACACCTCTCTCCAACCTCCACTTCACGCTGGATGTCCTCTAAGCCGCCTCTCAGCTCGTCCGGCCTCGAAGACGAGCTCGCAGCCTTCCGAGCACAATGGCAAGCCGAGACGCGCCGGCGACAAGCTCTGCAGCGCGACGAAAACCCTCCGAGTTCTTCATCAGCAAGTCGACATCATCGAGTCGAACCACCGGCGCAGGCTGCTCCGCCCCCAGCTCACACTTCGCCTAAACAACCTCGACGCTCGCTGGACAGCGAAGATGGGGAATTGGCGGCGCGGGTGGCGGACTTGCAGGTTGAGGAGAAGGAGGTCTCGCCCCGAGCGAAGGGAAAGGCGAAGGAGGTGCGCGAGGTGCCGAGGGAGAAGGAGCGGGAGAGGCCAAAGTCTGCGTTGGAGTTGTACGAGACGGCGGTCGTGAGCGAGCGAGAAGGGAGAATGCACGACGGTGCGTTCGATGCGACTTTCCTCGGGTCCCTGCAGCGGTGGAAGGCTGGTCTCGGTTCGAGTTGTCACAGCCCTCGTCAACTACCGCTCTGCATTCCGCCTCGACCCGGACGTCGACCGCGCCTACCACCTCGCCTCTCTCGCGGCCGCACAAAAACACGCCGCATCTCGCGGCTCGCAGCCCTCGCACGCAACCGGCTCAAACTCGCAGGAATGGCGCTTCGAGCGGACTGTCCAGCTCGGGCCGGACTATGACGCGAAGAAGGAGCACCGGAGCAAAGAGGAGGCGCAGCGCGAGTCGGGTAGCGCAGATGCGGATAGCACGCACCCGTCTAGCACCGGGTTCTTGCTCAAGTCGTTGCTCAAGTCGATCGCTGAAAACCCTTACGAGCGACCGCCTCCGCCTGTACATGCTGCGGCACCTACTTCCCCTCGTTCCGCCGCGCAATCGCTTCCTCCGACAACCACCGATCTCGACCAGCCCAAAGCGCCACCGATGACTCCCGAACAAGCCCTTGCAACGCTGCACTTTATCCCAGCCGACGAAGACCAGCCCCTCCCCCTCGCTCACCTTCCTCGCGAAGTTCTCCTCCTGATCCTCCGCCACGTCGCCCTCTCCGGTATGAACCCACCCCGCCCCCATCCCTCTCACGCCGATTCTACCAACCCCGACGTCCCATCCGCTCCAACAACCAAATCCAAGCGGCTCCCACGCAAACGCACACTGAGGGAAGAGATGCACCTCCTCGAGATGGAGCTGGAGCTGGAACATACGGAGAGGGAGTGGAAGAGTGATGTAGAGGCGCTAGAGAGGTTTGCGAGGACGTGTAGGGCTGCGAGGGTGTTGACGCTCGATTCGGGGATTTGGAGGTGAGTCCCCATCTCCCTTTCGCTACCATCTCGGAGCGGTGCTGATGAGTGGCTGGGTGCGGGTGATAGGGCTCTGTGTCTGAGAACGTATGTCCCGCCGCAGCAGATTGGGCCGGAGGAAGACGCGTTGCAGCTTGTTAAGCAGCATGGGAACGACTGGCGGAGGTTCTACATCGAGCAGTGCGTCGCTTTCCCTCTTGTCTCTGGTGTACAGACGACTTACGAGGCGCGCACCAGCCCGCGATGTCGCCTAGACGGCGTCTACATCTCGGTCGTCACGGTGTGTTTTGCCTCTTTCCCTCATCCTCCGCGTCCGCCGCTCACACGCTCGCACGCGCAGTACCTCCGCCGCGGCGAGACCGTCTCCGTCTACGCCCCGACGCACCTAATCACCTTCTACCGCTACCTACGGTTCTACCACCACGGCCTCGCCATCTCGCTCCTGACCACCGATCCGCCAGGCCAAGTCGTCCGCCGGCTGAACCCGACGCTGCGCATGTCGGGCTTGTCGTTTGGACGGTGGAGACTGAGAGGCGATTTGGTCGAGGTATGGGGTTTGGAGGACCCAAGTGTGCCGGAAGAGCGGAGGAAGTATTCGTTGAGGATGAATTGCAGGTTCAAGAGTACCGCGCGGGGTCGAATGTGCGTTCACTCGATCCCCTCTCACTGCGTCTGGCGCTGACGGTCGGTCGACGCGGGCGCAGGAACAAACTCGAGATGCTCTCTCTCGCGACCGAGAACCGCCGCACGCTCGAAGTGGAAGACGTCCCGATCCGTCCTTCGAAGCCGTTCTTCTTCTCCAAGGTGGCTTCGTATGCGCTCGAGGACCGCGTCGAGCAGGCGACGGTCGTGTGAGCTGGCGGGACGACGAGGGCAAGGCAAGGGTCTCAGATCGTGATGGGATGATCGGGATCCGGTTCGCTCGACGCAATGCCAGCCGCTCGTCCTTACACACCCGTCTGTGCGTGCATACGAGTGAGGAGTGTGTCGAGAGAGAAGATGGACTTGTGTTCGGCGTCGGCGGGCGGGTCGGTGTCGGGGTCGGCTGCGAGGACTTGGCGCCGGCGCGGGGCCTCCGTCATCTTAGCTCGCCAAGTGTCCTCGCCCTGCAAAGCTGGACAGCCTTGTTGCTGCTGCTGCTGTCACAGCAGAGACGGACAGCTGAGCGATGTACACCAAGCTGCGGGGCGAGCCTCACTCTGCCCGCTCGCCGTCCGTCTCGATCGCTCTCCCTGGAGGAGGAGGAGGAGGAGGATCGGGCGCAGCGTACTCGCCGCCGCGCTCGCCCACGCCAGTCTCGTTCGCAGACAGTCTCGCGACACTCCCACCCCGAGCAAAGCGCCTCCTCGCACTCGTCGTCGCCTTCGTCGTCGTCTTCGGCGCACCCCTCGTGCTGCGCGGCGGGATCAGCGAGGACGTCGGCAGCGAGTACGAGAGTCCGTTCGGGACGTTTGGGGGGCTCGACGAGCGAGTAACGGCGCAGAGACCGCCTCGACGGACTGCGAACGACGGCACACCCCGAGCGGGCGCCTTCAAACCGCTCGCCGGCGCATCCTCCAACAACCCCTCCGTCTCGCTCTCGTCCTTCCTCGATTCCCATTTCGGGCCGCCAGATCTACCGCCACGAGAACAACCTCATGTCTGGCTCACGATGGCCGACGCGACTTGGGCGCGGACAGGGACGGCCGCACTGCACACTTTCGTCGAAAGGCTCAACGTCGAGCGGAGAGCGCGGTACGGGCGGAGAAAGGACGGCGTACGGGATACGAAGCTGGTCGTGATGTGTTTGGACGAAGAGTGCGTCGAGACGGTGGCCAAGTACAAGGATGCGTACGGGCGGGGTACGGGAGGAGGGTATGCGTACGCGGGATTCATGCACAACAGGCCTGAGCAGGTGCGTCCGATCTTTACGAAGCCTTTGAGAATGCTGCACTGACGTCGCCTGCGCTCGACAGATCTTGTGAGTCGGCGGCAACTCCCCTCTCTCTCGTCCACCTCGCCAAGCTTTTCGTCCTCGTCTCGGCCGGTTCCCTCTTTCGCCTGATCCGTGAAGCTGATGGTATGAGTAACTGTGCAGCGCCTCGACATGGCCGAAACTAGCCGGTTCGTGTACCTCCTTGCGAATCCTAGGATCCCCCGGCTGACTCGCTTCTTCCCATCTCTCGCCACAGCTTTCGTCGAAGTGCTCCCTCATCGAGACCTCTTCTTCGTCGACTCGGACGTGGCCTTCCGCTAGTGAGTCGCGCATCGCTTTCGTGACCTCTTGGGACGACAGCTGACAATCTCCGTCTCCGCAGCGACCCCTACCCTCACATGGAGCCTCTCATGGAGACCTACGACATCGTCGCGCAAGAAAACGACTCGTGGGATCACTTCAACACAGGTCGGCTTTCTCTTCCTCTCCTCCAGCCTCCTCGCGCTAAGGCTTGAATCGGCGCAGGCTGGATGTGGATCCGGAGCTCGCAGACTGCGGCGGATGCCTGGAACGAGGTGTTGCAGATGGATATGAAGCAGACGTCGCGGGATCAGAACAACTTTAACGAGGTCTGCCCTCTACGCTAGACTTCCCCTTCGCTTGCTTGAGGCTGACGGGTCCAACGGACAGGTTCTCGGCACAGCCCTCCTGCGCCAACACCGCGACGGCGGCGACCCGCTCCGCAAGCCCCTCTTGTCAGACTTCACAGCCAAGAACGGCTTGAAGGTGCACGTCCTCGACGACAACGTCTTCCGAAGCCATCACTTTGAGATTGATAGGCCGTACGCGGGGAGGGATCGGTCGGTGGTGAGTTCGTTTCTGGCTTTTTTGGGAGGGAGGAGGAAGAGCTGATGAGGATTGCGCGCAGTATGTTCATATGACTTGCGGAGACGCTACCCTTACGAAGGCATTTGTTGCCAAGGCCCAGGTGCATCCGCCCTTCCTGTCTGGTTTTGTACAGTGCTAATCAGTACATGAATGGGCAGGGCTTCTGGGGAGACGTCGACGGCTACTATACCCAGCCTCCGCCGCTCCTTGCCGTCGACCATCTCTCGGGCACGACCGAGGACGTCGAGCAACTCATGAAGATCCTCCTTACCGCTGCGTACGGAACCTCTTCACTCGTCTGAAGCTTCAAAGGCTGACGATTCGCACGCAGCCACTACTCCAACCGCACGCTCCTCCCTCCCTCTCACGCAACATTCCTCGACATCCCCTCCACCACATCCTCCTCCTCTGCGCACTCAACACGCCAAATTTTCTCGTCCTTCCCAGTCCCTCACATCGCTGAAGCACTCGGAGTGGGAATCGTTGAGCCGAGATATCCGACGTTGGCGGCGAGGGAGTTGGCGGGTGGGAGTGTGCTTGGACGAGAGGCGGGGCTGAGAGCGGATGCGGGGAGGGTGGAGAAGGACGGTGGGAAGGGCAAGGCGGAGAAGATTGTCAGGCTGGGAGAGGTGGTCGAGTTAGGTACGTTTCACCTCCTTCCTTCGCCTGCCCCCGTGCATTGCGGCTCACTCCCTCCATCACACACAGACATGCGCCACACCCCAACCCTCAGCTCTCTCCTCTCGCTCCTCTCCCAACCCTCCTTCTCCCCCTCCTCCGCCCCAACCCTCAAACTCATAAACTTCGACTGGCCCGACTCTCAACACTGGCGACTCTGGCGTCTCCCCCGCACGCTGGAACACATCACGACCTGCCAATTGCTCGAAGAGTTACCCGCTTGTGATGCGATTTGTCGTGGATCGAGGGAGGGAGTGAAGGTTGAGGAGGGGTGGCCTTCGGTTGAGGAGGCGTCGGCGTTGGGCGAGGAGGAGGCGTACGAGGAGGAGGGAGCGGAACGGTAGGAAGATGAGGGGTATCATAGACTTTCTCGCACATATTAGGCCTCGCCTCGCATCTTCTCCTCGCATCTGCATATTGTTCGGGCTGGGCTGGCTTCCGCTTGCAATCAGGCAACTTACTAAGCACGTCGCAGGTGACCGCACCGGACACGAGAGGCGTGAAAGGCTTGAAAGGTGATCGCGAGAGGGCGACTTTGCTCTTCGCCTCCGCTACACACGCCCACCGCCTTCGGGCGGCTCTCAGACGCGCTCGCTAGCTCCATAGACCTACACGCGATGCTCCACAAGCGCATCTGCTATTCCCCGCCCGCTCCTCCCTCTTCCACAACCTCATCAACGAACACCGCCTCCTCGCCTCCTCAACTCGGAACAATCCTCTACCACGGTCCCGTACCGCCTACGAAGGGAAACTGGTACGGTGTGGAATGGGACGAGCCGGCGAGGGGGAAGCACAGTGGGGTGTATGAGAAGACGGGCGTGAGGTACTTTGTTCCCCGGTGCGTTGGATCTCTCCCGCTTCAGTTCCGCTTCTTTAGCGGTTTGTATTGACGGCGGGCTCTCGCGCAGAGTCGAGGGAGCCGGCAGCTTCCTCAGACCGGACGCAAAAGGCCTCGACATCGAAGGGAAGACCTTCAGCGAAGCGCTTCACGCCAAATACCTCGACTACAGCTCGCCCTCTTCCTCCCAGCCTTCCACATCGGCATCGCCCACATCCCAAGACCCTCAAGTCCGTGCTGCGACCCAGCGCTTCGCGACCGACAGCAACTTCGAGGTCGAGGTCGTCCTGAACGATCGAGTGAACGAGCGGTTCAGGCAGCTCGGAAGGCTAAGGGAGGTCGGACTCGAGTGGGAGGGCGTGAGTTGCGCTACGCGGAGCGGCGAGAAGGGTGAGGAGGAGGAGCTGCGACGTCTCGGCCAGCAGCTAAAGAGTACGTTGGTCTCGCTTTACCACCTCGAAGAGGCCCTTTCCATTGAGAGGCGCTCTTTTCTGGACGTAGATCACGAGACTGACCTCAGATCCCACTCCACAGACCTTGAAGTCCTGAACCTCAGCTTCTCACTCCTCCCGACGCTCGAAGAAGCTGACCGCATCGCGGCAGTCCTCCCCAAGCTGCGGAGTCTCGCACTCAAGTGCGTCTCATTTCTATTGGCGTCTAGCGCGCCTCCACTACTGACGAGTTCCCCTTCACAGCTCGAACCGCTTCGTCCGCGTCCATTCGCCAACTTCGCTGGGTGGCCTCGAATGCTTGACGAGCTTGCAGCTCAACAACACGCTCATGCCATGGTCAGAAGTGCGTCAGGCTACTCTTCGAAGTATGCTGCTCTGCTGACTTCTCGGTCTGCAGGTCCGCCTCATCTCCTCTTCATTGCCCAACCTCGTCGACCTACAGTTCGGCTTCAACCGCCTTCGACGTCTCGGAGATACTGGACACGTCGACCAGATCGCTAATGCCGACTCTTCACTGCTGCCGAGCCTGAAGAGGCTTAACTTGGAGTCAAATGAGCTGGACGACTGGGCAGACATCGTAGGCGAACTTAGCTTCCTCCCAAGGTGCGCTCCGATCTCGCGCCGCCCGCATTCGCACCTTTCCTGACATATTCTTCGCGCAGCCTCGAGGAGCTATACCTCACCAGCAACCGCCTCAAGTCTCTCGCCTTGCCGCAGCCTCGAACGCAACCTCCTCCTGCAACTTCAGCATCTCCTTCCCCGCCTCAGCTCACTCGCTTGCGACATCTGTCACTGTCGGAGAACCTCTTGGAATCGTGGGCGACGTCGGTCGACGCTCTCGCCGCATTCCGCGACTCCACCTTCCCCAGCCTCACAAGCATGCGGCTGTCCGATAACCCGCTCTTCCGTCCGCGCTCTGCACCCACGACCGAAGCGACAGAGACACAGCCAGCCTCAAATGCAGACGACCGACACCTCCTGCACTCGCGTCTGCTCATCATCGCTCGACTACCCTTCCTTACCGAACTCGAAGGCACGGTGATCTCGCAAGCCGAGCGCGACGATGCGGAGCGGTTTTGGATCGAGCAGGTCGCGCGGGGGAAGGAGGAGGAGGCGGCGTTGTCGGAGTGGGCGAGAGGACGGCTAGCGGAGCTTCGGCAGAGTAAGCTAAAACGTGCGCCTATCTCTCAGTCAAAATCGCTCACAGTTCGTACGTTCGCAGAGTGGCCAGACGTTGCCGGCTCGTTGGATTCGAGCGGAGTGAACGGCGTCGCCCGAGAAGCTAAACGGACGCTCAAGAACCGCCTTATCCGTGCGCCGAGGCCTCCTCCTCCTGCCGAACTCGCTGACGGAGTTTCGACGCTACGCAGGACTTCACGTCCGCCCCGACCCTTCGGTCCTATCCATTACCGCCGCCACACCTCTCGAACTCTCCGTCCTGCCCTCTCTTCGCACACTTCTCCTTCGCACGCAAATCTCGCGCCTGATCGGCAAGCCACTACCGAAAAGCAAGTTCCGGCTCGTCGCAGTGCTCAAGCCCGGAACGGACGCACGAGGCGAGGACGGCGAGGAGGTCAGGGTGGAGATCTCGCCGGCGGAAGAGGGCAAGGAGGTGAGCTGGTGGGGTCTCGAGGACGGCGACGCGGTAGAAGTCGTAGCACTGTAACCAGGAGCGCTTCAGACGATACGTTCGTGCGTAACGAGAGTTGCAGTGTGCGTGAACAGGCGAGGACTAACGACAGAAACGAAAGGATGAAAGCTGCAAATGGATCGGTATCGAGCTAGCTGGGTATGCGGGAGGTATGTGCGGGTGAGAGCGTGTGTACAGGGCGGATGGGTGTATAGACAGGTGGACAGGCGAGACTCGTCGCTGGCTCACGCACAGGAACTCCTCCGCGTGTCGCTTCCTCCTCGTTGCTCCTCGCACGAGCTCCTCCTCGTGTCGGTTCCTCCTCGCTGCGGCTCCTCCTCCGCCTTCTCCTCGCGGGCCTTCCTCCCCCTCGCACCCGCACCCGCACCACCCTTCTTCTCCCTCCCCTCCTTCCCCATCCACGTAAAGTTCCTAATCAACTGCGCAGCGCTGCTCCTCGCGCTCTCCGCCGCACTCTTACTCCACCACCCATTCACGCAATCCGCACGACTGCTGCGCGCGCCGCTGGAGGTCGAGGGAGGAGTCTGCCAGCACCCGCCTTCGTCGCCGAAACACCACGACCAGTCATGGCCGTTGTCATAAAAGTCGAATTGGTCGTCGTCGGCGTGTGTGGGGGGCTTGAAAGGGGGAGAGACTTGGCGGAGGGCGAGCTTGTCCCAGTCGATGGGGGAGAAGAACGGGTGGGCCTTGATGGACGAGGCGTCGCCTGTCGAGCCGAGGCGTTTCTCCGGGTCGCGCTCGAGGAGCTGTGCCAAGAGTAACTCGACCCCGTATCAGCATGATTCTTCCCCCAGAAAAGCACCACGCCGAAAGCATCGTGAGATCCATTCGCACGCACCTTGAGCAACAAATCCTTCAACTCCGGTCCATAGCCCTTCCTACTCGGGATCTTGATCTCCATTCCCAAGATGCGTTCGTACTCCTCGATACGCGACTCGCAGTAGAACGGGCTCCAGCCGAAGCACATCTCGAAGAGGAGGACGCCAAGGGACCACCAGTCGGCGGGGAAGGAGTAGCCGACGTCGAGGAGGACCTCTGCTCGGCGAGAATGAGTCAGCGGAAGGAGAGCAGGAGGAAGGGAGAGCGCGACGCACCGGGAGCGACGAAGGCGGTTGTCCCGCACAGCGTTCGGCACTTCTCGTCCGGCGACTCGAGCAGCTTCGAGAGGCCAAAGTCGCAGAGGACGACGTGACCTGAGCCGTCGAGGAGGCAGTTCTCGGGCTTGAGGTCCCTGCAGGGGGGAAAGCCAAGTCAGTCGTTGCGACGAAGGGGCTGACGGGAGGCGACGAAGACGCACCGGTAGACGATGTTGTTCTCGTGGAGGTACTCGAGCGCAAGGATGATCTCGGCTACATAGAACCTGACCTTGGCCTCCTCGAACCTCCCTCCATCCCTCTGCAAATGCTGAAACATCTCTCCACCCGACTTGTAATCCTGAATGAGGAACAACTCCCTCTCGCTTTGAAAGCTAAACTTGAGACCGACGAGGAACGGCGAGTCAATCGTGCGTGCGAGGACCTGCCGTTCGGCGAGGACTTGGGCGAGCGCTTCGGCAGAGGTGATGGACGCTTTGCGGATGACTTTCATGGCGTAGATACGCTTCGTGTCGCGTTTGCGGACGCGGAAGACTTGGCCGAACGAGCCTTGGCCGATCCGTCGCAGGATCTGGAAGTCGTCGACTGTTAGTTTCGGGCGGGACTGCGTGAGGCAAGGTTAGCGGCGAGTGCAGGGGGAGTACAGGAAGTGAACGCACGAGGAGAGGCTCGAACAGCAGTCGCAGGCGAATCTCGCCGCCGATAGTCGGGTCGAGGGCGCTCGTGAGGCTGCAAGATCTCCGACCACGCTCAGGTCAGCGGCACACTCTACACGCGCTCACGCCAGACCAGATGGACACCGACTCACGGTACCCAAACATCCAGCCCATCCCCGTCCTCTCCCTTATCCACCTCCTCCAACAACGGCGGCTCAAACACGCTCGCTCCCAAGAACCCATGAATCCTCCTACTATCCCCCCCTTGCGGGGCGAGCTTATCATACACGCAGACGAGGATCGTTCGGCCGGGCGAGACGACGTCGAATGTGGCTGTGTGGTTCCAGATTGGATTCGAGGGGGTGCCGATTTGGGAGGGGTCGCCGGAGGGGAGGGAGGGGGAGACGGGGCGGAGGGTATGGGTGGTTGAGGGGAGGGAGGAGGTCGTTTGGCGTGGGTTTGGGGAGGGCGGGACGGTTACTGAGGCGAGGGAGGAGATGGCGGATGAGGCTGAGGTTGAGGAGGTGCCGGTCGAGCGGGAGGAAGTGAACGCCGACGGGACGGGCGAGACGTCGTTGCTCTGTGTCGAGGTCGATGCGAGAGAGGGAGCAGTCGTCGCTCCGCCTACGACGCGGCGGACGGTCGTCTCGACGCCGTGAATCTGCGAATTCGACCCTGGCCGCTTCCGCCTAATCGCACCGCGCTTTCCGTCGCCTGCCGGTGCTGGCGAAGGAGGAGGCGCGCCCCATTCTCGCGAGACGGAGCTGTGCGCGCCACGCAGAACGACATCAGCGTCCGCATCAGGTGGATTCGGTGCACCGCCCTCTAGGGGAGGAAGAGAACGCACTCGGTCCTGTCGTACTGCAAGAGTACGTAAGGCTTTGCGACCTCCCCCTCGGGGATGGCGAGTCCCTTGGCCTCGACGACGCGGACCTTGAGCCTGCCCACGAGCTGGGTGGTCGGCACGTCGTCCATCTCCTCTCCCACCTCGATTGCCTCGTCCTCGCGCGAGCCAGCCTCTGCCGTGCGCTCGTCTTCGCGCGGATCCGTTGCAGGCGTGAGACTCATGGCGGAGGGTTTGGTTGGCGAATGGAGCGAGTGGAGGGAGGACAGCGAGCGTGCGGGCGAGAGGGTGCGAGGCGGAGTCGGAGCGGGCGAATGCAACGGCGTCAGGTGTGGCGCTGGCGGGTCTGGTTGCGCGAGGTCGAGCGAGACGTCAGCACGAGATACGAATCCACGCGAGCCCACGACTCGGCGCCTCTCCCTCCCGCAACCCTCCTCCTCGCGTCGTCCCCATGGGCAAACACCCCAAGTCCACGGCCAACTGTACTCACACAGCTGGCAGAACGACTCGGCAGGGCTGAGTGGCACCGTCGGGCTCCCTCCTCCTCCTCCTCCTCCATCGCTCGTGTTGGCGCTCCCCGGCGTCGACCACCGGAAACTCGACCTGCCAGAGTGTCTCGAGTGGGGCAGCGGGCGCAGGAGCGCGTCGAGGTGGTCGCTCGACCCATTGGCGTGGGCGTGGAGGTGCTCTGGCAGTGCGCTCAGCAGCAGCGCGTTCGTCGTGCGGTCGGGGCGGCCCATCCAGCTGGAGAGCAATGCCGCGGGGAGAGGGCGGGATGGGTGTGCGGCGAGGGAGAGTGCAAGTGGATGCGGCGGGCGTGTTCGGTGTTGTTGCTATGTACAGCTCGAGTCCAATCCGAGCAACGAGACGCTTTACGGGAGAACAGCCAAAGCAAGCGAAGCGAACGAGCGGACGTCCACCGGGAAGGCCATCCCGGGAGGAGTCGCGGAACAAATCGCAACAGACGGATGGCGAGGTTCACGATAGCAGCATCCGCGCGACAGTCGCGACAACAGCATCGTACACGTCCCACGCCTGTTCCGCGACTATCGAGGGCGGAGAGGCGGGGGGAGGAGCGAAAGTCAGCTTGGCTTCTGGCACGCAAGGACGTCCTGGAACGCCAGACACGTCGAGGAGGAGGAGCGCAACGCACGGGAGTCGACATCCAAGTCGGGCCCAACACGCTTGAGCGACGCCGACGAGAGATTGACCTTCTCAGCCCAGTCGGGATGGTCGAGCGCCCACTTGCGCTGGGCTGCGTGCGACAAGCACTTCGTCAGCGGAGAGCTCAAGAGAAGCTTCAGCCCCAGCCCGCAGAGAGATGCGGACTCAAGCAAGCGCCACGAGCGAGCGACTCACCATTCCTCCTCGCACTCTCGACCCTCGCCCTCTCATCCGGCTCCGTCCAAAGCCCGCACTTCCCGCACCCCCTCTCGCACGTTCCCGTGCGCGGATCGTGCGGGTGCTGGCAGAAGTGGGTGTAGCCCACTGAGGGCGGGATGGGGGCGTGGCAGAGGTGGCAGTAGGCGGTCCCGCAGCGGCACGTTACCTGCGTCCAGCCCACCGCATCAGCAAGAGACGGAGGGAGAGGAAGGGAAGGAAGGACGCACCTTGTTACAAGCGCCCGCTCCAACCTCCTTCCTCCCTCTCGCTCCGCACCGCGCACAAACCCAACTAACCGCGTCGCTCATGGCTTTCTCGACTGCGAGGCGGAGAGATTCTTCCGCTTGGGCTTGTTCCGACGCGGGCGTCCACGAGGAAGAGGAGGATGCGGAGGTGCATCGGTGGAGGGCGGGCGCGGAGGGGTTGAGCGGCGCGGAGCAGAGCGTGCAGGAGAGTCGGCCGCAGGGTTCCCATCCTTCCCCTTCGCCCCTTTCGTCAGCCTCCGCAGGCCAAAGATACTCGACCAACCTCGCCCTCCTCATCTCCTCCACCACCCCCTCTTCTCCCTCCACTTCCTCCTCCTCCTCCCACTGCAACTCCTGCACCCCCTCCAACCTCCTCAACCACCCACCCTCCCTGGTCTCCCTTCCGACCACCGCACCACCCGAGGCGCCGCAGACGAAGACCGTATTCCGACCGAGTTTGACACTCAGGATCCGGCTGACGAGCGTGCGTATGTGTGTGAGGAGAAGGAAGGGAGTGTGGTGTGGCGCGAGAAGGAGGTTGGTTTGGAGCGAGAGGAGCGGTGTCGCTCGTGAGTCGGGGTCGTCCGAAGGTGAGGGTGAGGAAGGAGAGGAGGGGTAGAGCTCTTCGTATGTTCGCTCGAGCTTGGATGACCCGCCGAAGAGGAGCACCACCACGCATCCCACCAGCACCAGTCCCGACAGACATACCACCCCAACGACCGTCCTCGCCGCCTCCCAAGCACTCGGAGGGAACGTCCCCACCCACGCCGGGACAAAGACGCTCGCTAGCGGTCCAGCCGAGGCAGTCGAATCCCGCATGACTGCGTAGGGACAGAACGGGCATCGAGCGAGGGGTGCGCCAGAGGAGGCGAGGCGGTCGAGTGTGGTTTCGAGGATTCGGCGGTCGAGGGCGGCGCGCAGAGCGGGGTCGAGCACGCGCGAGAGGGACGAAGGGGAGATGGAACGAGAGCATGGCAAGGAGGAGGCGGCGAAACAGGGGATTGATCCGTCTTGGAGAAGCGAGTCGGGGAGAGAGGCGCCTTCGAAGGTGTAGGTGCGGATGAGGGCGGCGAGGCAGGAGTAGCAGAAGGAGTGAGTGTCGGCAGGGGAGGAGGGGGATTGTGAAGAGGGAGAGGGAGAACAGGAGACGGAGTGTGCTGGGTCGGGAGAGATGGGCGCGAAGCAGCACTGGCATTCGTCGTCCACATTCGCGGCGGGGTCGCCGCTCGCGATCGTAGGCGTCATCGTCGTTGCCGGCGCCGTCTCGCTCCTTCCCTCCCTCGCACGCCAGAACGCCTCCACCTCCCCTCTCAAAAGCGGATGCACATCCCCTCGCTCCTCCCTCGCTCTCCTCTTCCCCTTCTCCCCCTCCTCTGCCGTCTCACAGTCCTGCAACCCAATCAACCGTCCCCACCAACCCCTCCTCCCCCTCCCCCTCCGTTCCTGCGCCCGCAACTCCTCCTCCTCCAACCTTCCTCTCATCCCCTCGTACGTCCCGCCTTCGCGCTCGACGACTTCCTCTATCCGTCCGGGTTGCGTAGAAGAGAGGAGCGGGAAGAGCGAGTGGAAGTGTGACGAGAGGGCGGCGTTGTATGAGGAGGGATGGACGAGGTCGCCTGGCGTCAAGACGGGCGGGGTCTCCGACTCGTCGTCACGAGCCGGTCCTTTGCCCTTCGTATCGACTCGTGAAGGAGTAGGAGGGAACAACGTCTCCCACACGTCCCTCCAAAACATCCCTCCTTGTCTCCCCTCCCTCTCTCGCCTCTCCCGCGCCCTCCGGTTCCGCAAAACCTGAAAACGCAGCACCTCTTCCACAGCACGTGAGAGGAACGACTCCTTCTCCTTGAGGACGAGCGAGCGAAGTGAGGAGATGGGTTCGAGAGGGAAGAGGGCGTGCAGGCGGATCCTACTCAAGTACCTCGATTAGCCCGGCGTCTGGAGGAGAGAGAAGGGAAGGAAAGGAATGACGTACAAAGCAAGGTTGCGCGCAAGCGTCTCGTCCACTCTCCTCTTCCTCGTCCTCTTCCTTCCGTTATCCTTCCTACCGCCGTCCTCCCGTCCCCTCCGCTTCTCCTTTCCAAAAGCCCTCCTAACCTCCTCCCTCCCCGCAATCCCCTCCCCTCCCCTCCTATCCAAAGAAGTCGTCGCTATCCAGATCCACCCCCTCACCTCCTCCCCCTCCATCTCCCACCCCCCCTCCTCCCTCTCCTCCACCAAAAGCTTCTCCCCCACCCTCTCAACAACTTCCTCCGCCTTCAGAGTCGGCTGACGCGCGAGGTGGTGCGTTACGCAGGATGCGAGGAAGGGGGGAGAAGTGTGGGGGAAGAGGTGGGTGAGGAGGGTGAGGGCGGCGGAGTGCGCGGTTGTGGAGGAGGGGACGTGAGAGGAGACGGAGGGGGTCATCGTAGCAGGGTGGGAGGCATGGTGGTGAGGGCGCAGAGAAGTGGAGGAGGAAGAAGGGTTGGCGAAGCGATGAGGAGGGCTTGCGGCGCTCAGGGAGCTCTCTCACTTGGGACGCAGGACGACGGGAAGGGTGCACGAGAACACGTTACAAAGATGAGAGTACTACGGAGGAACGCAGCGAGGGCGAGCGAGCGAGAGATCAAGGAGAAAGAACCTGTTCCTTTCGAAGCGAAGCGCAAGCCCTGTTATGCGCCAAAGACATTGTCAGTTTTGTGCTCCAAGCCTTGATCTCTCGCGCGCGCCCGCCACCAAGCACCCGAAGCTTCGAAAGAGGGGGGGATCAGAGTATGCTCGATAAAAATGGTTTAGAAGGCGAGCAGGTTCGGCATCTCCCCTTTACAAGGGATACGCAGACCGTCGTGATTATAGTGATGGGGTATCGTCGTCTCCCCCCCTGGGCTTGGGGTGGCTCGGGTGCTTGGATGGGTGCGGGGCGTGCGCGGGAGGGAGAGGGAACTCACGGTGGTGAGGGGAAGCGAGGCGCTCGGAGACGGTGTCGAGCAGATTGTGCATACGTCCTAGACAGACTGAAGCAAGCGAGCGAGCGACGAAGCATCTGTGATTGGGCAGGCAACCTCGTCAGCGACCCGATTCGCCCAAGCCTTGAACGAAACCCCATCCCTCGGTATGCGCTCAGCACAGTAATACAGCCATGTATTGTGCAGCATCTGTCGAACAGAACGTTTCGCTTCGTCCCCGAAGGGAGCGAAGGAAATGCGGACTGCGACTCTGACGGTAATTTGCTTCGATCTTTGCGCGAGGGTAGGGGTGGAGAGGGAGGGCGGACTCACGAGATAGTTAAGAGCTTGAGGCGAAGCGAGGTGAGCGGGGGAGGGGAAAAGCAAGAGCGAGCGCGAGAAGAACCTGTCTACGGTGGAGGAAGGAACACGAGAGTCAGCGCTCGTTCCAGCCCGTCGACCGCCCACCGCATTGCTCGTCCCGTCGCACGAAGGAGAAGCGAGCGCGCCCAACTTGAGGAGTCAGAGAGAAGATATACTCGTCTCCTCACTACCTCGCCCTTGTGAGGCAAGAGGCTCGGAGACTCTAGTTTGAATGATACGTATCGGTGTCATCGCGTTTTTGAGTCGTGCGCGCCCTTTTTCCTCCGTGCGGGACGAGCGATGCAGTGTGGACTGGGAGGGGAGAGGGTGGACTCACGAGTTGGAAGATTTGGCCGCGCAACTTGGTGGTGAGCTAAGTCGTGGTCAGGTCGCACGGTCTAGCAGCGTGTGCAGTCGACAGTCCAACTGCGTCCACACGAGTCGAGGGCAGGGTAACGGGGTGAAAAGCTTCATGGTGCAAGTCGTGTCGAGTGTCGTTGGCGAGTCGAGCGCGGTCGGGGTAATTGTATCGTGCGAGTCTAGCTGTGTGTGTGTGTTTGCACTTGCCCCATCAGCTGCCGAGTGAATGAGAGCGAGAGTGAGGAAGAGGGAGAAGAAAGCCGCGCGAGCTCGCTCGAACTTACCCAGCGAAGGCAGAAACTAGTTTGTGCCCGGCTGACGTGGCGCTGCGCTGGTTTTGCACCCATTTCGTACGCCGCCGCGTCGCTCCGCCTCCGTCCTCCGCCATCATTCAACAACTCTGCTCTCTCTTACTCGAGGCTAGACAGGCTCCCAATTGGCCATAATGGGCTCGGCACAGATCACCGAAGCCCTCGCCTCGTTGTCCCAATCCTCCCGCATCCTCTCCTCCCTCTCCTTCGCACCCCTCGCCGTCCTCCCTCAAACAGTCCTCTCATCCGAAGACGCGTTCGAGACGCACCTCATACGCGATGCAGCACCTCACGAACTCGCACTCTTCGAACCGAACGACCCGACGAACGATCCCGTCATTGCGGTGGATGCGTTTGAGGGGGCAGGGATCGAGGGGGAGAGGTGGGTCGCGGCGAAGCGGGCCGGGCCGAAGAGGGCGGGCGGAGTAGTCGGGCGACCTAGTCCCCTGAAGGAGAGGAGGGCGACGACGGCGAGGGGAGGAGGAGCGACGGACCCGGACCGCTGTTTGAGGGCCGCAAAGAAGCTCCTCGACGTCTAGTGCGCCGCCCATCCCGTTCTGTTTGTCGTCCAGGAGGCACTGACAGGCATGTGTGCCCGCAGCACGATGCCTCGCGCACAGGAACACGTCGAAGCTCTCCACTCGCAATGGGCCGGCATAATCGACACCATCTCGTCCCTCGAAGACACCCTGCGCCGGGTCCGTCCTTCCCTCCCCTTCCCTTCGACTCCTCCCTTCCTGACTAACTCCTGAACGGCGCGCACGCAGCCCCCCTCCCGCTCCGCCCCCCAACCCTCCCACGACTCGTCCTACTTCCGCCAACTCGAGCTCGAGGACCTGATCAAGCGTGAAAAGTTGGAGGTGTTCGCGTTGGAGCAGTTGAAGGCGGAGAAGGAGGCCGAGGTGTGTTTCAGCCTTTTCCTTCCCTTCCCTCCTTTATCTGCCCGGTCTTCTGTCTTTCCCGCTGACTTCGCGGATCGATTGGCGGAACAGCTCGCAGCCCTCTCCCCTCCCTCGCCCTCCTCTCGCCCCTCTGCACCCTCCACATCCGCATCGTCCACACGCCCCGACACCGCACAGGACGGCAAACCTACCCGCCGCGTCCCCTCAGTCGTCGCCCGCGCCCGAGGCGGTCTCGCGCAGCCCTCCTCCACCTCTCGACGCTCTCTCTCTAGCTCTCCTCAGGTGGGAAAGAACGACAACAAGCTCGAGGAATCGACTATCGCCTCTCAGCTTCCCCCGCCCGACTCGCTCACAAGAACCGGTGTCAACGTCGCGCTCCCTTCCTCGCCTGCGCGTAGGCCTATCGGCGCGCGCGAGAAACGTGTTAGTTTGGTTGGAGCCGGGAGGGCGCGGACGAGTTTGGGGAGGAAGTCGTTGGGATTTGCGGGGGCGGTGCCTCCTACGGAACAGGGACAGGTGGATGCGAAGCAGGAAGATACCGAAGCGGAGGGGGAGAAGACTCCCACCAGACCCCTTCCCTCCGTCCCATCCCCACACCGTTTCCCACCGCAGGTCACGCAGCAACAAGTGGATATTGCCGTCAAGGCTGTTTGGGCGGGGTTGGGGCTTGGGGGGTGGAAGGCGCGGTGGGAGAGGGAGGGGCGCGAGGGAGGGGCGGGGGAGAAGGAAGAGGAGTGGAGGGAGACGATGTGCGTTGCTTTCGTCTCACTCGTACCTGTCTGTGCGCACACGAGAGTCGTGTACGATGCTGACTGTCCGTGCTTGATGTTGATGCAGCGCCATCTTGCGCTACGGAATCTCCTCCTCGCTCGCTGCCGCCTCTGCCGCCTCCTCGAACGGCCCGTCCTCGCCTTCTTCGCATTCAATCACCTCCTTCTCGACCTCTACAACAGGCGGTGACTCCTCCGATCCCTCCAACGCCAGCCCAACACCCTGGACGCCCTCCCAAATCGTCGAAGCACAACTGTGCAACCTCCTCCTCTCTTCAATCTGCGGCGTTCCCCTCCCCTCCTCCCCGTCTTCCTCCTCCCTCCCAGCACTCACGCTCATATTCCGCGACTCCGTCCTCCCCGTCCCTTCAACCTCTCCTCACCTCCCCTTCACCGCACTCAAGTCTCACCTCGGGCACTTTGCGCGCGCACAGGAGTGGACGGAAGAGATGGGTACTACGGCGGTTTATTCGCTTGTGGGGAGGCAGGTGGTCAAGATTGATCGGAGGGGGAGGGAGGGCGCGGCGGTGAGGTTTGAGAGGGGGCAGGAGTAGCGCGGTTTGTGTCTGTGTGTTGGGTCTTGTCTGGAGGTGGTCTGAAGATGTTTTATTGCACCAGGAAGAGGAGGGAATGGAGCTTGCTCGCTCGCTTTGCTTTCGCTTGAGTGTTTGACCAAACTCGTTCACGTCGCGTCTCGCACGACGAGCAGGAGAGGGTCTGCTTCTTTCCTCTCCCTCCCGCTCACTCTCCAGCTAGATCAGTTAGGACACCATGTCCTCACAGAAGAAAGCCCCCTCGTCAATCGGCGGCGGCGGCGGCTCGCAATCCACCCTCCTCAGCTTCTTCTCCAAACCCGCGCCCTCCTCGTCCTCCTCGTCGCACCTCGCTTCCTCGTCGCCCGCTACTGCGCGTAAGCCGCTCGCAAAGCCCAAGTCGATGCCGGTGAAGAAGGGTGAGGTCGTCACGCTTGAGAGCAGCGATGTTGAGGCGGAACCGAACGAGGAGGAGGCGAAGGTCAAGGTGCGTCTTGCGTTCGCTTCCTGCTGATCCGAAACGCTTCAGCGCGATCCGAGAGCTGATCGATCGGCTGGCCGTATACGCACAGGTCCCCTCCAAGCGCCCTGCACCCGCACCAAAACCCAAATCCCCTCTCCCTCCGTCCTCGACCGCCGTCAACGACGCCAGCGGCTCTGGCTCAGACTCGGACGAAGCTGTCTCGGCTGCGAGGAGGAAGAGACCTTCGCTTGGACGGGGCGTGAAGGGTGGGAAGGGGGTCGTTGTCGACTCTGAGGAAGAGGACGAGGGTGCGTCTCTCGCTTTTTTCTTTCGAGCGTATGGATGGGGCTGATGTGAACGTGTGCGGGTAGAAGATGTCAAGCCCCTCAAGAAGGCCGCGACGAGCGGCAAGTCGTTGACGAACGGGAAGGGCAAGGCCGGGGCGAACAAGTCGAAGAAGCAGAAGAAGGGAGGGGACGACGACGATTTCGCGGCTAGCAGTACCGCCGGCGAGGACAGTGAGTCACCGCCTTCTAGTCTCATTGACGAGGCTGACGAGGAGGGGTTTTGTCGGGACAGGCGACGACTACTTCGACGACGGCCTCGACGACGCACTCGCCAACCTCTCCGACTCGTCCTCCCACTCCGCCGCCTCCTCATCCTCCACTCCTCCGCCCAAATCCAAGACGAAGGCCAAAGCCGCGCCCAAGAAGGCAGCTCCGATGTCGAGGCAGACGAGTTTGGGTGGATTCGGCGCAGGCGCGAGGCCGCAACTCAAGAGTGCGGGGAGCGGGAGTGGTGGGATTGGGGGAATCAAGACTGCTGCTGAGACGGCGAGGGAGGTGCGTTCCTCCGCTTGTGCTCGCCTACGTGGACGGACTTCGCAGATGGACTTGCGAATTCGCGTCCTCCTTCGCTAGCACTTCGGGCGGAGGTGCTGAACCGTCCGTCTATATCGACAGAAAGCGAAGCAGGACAAGCAGTCGAACGAGGAGATGTTCAGCTTCCTCGTCGACCCGAAGGACGTGAGTTCGGTTCTTCCCGCGTGTCGCTCGCTTCTGTCGATGTGGACGAAGAGCTGACTCCAAATCTGTCCTGAACTCCCGCAGATCGACGGCAACCGCCCTGGCGAGCCCGGCTATGACCCACGCACGCTCTACATCCCGCCCGCGGCATGGAAGCAGTTCACGCCGTTCGAACACCAGTTCTGGGAGATCAAGCGGTACCACTACGACACGGTGCTCTTCTTCCAGAAGGGCAAGTTCTTCGAGTTGTACGAGGAGGATGCGGTGAGTCGCGCCCGGCTGGCAATTGGCTTCCTGCGCGAGTGTGAGCGGACAAGCGGCTGATACTTACCGTCGCCGTCTTTGACAGGCCATCGGACACCGCGAGTTCGACCTCAAGTTGACGGACCGCGTCAAGATGAAGATGGTCGGCGTCCCCGAGACCTCGTTCGACTTCTGGGCCGCCAAGTTCCTCGCTCAGGGGTACAAAGTCGGCCGTGTCGACCAATGCGAGACAGCTCTCGGAGCCGAGTTGCGCAACAAGGACGACAAGAAGGCGGGCAAGACGGCGGGAAAGGCGAAGCAGGCCAAGGGGAAGGAGATTGTGCGACGAGAGTTGAAGAGCGTGTTGACGAGTGGGACGATCGTCGATGGCTCGATGCTCACGGACGACATGTCGAACCACTGTGTCGCCATCAAGGTCCGTCCGCACATCCTCTATGATAGCAGGATGGTGTTGGCTGACATCGCCTCGCCCGCAGGAACACACGCCTACGCCAATGTCGCCGCCTTCGTTCGGCGTCTGCGTCCTCGACGCCTCAACCGCCGAGTTCTCCCTCTCCTTCTTTACCGACGACGCCTCGCGCACCGAACTCGAGACGCTCGTCCGCCAGCTCAAGCCCAAAGAGCTCATCCACCAGAAGGGCAACTTGTCCGTCTCGACGCTCCGCTTGCTGCGCAACTGTCTCGGGCTGGAGTGTCAGTGGACTGCGCTCAAGGAGGGGAAGGAGTTCCTCAACGCTGAGGATGCGAAGGATGAGGTGGTCAAGCTGTTCGTGGCCTCGACGAAGGGCGGAGCCGGGGAGGGCGACGAGGAGGAGATGGAAGTCGACGGTCAGGACGACGAGGACGTCGTGCCCGAGTCGATCCGCAAGATGTACGACAAGCCGGTCGCGATGAGCGCTCTTGGCGGCATGATCTGGTGCGCGCGTGGTCCCTCCTTCCTCTCTCTTGACGAGCCTACTTACGCTCGACTGTCGTGCAACAGGTATCTCCGTCAATTGAACCTCGACGCCGACCTGGTCACCGCACGCAACTTCAACATCTACGACCCGCTCGGCCGCTCGAACGGCACGCTCATCCTCGACGGGCAGACGCTCGCGCACATCGAGGTCCTTCAGAACTCGCAGGGAACGACCGAGGGTACGCTGCTTCAGCTCTTGAGCCGCTGCGTCACGCCGTTCGGGAAGAGGCTTTTCAAGGTTTGGCTTTGCGCGCCGCTGAGGGATGCGACGGCTATCAACGACCGGTGCGCACTTTTCATCGCTCTATGACGAGATACTCTGCTGATAGTCGTTCGTTCTTCCGCAGCCTCGACGCCGTTGAAGACCTTCTCGGCAACGCCAACTTCGCGGTCGCCTTCGACGGCATGGCGAAGAAACTGCCCGACCTCGAGCGCATGCTCAGCCGCGTCCACGGCAAGACCTGCAAGAAGAAGGACTTCATCGCCGTCATTGAGGTGCGTCGCTCTCTCGCGTCGTTAATACGCAAGCTGATCTGACCATTGCTCCTTAGGCCTTCGAGCGCATCACGACTGGACTGAAGACGCTCGGCGACCTCAGCGAAGACTTCAAGTCGCAGGGCATCCCGGACCTGATCCGCTCGGTCCCCGATGTCAGCGAGCTGCTCGAGGAGATGCAGGGCTTGTACATCTGGGACGAAGAGGCCGGATGTGAGTCCTCGGCTCCTTCGCTTCTTTCGAAGTACCGACTGACGCCAGTCGTGGTCGCAGCCCTTCATCCGGCGGACGGCAAGGACGAGGACTTTGAGGTGAGCCTGCTTGACCGCCACTTCGCTTGCCCTGAGTAACCCGCTTCGCTTCTCCAGCGCGTCCGCCAAAAGGTCGACGAGGTCGAGGAAGAATTGCAGCAGGAGCTTCGCTCCGCCCGCAAATCGCTCAAGTGCCCGGCCGCCATCTTCAAGCACATCGGTACGAAGGACATCTTCCAGGTGCGCCCCTCGCTTTCCCCTCTGCTGGGTGGCATACTTACTCCCCTTCATGTGCAGCTGGAGGTGCCCGTGAAAGTCAAGGTGCCGAACAACTGGACGAAGATGAGCGGCACCCAAAAGGTCCACCGCTACTACTCGCCCGAGATCGCAAGGCTCGTCGCGCAGCTCAAGGAGGCCCGCGAGCGCATGCAAATGGTCGTCAACGACTTCCAGTTCAAGGTGAGTGAGCTTCACTTGCCATGCTTTGTCTCCTGCGCTTAGAAATTTCGCGTCCGGCAGCTCTACGGCGAGTTCGACAAGCACTACACGACCTGGATGACGGTCATCCGCGCCGTCTCGCAGCTCGACTGCCTTCTCAGCTTGTCAAAGAGCTCTGCTGCGCTTGGCGAGCCTTGCGTTCGCCCCGAGATCGTTGAGAGCGACACGGCCATCGTCGAGTTTGAGGAGCTTCGCCACCCTTGCATCCTCAGGTGAGCAGCTCGTGCCTCTCCCCTCTGCCGAGCGATGTAACTGACCCTGGTCTACGCAGCGCGTCGACCGACTTCATCCCAAACGATGTCGTCCTGGGCGGCGAGGCGAAGAACCTGATGCTCTTGACCGGTCCCAATGTGCGTTGCATCGGAAAGTTGTCTCGCTGACGCCGCTGACGACGCAAATGCACAGATGGCTGGCAAGAGTACCCTGCTGCGCATGGCTTGCACCGCCGTCATCATGGCGCAGCGTACGTCTCGCTGATCCCGCCCTGTGAGGGTTCGCTCGACCTGACGTTCCGTTTCTCAGTCGGCTGCTTCGTTCCTGCGGCGAGCGCTCGCATTGCGCCGATCGATGCCATCTACTCGCGCATGGGCGCCAACGACTTCATCTTTGCCAACGCCTCCACCTTCAAGGTCGAGATGGACGACTGCAACAAGATCCTCCAGAAGGTGCGTAGGCACACTTCATCGCTCGTAACCCCTGCTGAAACCTCTTTGCCAGGCCACGCCTCGCTCGCTCGTCATCCTCGACGAACTCGGGCGCGGGACGTCGACGTACGACGGCATGGCGATCGCCTACGCTGTCCTGCACCGTCTTGCGACGCACATGGGCTGTATCGGCTTCTTCGCAACTCACTTCACCTCGTTGACCGAGGACTTCGCCGTAAGCCCGCTCCTTTCGAACCTCGACGAACGATTTCTGACGGGTTCCTCCTCGCAGTACCACCCCGAGTACGCGCATCGGCTTCCTGGAGTCTAGCCAGTCCCTGATTGAACCCTCCTTGCGCGCAGGATCCGCCTCGCCAACATGCAGACGAGCGTCAACGACGAGACGCGCGAAGTTGTCTTCCTCTACAAGCTGGTGCGTCACGCTTTCCTCTCGCTTAAGCGGCTCTTCGCTGATCTACGCTGCTCCCAGATCGACGGCTCGTCGCCCAAGTCGTACGGTCCGCACGTTGCCGCGATGGCCGGTCTCTCCGAGTGCGTCAAGCGCTCGCTCGCTTACTGTCCGCACATCGCTGATGTCCACTGCTAGATCCATCGTCGAGCGCGCCATCGCCATCTCGAAGCAGTTTGAGGAGACGTCCCGCGCTCGCGAGCTCGCCATGCGCGCGAATGAGACGCTCCCGCTCACTGCCCAAGCCGACGCGGCGTTCCTCATCAAGCTCGCCAAGCTCAAGCTCGCCGACGGCAAGTACACGGGCGACACGAAGCAGCTGCTCAGGACGCTGGACATCGTGCGCAAGGCTGTCGGCGCCATCAAGGAGACGAGGGCGGCTGCCTGAGGCGGACAGCGCATTTCCGGGTTGGAGTTTGGAGGTGGTGCCGCTTGTTGTCTATACTCTCGCTTGTACGGTCTCTCGTCGTCCGTTTCTGACCTCGGATGCATACGCTTGCAACACTAGCAGTTTACGGTTTTCGCGAGCGCCGAGAGGTTCGAGGTCGCTGTTGTAGGACCTGCGACGAGTGTCTGCAGCTGTTCGTCGTGGATAGCTGAGAGCGTTCGGCCGTCGAATGGCGGGTAAGCGAGTGGTGTCGCGGTGTCGAGCTGGGACGAGAGGTTTGAAGGGCAGAAGATGCCGTATTCACGAAGGCGGATCGGCGATCATCTCGTCTGAGGGTTCAGGGTAGTCGCAAGGGCCGAGCAGCTGTTTCGAAGAGAGTGTCAAAACGCTTGCGACAGGGAAGGCAGGAAGCCGAGCTCACGTCCATGGTGAATGCCGCGCTTCTCGCTTGTGTAAGCATCGGTGCAGAGACGAGGTGGGCCAGTCTGCAGTAGATCGCAGGTTGCAGCAGCTCGTCAGGTCCGCGAAGCGCTCTTACGAACGAAGGAAGCGGGCTCGAACGCACCTTTCGCCCTCTTCGCTGTAGTACAGCAGCACGCGCGAGACGTCGACGTCGAACGGCAGGCATTGATCGCTGATGGTCGGCACGAGGAGAGCCTCGGCGTCGCGCGACCAGTTCGTCGGACGGTTGTCGGGCCCGAACAGCTTAAGCGACATCTGGTTCGTGATGATGACCTGCGTAATGCTGTCAGTGCAAGATCTGATGAGATTTGAAAGGGGCGAGACGGACGGAGACTCGGTTGGCTGAGCAGACGGTCGATAGGACGTTGCGGATCGTGTCGGCAATGTAGATCCGGGTTGGCGAGTCAATGGTCTGGCGGAAGTGCGCCGAGAGCGAGTCAATCACGATGAGCTTGACCTGCGGAGCGAAGCGTGAGTGGTCACGCCGTTGAGAGGGTCCAGCACAGATGCTTTCTCTTCACGAGGTACGGCCAGCAGACTTACCTTCGGATGCGCCGCGAGCCACGTCTCGAGCGAGTTGAAGAAGGCGAAGAGCATCCAGGCCGAGTCGATGCGGCGGTACCGGATGCCAGAGAGGATATTGCGGACGATGTCGGGCTCATCTGCGAAGGGAAGTCGATCAGCGAGGATGCGAGCGGGTGTCGCGCAGTTACTTACATCCGTGATGCGCGGCGTGGATCTCGGTCGTCTCCTTGAGCAGCGCAGGACTGAGAGATCCTTCAGCGTCTGAAGAGCAGGTTCGTCAGCCCCCCGTGCGACCAGATGTCTGTATGACCGCGCACCGACAACGAGAACCTCTCCGCCGTCCTCCTGGAACCGCTCAGCCAGCATAAAACCCAGCGCCGTCCGCGTCTTGCCCACTCCAGGCGGACCCAACAATTCGAGGACAGCTCCTTCGCCGAGACCCGCTTCTTCCGCCTTGTCAGCCCGCATCGGTCCTTGTGGCGGATGAGCCGGCGTCAACAGCTGGTCGATCGCCGCGCATGTCGAGCTGAAGCGATGTGGAGGTCGGGCAGAGAGCAGGAGCGATGAGGCGGTCTGGGACGGTGCAAGCTCCATGAGGACGGGTGCGGCGCGTCTCAGAGCGAGTAGACGGGCTTCTTGTGCATCTCTCACCCGTCAGCCAATCCAGCAAGAGCGATGACGAGGTAGTAGAGGCCAAGGTTGGTCGACCCCCCTCCCTTCGACCCGAACCGCTCGCTTGTACCGGTTGCAACTGCACTCGCGGGCGTAGTAGATGGCCTCCGTCGCTCTGAGAACGCACCTTACCACCTGGAGCAGCCTGCTCCGCTTCAACTCCGCCTTCACGCCGCCTTCGCGCCTCGCCTCCTTCCGACTGGAGCGACTGCCGTAGTCCTTATGGGCGGCCGGCGAAGGATATCGAATGCGCGCTTGAGTCCCTTCTCTTGTACGCCGCGCCCGGGCGGCGCGACTGCACGGTGCTCGCGAGTCGACGTGCCCGCATAGGCCTCTCCTCCATCTGGCTTTTCTCGCGCTAGCCGTCCAAGCTCTTCTCTTTCTTTCTTTCTCTCGTCCTCCATCCGTCGTCGCCCAGTGATCCGCCATGCCTGCCGACACTGCCCGCCCGGACGGCCCAGCCTCGCTTTCGTCTCTTCCGCGCAAGCTCAAGGAGCGCATCGCCAGCTTCGTCGACGATTTGAGCTTGTACGAAGATGACGAGAATTGGGAGGACGAGTCGACCGATGGCGAGGGAAAGAAGCAGCAGGAGGATGGAGCCGACACTGGCAAGGAGGAGGAGGAGGACAGCGTGCTTGTCACCCTCATTGAGGACCCCGAGGACGCCCGCAAGGTGCGCAGTCTACTTCTCTTCTCTGTTCTCGTCCAGCTGACCCGTCAATGCTACTCGCAGGCCACCCTCTTCGCCGTCAACCTCGTCAACAAGGAGTGGGCGGATATCGTTGCGCCGCTTCTTTGGAAGGTTCGTTCTCTTCTGTCACTCGCTCGTCTGTACGGTTGCTGATAGAAAGATGCGTGTTCTCGCAGGAAGTCTGGCTCTATCCATGCACAACCAGGGACCTCCTCAGGCTCGCTCGCGACATCCTCCCCCGCCGCGGCTCGCACGTCGACCGCCTCCTCTTCCGCGAGACGCCTTACGATACGGTCCTTGACGACGACGAGGCGGACGAGGTGCCCGCAGCGGAAGGTCCCGCTCTCGAAGTCGTCGAGGAGGCCGAGAAACTCGCGCAACTTGACGCCGGCTCGCTCGAGTGGGAGTTGCGCTGCCAGCGTGCTCGCAACGCCCTCCTTGCTGAGATCATCAAGCTGTGCCCCAACCTCAAGTACCTCGACCTCGAGGGCCCGCTCCGCCTGTTCCGCAAGACCAAGTCCGTCGAAGGGGCTGCTTCGTCCGACCTTGCCGAGATCAAGGAGACCGAGGTACCCAACGTGGCGTTCAAGGCGCTCAAGGCTATCGGCGGGCAGATCGAGCACCTCGGCCTGCTTGTCCCGCCCGATGGCCTTTCCACCGAGAAGGACGCGGCCGAGTACATCTCTGCGTTCCCGAACCTCAAAACGCTCGACCTCAACTGCTTCGTCGCGGTTCCCGACGGCGACGACTTTGTCAAGGAGGATCGCGAGGCGCTTTACAAGGCTTTGACGTCGCTCAAGAACCTCGAGGAACTCGACCTCGGCCAGTCGAGCTTTGTCGACGACGCATTCCCACTATCGACTGCCGATGGCGACTTTGCCTTCCCGCTCAAGCATCTCGCGCTCGGCGAGTACCACAAGTTGACCGTCGAGGGTCTGCGCAAACTCGTCGAGCGCATCTCGCCAACGCTGGAGAGTCTCGAGATGGTCGACACGGTGCCGGCTGGCGACGAGGACGAGGACGACAAGGCGACGCCGTCCTTCGGCGAGCCCTTCAAGCTGCCGAAGCTTGCGAACCTTGAGCTCGCGACGACGCAGCCTGCCTCGTTCCTCTCGCTCTTCGACACCTGCCCGCTGGTCGAAGTCCTGCTCGGCGAGTGCCCGCAGCTCACGCCCAAGGACGTCATCGCCTTTCTCGAGAAGCACAAGGACACGATCAAGGTCGTCGACATCGAGGAGGATGGCATTCCCGGCGAGGAAGACGCTTCTGACGAGGAGGACCCGCTCGCGCCCGTCGCCAAGTGGTGCGAGGAGCACGACGTCAAGTTTGCGCTGTTCCCGTCGACGGCCATCGACGACATGTCGGACGAGGAGCACGAAGATGACTGCGCCTGCGAGGCGCACGAGTGAGCAGAATCGGTGCCGGTTCGTCTCTTTTGGCTCGTCTCGTAGATTCTGCAAGCTATCAGTCCAATATTACTATGAGCCGGTGCACTGCTTCGAACGCTCAGAACGTACTCTGAGCCAAGCGGAACTTGGTCCTCGAGTCCGCACTCCTTCGCCTCCTCCTCCTCACTCTGTCGCCGCTTAACCTGCTTTCGGAACCGACAGAACCGCTGCCCCATGCTCAATCGCTCTGCCGCTGTCGGATCTGGCTCTCGCAAGGCTTTCGAGCTCTTCATCGTGCCCGGCACCTCCTCGACGACACAGGCTCACGCAACGGCAACGGACGGCCCCGAACGCGAGGGAGGCATGACCAAATGCTGTGTGTGTGGACTGGCGACCGACAAGCGCTGCCAAGCGTGCGCAAAGAGCAGGATTGCCCTCTTCTTCTGCTCGCCGGAACACCAGAAGCTCGTGCGTCCGTTCTTTCCGCCTGTCTACCGTAACGAGCTGACCGTCTATGTGGCGTGCAGGTCTGGAAGCACCACAAGCACGTCTGCGGGCCGAACGCTCACCCTTTCCACTTTCCGCCTCTCTCGCAGCGAGAAGTCGACGAGTTACTGGAGCTGGGCGACACTCCGCTCACATTGGACATGGCCAACGTTGACGCAATCATGCGTGTCGCGGAGCCGGACGAAGTACAGAGACTCGCCGCGCGCGTCAAGCAGCCACCGCGTACAGTCCGCCAAGGCATCGAAGAAGACTTCGGCGCACCGTCAGGCTCCTTCTCGGTGCGTATCTGATCTTCTTCGGCGACCGGAAATGTGCAGCCCCGACATTGATCCGTCTCATTAGCTTCTTGTGCAGCAACTTCGCTCGCCTTCCGCCTTTCCGCCTCACCAGCAAGACATGCTTCTTAACGCCCGAGAGTCTCTCAAGTCTGCCAAGATTGAACGCAAATCGAACAGCTTTCTCCTGTTTGACGAGCTTGACTTCTGGTCGCACGTCGCAGTCTGGGACTTCGTTCTTCCGCCTCGTCGCGAACCTTCGAACGAGGAGCTGCAGAAAAGCATCTCTTGGTCGCACTGCCGGCACCAAGCTGTCGTCGTCTTCTCACTTCTGACGAGGAGGAGGGCCGCCAAGAACTCGGCGACGGTACCACTGGACCTCATCCACCGGGCCATTGAGCAATACTTCGACCTGGTCGGCCGGGCGGTGCCCGCTCTCGACGAACCAACGGCAGGTTACGCTGCGCACACAGTGCTAGCGGCCATGTGGGACGTTGCCGACTTCAAGCTCTACATTCATCGCGATTCTTCGGGACATGTCGTCGTCCGCTTCTCGCCTCCGCCCTCATGGCCGTTCAGCGCTTGATTGCTTAAGTCCCATACTCGCTGTCGGAATCTTGCATACTCTTGCCGGACTTGCGCATTGCAATCGTACGGAATCGACTGCTTCCTCCGAGGCGAGGGATCAAACCACTGATTGTCCACGCAAACGCTCGTGAGGGTACAGCTAGCTCGCAAGCTCCGAGGGAGAGGTTCCAGAGGGCACAGCACCCATGAAAGCGGGCTTTGTTCCGCTCGAGACTTCGTCAAGCAGGCCTCCCGTCGCTTCTTCCACTCTTTACTCTCCGCAACTGGCTAGGAACTGCTCGTCTACCTCGCGGTCTCTCTCGTGAACCTGCGTTTCGACGTCTACCACCATTCGCAAGTGTCCCAGCGTCGCCCTCACCTCGCCAGCACCTCATCAGTTCCAGCCTTCCTCGACCGCTCTACCGCCAGTCTCGTCCCCTGCGACCGCTTCGAGACCAGCCATGTCGACTGAGGAGCCTTCGAAATGCTGCGTCTGTGGCGAACCGACCACGAAGCGTTGTCAGGCGTGCGCAAAGAGCGGGATCGACCTCTTCTTCTGCTCGCCGGAACACCAGAAGCTTGCGCGTCCGTTCTTTCCGCCTGTTCACCCTAGCGAAGTCACTGTTTCTGTGTCGCGCAGGTCTGGAAGCACCACAAGAAGGTCTGCGGACTGAATGCTTACTCTTTCCGCTACCCGCCTCTGTCGCCTGAGGAGGTGGACCTCCTTCGCTCAAATGCTCACAAAGTCATCGACCTGAGCAAGTACAAGGACAATCCTTCAATCGCGATGCTCCCAGAGAAGGTGATGACTGCCGAAACGTACGTTGAGACGTTGTCGTTTGGGAAGAAGGGCGATTTCGAGCATGTGCGTCCCATCCGCGGCGACTAGAGCGTTTCGCATAGCAAAACCAATAACTGGAGGATTGCGCAGGTCTTGCAGCGTCTGCAGAAACCGGGGTCGGTCAAAGACTTGTTCTACACTATCGGGCTGGCCGCCGCCCGCGCCGCTTTGTCCGCCGTCGATGCGTTCAGAAGGAGCGGCGCCGTCGGCTTGACGGATGGGACTGTCTGGTCGCACATCAGCGTCATCTGCGGAAAGGCATCCGCGCGCGCTCAGTCGATAGAGGCTCGAACGTCCTCGTATCACTTCGGCAAGAAGTTGCCGCACGCGCTGTGCACACTCTTCGCTCTTCTGACAGCCCGTCAAGAACAGGAACAGGGCTGCGACGCCGTTCCTCCTGCGTGGCTTCACCAAGCCCTGGAGACGGTCGTGGAGTGCTACGCGGACATTCAGCCTTTCTCGAGCGAGTCCGAAGCAGTGGCCGCCTTGGGTAGTCTCGCCGCTTTGACCATGCCTATCCAGCAGGTCCGCCTGGTCGGCGTCAAGGATCGTCAAACGGGCAAGATCTCGGTCAAATGCGTCGGCTGACTGAGTTTCGAGTCTCGAGTCGTCGCGGTCAACCACGAGGTGACGGAGCGCGCGACCTTTCAGTTCTGCATCTTCCGGAATGTACTTTTCGTCGTGCGCTGGACCTTGCGCGAGAGCGTCTGCCGCAGAGACTTGCCGGAGCGAGAGCCAATCGTGGAAGCCTCAGCTCGCGCTTGTCAGCGCAATCGCGAGAAGATGCGATATGCAATGCATTCCAAGATGCCGAGGGAGACGACCAAGATGCAACAAGACATGCGAGCGCGCGTCCCCAATAAATGTCGAGTCCTCGTCCCTCAAGCCTTTCCGTACAGCTCCGCATCGCTCGGCCGGAACGTCCTGACGTCCATCAGCGTCCGCTCGACCGTCAACTCGGGTTCCTCGGCGGTCGGGTTCGGGTTCGGCTCCTCGCGGCGCGAGAGAACGATGCATTTGTCGTCGCGGACGATGACGCGCCAGATGCCCGACGTCTGATCGGCGAGATCGCGGATGTAGGTGCCCGTGCGCATGTCTGCGCAGAGAGATCGTGAGTCGAGGGATTGAGGCCTTAGAAGCTTTTCTAACGCACCCCACAGCTTAATGCGCCCGTCGTTACCGCCCGAAACGATGAAGCGCTCGTCGAACTGCAAGCATGTTACCGAGCTCTTGTGGGCGTTGATGCGGTGAAGAGGCTCGTACGTCGCGAGCGAGTAGACGATGACGCGGCCGTCGGATCCGCCGCTGACGAGCGTGCCGGTGTGAGGGTCGAGGTGGAGCTGGCCGACAAGCGAGGTGTGGCCTTGCAGGAGAGCGATGAATTTGCTGCGATTGGACGTCGTTAGCGAGAAAGCAGGAGCGGGAGAAGCAAGCGGACGCACCCAGTCTCGGCGTCCCAGACCCGCACGGTCGAGTCGAGCGAGCCGGTGATGACGCGGAGACCGTCAAAGGCGACGGAGTATATTTGCGAGAGATGGCCGCGGAAGACGTGCAAGCATTCGCCGGTATCGACGTTCCAGAGCTGCGGAAGAGATCGAGCGGTAAGCGTCGACGACTCTTGGGAGATCGCGACCGCCTTGCACCACAGAAAGCGCTAGCGAAGCGGATAGAGCACGCAAACGACACTCACCCTGCACGTCGCATCGTAGCTCCCGCTGACCGCCTTGTTCCCGCAGATGTCGATGGCCCTGACGCTCATCGTATGTCCCGCAAGGACATGCACCGACTCGCCCCTGTCGATGTCCCAGACGCGGACGGAACCATCACGCGAGCCCGAGACGGCGATAGGGCGACCGTCGAGGACGCGGAGGCAGCGGACGGTCGAGGTGTGGCCGGTGAGGGTGTGGATGCAGAGTCTGCGAGCCGGTAGGTCAGCTTGCGTGCAGCAGGAGCGAATAGCACCTCGCGAGCTTGGTGCGGGCTCGAACGAAGCGTGGCGAACGACGAAGCTAAGCCGGACTTACCCAGTCGAGACATCCCAGACCCTCACGCTCCTATCGCAACCCCCGCTCACGACAACCGCTCCAGCCTGACCCCATCCCCGCGCCGTCCCGCACGCGTTACCCTGCAGGAGGGAGTCGCCTGTTGGTCCGCCCGCACCGATGCCCATCCCGCCTTTCGTGTACGGACCGTAAACGTTCTGAGGCGGCGAGGATTGCTGAGAGAAGGCGGGCGAGGAAGGGCCGGGTGAAAGCGAAGCGGCTGATCGTTGGCGTCGAGGTTGGCGGGGTGGAAAGGCGGAAGAGCCGCGCGAAGGAGAGGATGGAGAAGAGTAGGAAGACGCGGCGAGGGGCGTATTCGAAGTGTCGCGGAAAGAGGGGGAGAGGAACGAAGGAGACGAAGCTGCGGAGCGGAGAGTGTGGTGCGTGCTGGGGGGAGCAAGTCCCTGGGTGAAGGTCGTGCCCATCGGACTTGCGGGAGGACGGTGGAACTCGTCCCTCGCCCTGCCCTTCCCCTTGTTCCTGCTCGACCCGCCATTCCAAGCATCGTCTGCATCGTCACCGCCGGCGTCTCCTCCCTGCGCCGTCGAACCATCCGCCCTCGGTCCTCCGCCCCGCCCGACCAGCGTCAAGCACCAAACGCCCTGATCGTGTCCGTCCAGCGTGCGGACATACGTTCCCGTATCTGCCTCAAAGACATGCACCTTGCTCGTCGACATCCCCACAACGATCCACTCGTTGTCGTAGCCGAGCGAAGTGACAATTCCCCGGTCGGCCGACATCTGCGTCGAGAGGAGGCGGCCGGGTCCGCGTAGCCAGGCTTGTTCGGTCAGGTAGGCGCACTTGAAGTGCGTCTTGTAAGAGAAGGGGCGGGCGGGTTTCGGTGCGGGATTGGCGAAAGACGGCGAGGGGAAGTGAGATTGAGAGGGCGAAGGCTGGGCCAAGATGTTTTGGAGAGCTTGCGTCGTCGTCATGCGCGTGGGTCGAGGGACGAATCCGCGAGGAGAGGCGGAAGGCGACGGGTGAGAAGAGGTTGCGGACGGGTTGGGAGATGAGTTCGAGGCGATTGGGTCGCCGGCAAGAAGCGAGTGTCGCAAGTCGGACAAGTCGAAACCGGTCGCGAGACGGTGCCGAGAGCCTGAAGAACCCGGTGTCGTGCTCGACTGGGCTGAAGAAGGAGGCTGCGGTGGCGTCTGCATGTGCGTGCGAGAGGTCGAGGGAGCGGGAGGCGGAGTGACGACCACAGGCGACGGCGTCATGCGGGACCTCCGTGCCGCCAATCCGCGAGAATACTGGTATCCGCTCGCCTCGTTTGGTGGCATGACGGTCGGAGCTGCCATGCCATGGCCAGGGAAGTCGGCGAGCGAGAGACTCCCCTCCCCAATCCCGAGACCCATCGTCATGGTGGGCGCCCCACCCTGCCGTCCCTGCACCTGCTCCGCATCCGTCTCCTCGACAGCGACCAGCCCAAACGCGTCCGCCATTGCCGCCGCCTCTGCCTCTGACCCGGTCCGCCCGCTCCTCCCGCTCGACCCAGACCCAGCGCTGGTAGGCCGGTCCTCCGCAGATCTCCTCCGTGTGCTCGAATGCATATCTAGCGGGTCGTGCGAGCCAGTGAGGCGAGAGAACGAGGCTGCGGGAGGAAGTGGGGTTGGTCGGACGTCCGTGCAGGCGAGGAGGAGAGCTCGCGCGTGCGGCGGACTGGGTCGTTGAGTAGGTCCAAGAGTGGTAGAGTACGGGAGCAGGCAGTCCAAGCGGGTCCAGGCGAGTGAGGGAAGCGGGCGAGGGACAAAGGAGGATTTGACGAACGAGGGAGTGATAAGCGGCTTCCTTCGTGGTAATCTGGCTTCGCAGCTCTCCTCAGAAGCTTGGGACATTGACACAAAGATGCACGCAGACGAGCGATCTCGTAAGGGGCGCACTCAAGAGGATATACGTTGCGGCAACAAGAAACGACGACTTGAGACGGCTCCTCCCCGCTCAGCTCCTGCAAGACACTATATACACCTCCGACTCGTCCCTTTGGCCGTTAGGGCGACGGCGGAAAGTCGGGTAGCGCATATCCGTACTTGACGCACATCCCTCGCCAGACCTCGTGGCGCTCTAACAGCCCGTGCCAGTACCTGCTGACGCCGCTTGCTCTCGCCAGCGTCCGGTGGTCATCGATGAAGCTCAGTACGTGTAGTGCGAGTTCGAGGGGGAGGGACTGGAGGAAGTCGCGCTGGAGACGCGGGTGGATGAGGCGGTAAAGGGGCGAGAGGTCGATCGATGGTGTGTCGAGTAGGAGTAGGGACATGAGTTCTTCGCGAGCGTGGCGGGGAAGGGCGTTGACTGCTGTTCGGAGGAGGGAGACTTGGTCTGCTGGAGAGACGAGATTTGTTGGTGGAGAAGCGAGCGGTTCGAGCAGGGCGGGCGACTGGGAGGTGAAGGGCGACGGAGAAGCGGTGCCAGTCGGAGAAGGAGAGGGAGGGAGGTGGTCGGGCGGGAAGAAGGGTATTGAGCCCGAAGAAGACGATGCCGTGCGCGCATCCGGTCTTCGGTACCCCCTGGGCTGCCATCCGCTCGCCCCTCGCCCGTCATCCTCTCCATCGTCCACCTGCATCCGCTTTCCTGGTTCTGCTGGTCGGCTCGGACCCGCTTCTGCCGCACGAGAGGACGAGGGAGGAGAGGCGTAGATCCGGGGCCGAGGTTGAGGCGAAGGTGCGGGTGTTGGAGGGGATTCGCCGCGGATCGCGCGATCTGGTCGATACAGCTGGGACATGACGGGACCGTCCGAGTTGCCTTCGGGCGCAGCGGAAGAGTCTGTGGAGGGGAAGGCCGGTGTCAGTGGGTCGGGATGAAGAGGGGCCAGGAAAGGGCCGCCGTGACGTACCGCAAAGTGCCGGCCAGTTCGAGGATTTCCAGGAGAAGTAGGTACGGGCCGCGCACGCTCTTAGCGTCGGTGTAGACGACGATGTGCGATGAAGCGATGAGGCGGGGTCGAGCGGGCGAGGAAGAGGTCAATCAAACTGATTCGAGTTGGCCGCCGTCGCTGTTTGATATGACAGTCCTCTGAGCGAATTTGAGCGATGTCCAGCGGCGCCCAGACGAGTGCGAGAGCGAGGCGAGCGATGAAGTGATGAAGACAACCTCGACAACAACACCTCTTCCTCCTCCGCGACTTGCTACGAGCTGTAAAGCTAGCCAGTACTGTCCAGAGCTCTTCCGCCGATCCAACGTACCCGCTGCCACGCCGACTCGCTCCATCTCTCCCTCCTCCCCGTCGCCTCGCGCCTGCACGCGTCTCGTCGACGTCGACCGCTCAATCCACCGGGTTTGAGGAGGCATTCGAGGCTGGGCGTGATCCTGCAGGATGGCAGAAGCAGTGGCGTACGCGGAGTCGCCTATCGCAGACTACCTCCGCCGTCCGTCCTCTCATTCCACCCTTTGTTTCGCCAGGTCGATCTCGCTGACCTCCTTTTTGTGCGCAGAGAACGGCGAAGGCGACGACTTACTCCCCTCTGCACCCTCGACGAACCCGTCTCTTCATCCCTCGACATCCGCCTCGACCCGCACGCCCTCACCTTCGACTCCCTCGCGCCCTCCCCCTCCACGTCGCACCCAGACCCGCCATGCAGCTTCCATCGAGCGCGTCAAGTACGCCCTTGCGACGTCAGCTCTGCTGAGCGCCAAGGTCGGGGACGCCTTGCAGCTTTATCCGCCCCTCGAGACGCTTGAGAAGCAGCAAGCAGAAGCTGGGCGTGCGAAAGGGAAGGGGAAGGCCAGGCCGCCGAAGGGAGGTGTTGTGGAGAATAAGGCGGAATGGCCGAGCGGATGGGACTTGGCTGGGCAAGGCATGCTCGAGCGAGGTGTGTTGGGGAGTGCGCAGGCTGCACTCAGCGGCCTCGCCGGGGCGCTCTCGCTCTTCTCGAAGCAAAATCAGGCGTCTGTCGGAAACGGCGCGGGATTGGCGACAGTCGAGGAGGAAGAGCCGCGAACGACGCCTCAAGAAGCCGTGCTCGCCTCTGTCGAGCGGTTCATCGCGGCGTCGCAAGAGCTGGATCTGCGGGTCGCCGCAGCTCTCACGGCCATCAAGGAGCTCGAGTGCATCGCTCATGGACTTGGTCTGTGCGTAAAGCCCTTTACCGCTCAGCTTTCGAGACCGGAGCTGACGGCTCTTCTCGCAGGTCCGACCCTCTCCCGCCCATCTCGCGCATCGAGGCCCGCGCACACGCGCCGTCATCTTCCCCGACATCAGCACCCTCGTCGAATCCTCCGCCCCTTCGCGCCCTCGCCCTCCGCACCTCCCTCTCGCAACTCCTCTCCTCCGCCCTGTCCGCCCTTTTGACCTCCACAGCAGATTTGAACGCCCTCCTCCCTCGCGACTCTCCCCTTCTACAACTCCAGCTCACCGCCCCAACGCCTGCTCTCTCGCCCTCTTCCTCGCCAAACCATACCTCCCAAGCCTCGCTCTCCGAACTACTGCGACACGATACCCGAGCCCGACTCGAGCGGGACGAAGTAGAGCGCTGGGGAGGCGCGTCTGCATCTGGAGGATCGAGGCCGATTTCGCTTGCGCAGGGCGAAGGCGCGGCATTCGACCCGTTTCATCCTACGGAGAGTACCTTCGGCGGGATCGACAGGCGGGTTGCGATTGGCGATGCGAGTACACCAGCACGACGAGGGTTAAAGAGCTCGCTCGGACCTGGATCTAGCGCGGGCGCCGGTTCGCCTTTGCGCGCTGACCCGCCTGCTAGCGCGCGAAAGAAGCGGCCTCTCTCGCTTGGCGGCCTCTCAGCCTCTCTTTCCCCTTCCGACGCCCAGCAGCCCCCTCGCACGCCATCCCCGTCATCGCCCGCAGCAGATCTCACCCCCTTTCTCCTCATCACTCTCCAAGAAGCCCTCGAGACCCTCCACGACACCCGGCGCGGCGTGATCTGGCGGCTACTCGAGTCGCTCTCGCATGCGCAGAGCGACACAGCTTGGAACGCGATTGGTGGGCTGGTGGATTCGGCTGCGCGGAGGGTTGGAGAGGTGGCGAGGGAAGTTGGGCAGGCGCACGAGCGGGAGTTTGGGACAAGTAAGCCGGAGGGAGAGGGCAAGGGGCTGGAGAGGCGCAGGAGCGAGAGGAGGAGACGGTCGGGGTATTACTCGAGGACTGCGGACGAGATCGAGGTCGAGTTGCCTCAGTCGGGGACCTCTTCGTCGTCTGTCGGGACAGGATTGACGCCGACAACCGCGAAGGCGAGAGGCGATGCACTCGCTCGCTTGAACGGTGGGCCCAAGCCAGCCGGTCCGCCTGCAACCCCGACCACCTCATCTCGCGCGCCACCTCGCTCAACCACTCCCGCCTCATACGCCAACTTTGCATCTTCCGCTTCTCCCTCATCCGCCGACAATTCCCTCGCCTCGCACACGCACGCCCTCTCGCTGCTCCTTCGCTCGATCCAAGCGAAGCTGCGGGTCGTCACGTCCGATACGGCATTGCTCGCGACGATGCGGGCGGAGGAGGCGGAGGAGAGGAGGGAGAAGGTGTTGAGGACGTGGGACGGGATTGGGAAGGAAGTCGAGGCGCTGCAGGGCGAGTGGAGCGCTGGTGGACACGCGCTAAAGAGGGCTCTGGGTCTGGAAGTCGAGGCGGAGCAGGTTGAGGTCGAGGAGGAGGAGGAAGCGGAAGTTGCGCGGGACGCCGGTGACGAGCAGCCCGAGCAAGCGGGCGAGGAGGAGCAAGACGCCGAGCTGAACCCGACAGGCGCGATCTACGCAACCCTCGACTCATCAGGCCAGCCTCCCTCCGCCAACGAAACCCTCGCAACTCGACAAGCTCTCCTCGACGCGACCCTCTCGCTCTCGCTTTTGCCTCCAACAACCGACGCCGCAGCCGAAGAGAAGGTTTTCGAAGCCGTTGCCGGACCTCCCTCCTCTTCGCGTATGTACGGGCCAGACGGCTCGAAGCTCTCGCGGGACGAGCGGATTCGACGGATGCGCGAAGCGAGGGAGGCGTTGCAGCGCGGTCGGGAGTCGCTGGAGAGTAGCCCGACGAAGGAGCGTGGGTCGATCGGTGGGACGGCCGGGGGAGTGGAGGAGCAGCAGAAGATGGTGGGCGAGTTGAGGGAAGTTTTGAGGGAGCTCAACCGGGAGAAGGGAAGGGAAACGCCTGAACCGCCTCGGCCCGCTGCGACGCCCATGACGCCTCCTCGTACGACGACGGCCCTACCCCCACCAGCGGTCTCTTCACCCGCACCGATGCCACCGAAACTCCCGCCCTTCCCGACCGGTCCTCGCTTCGCCCCTTCTCCTCCCGTCTCGCCTCAACGCTCGGCCTTCGCACCTCCTCCTCCTCCGCCTCCAGCCGTGCGCTCTCCACCACCCTTTGCGCCTTCACCAACCACAGCCCGCTCGCCTCCTCCAGCGATGAACCGCCCTCCTCCCCCTCCGCCTTCTTACGCTCCTTCAGGGTCTCCGCCGCTGCCGCCTCCTGTATTGACTAGATCGCCGCCACCTCAGCAGCAGCCGTATCAGCCACAACAGCGAGTCAAGCGGCCTAGTGTCGTGCAGACTGTGTAATCGCAGCGGCTCTCGGTCGGTTGCAATGGCTCACTCGCAACCTACCTCCCTGACACTCAGAGAATGCTGAGAGTACCGTACAACACCCGGGTTCGACTGCAGCACCAAGAACCTAGAAAGAGGGAAGGGAAAGGTCGGCTCTACATGATCGAGCAGCTCAGTTCGGGGCCGTGAGCGTCCATCTGGAACTCTTTCGTGTCGCTGCATGAAGGAGACGAGAGAGTTAGCGGCCGGCCTACGCAATGAAGCCGGGCGAAGTCTTCGCCTCCAAGCGGGACTCATCCAGCTCAACCAAAAGCCACCACTCACACAACCAAATCACTCTGCGCGATCCTCCCCTCATAAATCTTCATCACGCAGACGGACGCGCATTTCTTGTCCTCGATCTCGTGCTTGTTCGAGTGGACGGTCGGGTCATAGTGTGGTCGGGCGGTGATGTCGTAGTTTAGGCCGATGGCGGCGGCGTGCATCGTTCTGCGAAAAGATAAGGAGCGTCAGTAACGAGTGCTGAAGGGGTTCGACCCGACGTCGCAAGCAGGAAAGTTGGCGGGATTCCGCCATGCGACGAAAAGTCCGCGAGAGAAGCGATAACTCACGCTGTCCCGTCCATGTCCATCAAGTGCGACCTGAACTTGACCTTCACTTGCTGCAACAGTCGACAAAGCGTCAGCTCGCGCGTACGAAGCAACAAGAGGGTGGAACCGAGGCTCACCGAGAACCGCGTCCTGAATCGCTCGACCACCTTCAGTAGGTCGTTCAGCCCGTGCTCCCTACAGTTTACGCGGTGCTGGTACGCAGAATGGTACAGCTTAGGCAGTAGTTCCTTCTTCATGACCTCGATTGGCGGACCGGGATGGGAGAGGACGAGCGAGATGGCCGTTTCGCAGAGGTGGATGGGGTCCTTGATCCGCGGCAGCTCGTAGTGTTCGTCATAGTGCGGGTGGACTTTGTGATGTCCCCGCGAGACGGCGTGGTGGAGTGAAGAAGCGGACGGGTGGGAGAAGCGAGAGAGGATGGAGGCTCTGCTCTTTTGCGACGCGACGCTGTCGGATCCCGCTGAGCTCTGGGTGTCGACTGGCTTTAGCTGGCGCCCTTGCCGCGCAATGTCGTCGTCGTCGAGTCGCGGCGAGGTGGGGGAAGCGGGAGAGTGAGGGTGAGAAGGCATGGAGAAGCGGTTCGTTGGGCTGGCGGTTGTCGAGAGATTGGTTTGAGGGTTCCCAACAGCAGCACAGCGCGTCCAGCGGGTCAAGCGAGAGTGGTCGTGGCCAGCTCGCCGTCCTCATCTCTTCGGCCTCTGTCAAACGGGCGACGACGATGAAGGTGCGCAAACTGGCCTGTTGAGGGCACTGACAGGCTCATACTGACCTGTATACTGCCCTGCAGCTCATCAATCCGTCGCCCGGTTGCTTGTGCGGGCCCTGCTCGCGCAGCACCCCACCTGCTCTGCCGCCAACGTCTACGCCACCAACACCGCTGGAGACGACAAGGGAGACCTGCGACTCGCTTGAACAGCCCCTCGGACCGGCCGACGCCAACTGCGAAGCTTCCACGTCGGCCCTTCCATACATCCCGCCCGCTTCCCTCCGTCTGCCGAACGAACTGCTGGACGTCATCTTCGACCTCGCACGGCCTCCCTTGCCGCCGACGACGACCCGAAAGGAACCGCCGTCGAACGCCTGGACCGGTTATACCCAGCTGTCGCTCGTCCACTCGCGATGGACGGATGTCGCGCGCGAACACCTCGCCAAGGTGGTCATCCTTCGGTCGCGGAAGCAGATGCGCGCGCTGGCGAAGGCGTTGAGGAAGGGATGGGTCGGGAAGATCGAGGAGATCCTTTTGGAGATCAAGGAAACGCGGAGTGGACGTGAGGGCGAGGGAGAGGGAGGGGACAACGACCTCGTCTCGGCGGCGGGCAACCCTTCGTTCGAAGCAGAGCTGCTCACACTGCTCAAGCGTTGTGGCCAAGACGTCAAGGTGCTGCGCTGCCGAGGCTTCGGGGACGCCTGCCTCGCCTACCTGCCCTCTTCTTTCCGCGACCACCTCCCGAAACTCGAGACGTGGGAGTACTCGCCCATTGACGGCGCACACACGGCCACCACCACGGGTCTGATGTGCGGTCTCTCGCATCTGCCTGCGCTCCGACACCTCGTCCTGCGCCCCTCGTCTCGCTACCTCACACCCCTTGCTTCGGTCCCCGAACCCTTCGTGACGGCACTCGCCGCCCTCGTCGACATCCTCCCCTCGATGCTCGCTTCGGACACCGACATGCGCGAAGCCTACACGAGCGCCTTTGCCGACGTCGGCATGAAGGGTCTCACGTCCGTCGAGCTCTCGTCGCTCGTCATGTCTCCCCTCGCGCTTGTCGGGATTCTCTTCCCCTCGTTCTGCACCCTCACCTCGCTCCATCTCTCGTCGATCCTCTTCGTAGGCGCCTCGTCAACCCTCAACCACCTCCTCCAGATCGTCGCGCCCAACCTCGACGACTTTGAATGGACCGACGGACCGATCTCGTCTCGCCTCAATCTCAACCTCGGAGCATTGCCAGACAATGACTACTGGGACGTCTTGCGCAGGTTGACCAAAGTGCGTTCCCATTCCCTCACCGTTTGCGAGATACGAGATAGGCTTATCACCCTTTGTCTCGTGCCGTCGTTCCGCAGGTCCGCAAACTCAAGCTCTTTGGCTCGCAAGTCTTTGCGCAGACGCCTCATCGGCTCGGCTTTGCGCTTCCGCCGAGTCTGGAGGAGCTCACGATCGGGACGTGCGGGGAGGATGTCGAGAGGGAAGAGGTAGAGTGGTGGCTTGAGAGGGTTGAGGAAGGCGAGAAGGCGGGTGAGAAGGGTGCCGACGAGGAGCACGTGGAAGAGGAGGAGGTAGAAGTCGAGGGCGCGAACGATTCTGGGATTGGATTGATGCTGGATGAGGAGACGGAGGATGGGATCGCGGCGGACGAGAAGGCGGGCAAGGGTTGGGCGTGCGACACGGATGACGCTACGGGGGACAACAACGCGATGAGCTCGCCCGCTGTGCCGTCCTCGACCAATCCGCCGTTCTCGTCCGTGACACCGGCTCCTTCACCTTCTCCTCCCCTCTCCCGCTCGCCCACCGCCTCTCCCGTCTCTTCTCCGCCATCTACGCCCCCTCAACGTCCTCACCTCTCTCCCCGCCGCCGCCGCAAATCCTGGCGCACCCCTCCCACTCCCGCTTCTCCCCCTCACCTCTCCCGCCTCACCATCTGTCTCCCAACAACCTTGAATTCCTCTCTTCGCGACAACGCCGCCATTCAAGACCGGATCGACGGCCTTGTTCAGCGCGGAATCAGGGTCGAGTGGTGGGGCCTTGTGGTTGTTGTGCTCGAGACGGAGGAGTTGACGAGGGAGTTGAGGGAAGAGATGAGTAGGGTGCCGGAGGAGTGGTATGCCGGCGCTCGGGACGAGGTGGAGGTTGAAGAGGAGGATTGAGGAGGTCAGGGTTTGCTTTTTCACGTTCTCGTTCACTTGTCGTTGTTTCTCTCCTGCCGCCGCTCGCTTTACTCTGTCGTCTTCCTGTCGCTTCTACCGCTTTTTGTTGACACTCTCTTCGCATGCAAATTCGCTTTACCTGGAACGAGTCGCAGTTGTCGTTGTGAGGCTAGAAACGAAACTCCCGCTTCGAGGGGGAGACACGGAACTACGCAGGGTGTGGGGACGATAACTGAACGGATGGAACGAGTGTGAGATGATGTATCTTGGACTGCTTTAGAACGCCAGAGCAGCGACGAGCCCAACGATGCCGGCGAATCCACCGACGACGGCGTTCTTTCCCGCGCCGCTCGAAGGCTTCGAGCTTCCCGATGCGCCAGCCGCCGAGGCAGACGAAGCGCCCGCACTTCCACTCGCAGCAGCGCCCGCGCTCGAGCTAGCGGTGCGCGAGGCGGACGAGGCGACGGACGAGAGGGAAGCGATGGCGCCTGTCTCGGATGCGACGGCGGAGGAGGCGGCGGAAGAGATGGAGGAGGCGGTCGAGTTGCTGCTTGATGAGCCGCCGGTAAGGGTGGGGAGGGTCTGGGTGCAGAAGGTCGTAAAGCCTGCGAGAGGGAGGATCAGACTTGGCCTGAAGAGCGAGAATTGCGAGTCGACGCACCCGAGGCATCCGACTGGCCCTCGGAGCCGTAAGAGCCCGCGCACGAGGTCATCTGCGACAAGTTGTCGCTGTTGCAAGAGCAGACGGCGATCTGCACCTGGTCGCTGGTGTTGGATTGACAGTTCTGCCCGTGCGAAACGACGTCAACTTTCGTTCGCATCGTGCGGGAGGATATGCGATACTCACAGCGAGGGCTGATGACCACGAGAGGCACTGCGACGTGATGTTGCCGGAGCTGGCGTCCGTCAAGACCTTGTTGGCGAGGTCGAGCAACCCGTTGACCTGGGCCTGCGAGTCGCCCGAAAGCGTCTGGCGCTTGAACAGGCCGCTCAAGTCGGTCGCAGAGACGGCGGTCGCTGTAAACGTGAGCACAGGGTGCGTGAGATCGCCATTCATGGATTGAGAGGACGGAGCGGGCGTACCGGACACGGTGAGGATGGCGAAAGCAGCGACGGTGCGAACCATTGCAGCAGAGCGTATAAGCGAGCGTGCACGAGCTGCAGGAGAACGAGCGAGAGCGAGGAGGAGAACGGAGGAGAGTGCAAGCAACCGGGAGAGCGGCGGGAGCGCTAGACTGGAAGTCGAGCCGCGATGAGACACGACGAACACGAGTCTGGAAGGGCCCATCAACAAGAAGGAAAGGGGGCAGGACGGCCGGAGATATTGTCGAGGAGCGGCCCGCAGAGGTGTGGAGGCGTACGTATCGGCCGCCGCTGCTGCTCGCTCTCGTCAGCCGAACCCTCCGTGAGGCTCTCTTCTTTCTCGCTCAACGCCGGTCGTCGTCGAGACGTTGCGGACCCAGGACGTGCGGCGGAGGACGAGGACGTCGCCTGGTCCGCCCCATCGCCTGCGAGCGTCATCTGTCGAGCTGGAACAACGTAGCCAAGGCCCGGCAGAGTTGTATCGCAGGCAAACCGCGTGTATCCGGGCAAGAGAGACGGCGAGCAACGGGAGTGTGACCTTCTCAACGGCGTGCGAGCGCAATCGACCCGGGCTGGCGGCAACGACGAAAGGGGCTCTTGATTTTGTGCGCAGGCGCCCACGCCCGCTTTAGCGGGGATTGCGGAGGCCCTCGGAGGGCCACGTCAAATCCCCCCACTGCGATCATTCACGTCGAGGGAGCAGACACGCCTCTTCTCCCTCTCCTCGCTCGCCTCGCTGCTACTCAACGCTCTCAGCTGCTGCTAGCATGTCGTCTCCGTCACTGCACTCGTCTGACAAGGAGAAGGGCACCGAGATCCAGAATGAATACGTCGGAAAGGCGCTCGACGCGCCGTACCTCTCGCCGGTCGAGGAGAAGAAGTTGATGCGCAAGATTGACTACAAGGTGCCTCCTGCTTCGCATTGCTGCTCACTGGAGTCGTCTGACACTCTTTGGTGTCGTCTATCCCGCCCCTCGCGCTTCAAACTACCCTCGCCCCTCCTCCTCACCCCTCCTCCTCGCCCCGGCTTCCGCATCCGCCTCTCCAGCTCGTCCCCTTCCTCTCGCTGCTCTACTTACTCAGTTTTTTGGATCGAGTGAACATCGGACAAGGCGAGTTTGCGCGACCCCTGGACGTTCCCCGGTGGTCTCGAGGACCTCTGGGCGCCTCCCAGACCTCCGGGCGGCTGTCTCGCTCTCCCTTGGCAGGCAGGACGCATGCTGACGTTCCCGTTCGCTGCAGCACGTCTTGATGGACTGGAGAAAGACCTGCACTTGAAGGGAAACCAGTAGTACGCTTCTCTCCCTCGCCTTTTCGTCTGTTGTCTGCGACCTGACCGCCCGATCTTTCCCTCGACAGCCAGATTGCCCTCGTCGTCTTCTTCGTCGGCTATGTCTCGACCGAGATTCCTGGCAACATCCTGTTGAAGAAGATGCGGCCGTCCAGGTTTATCCCGGCTATCATGATCTCGTGCGTACCATTCCTTCCTCTATCTCCGCTGTCCGGACGTGCCGACGCTTCTCTCTAACTCGCACTGACGCTCTCTGATACACACGCAGCTGGGGAATCGTCATGACTCTGGTTCGTCGACGCCTGCTTCCTCCACCTCGCCGGAAACTGACCATCCCTGCTTCGACAGATGGGCACCTGCTCCAACTTTGCCGGCCTCGTCGCCGCCCGTTTCTTCCTCGGTCTAACTGAATCCGTCCTCTTCCGTACGTCGAGCCCGTCCGAATCTTTGCCTCGACCTCGTCGCCAACCCTTGCCCTCTTACAGCCGGCATCTGCTTCTACCTTGTCTCGTGGTACAAGCGCAACGAATCGAACCTCCGTATCGTGCGTTTATAGTCTGCTTCTACCCGCGACTTTACGGAAGGCTGACGAACTTCCCATCCCCTTCTTCCTCTCCCCCGCTCCATGGACTCCTTCTTGCCCTCCTCGCATCACTTTCCCACGACCGCAGGCCATCTTCTTCAGTTCTGCGACACTCAGTGGCGCTTTCGGCGGACTGCTTGCGTACGGCTTGTCGAAGATGGCAGGCGTCGGTGGAAAGGGTGGCTGGGCGTGAGTCTCGCCGCTTCCTGACTCCGCTCGAGCACTGCTGACTCTTCGCTCGGATCGTGTAGATGGATTTTCATCGTACGCCGACCTCACTGTTCACTCTGGCTCGAGCGGACAGCCTGCTGACATGCACCCACTCCCTCGCTCGCACAGATCGAAGGTCTCCTCACCTTCATCGTCGGCTGCATCTCGCCCTGGATGATCGAGGACTTCCCCGAGGAGGCCAAGTTCCTCACCCCGGCTGAGCGCGAGCACGTCGTCCGCCGCCTCAAGGAGGACACTGGAGCGGCCGGCACCTTCAAGATGAAGTATGTTATGGACGCGTTCAAGGACTGGAAGACCTACATCTTTGCGCTCATCTGTGCGTAATTCACATGGACTTGAACGTAAGAAGCGCCGGCTAACGATGACCTGCGCTCGCAGACATCGGCGTTGCCGAGCCTCTCTACGCCCTCTCGCTCTTCTCCCCGACCATCATCAGCGAGCTCGGCACCTTCTCCCGCGCCCAGAGTCAGCTCCTCTCGACCCCGCCCTACGCTCTCGCCTTCTTCATCACCCTCGCGACCGCCATCTACTCGGACCGCATCCAGCGTCGCGGTATCTTCAACATCTTCTGGATGACGGTCGTCATCATTGGTTGTGCGTCACCCGCTCTAGTCGACCTGAGGTGCAGGGCTTGAGCTGACGGTACTTAATCGCGCAGACGGCATCCTCCTCGGCATCAAGACCCAGAAGCACCCCGGAGTCGCCTACTTTGCCGTCTTCCTCTGCGTCTGCGGTGTCGCCCCCTGCATCGCCAACAGTGAGTGCCGTGAAAGCCACTTCAAGCTTGAACCCAGCTGACGCCGTTCCGCTCGACCTCCTCTCCTCTAGCGATTGTCTGGACCGGCAACAACTTCTCCGGCGTCCTCAAGCGCGGTACCTCGATGGGAGTGATGTTCGCCGTCGGCAACTCTGGCGGCATCGTCAGTTCGCTCGTCTACCGCACGCAGGACAAGCCGCGCTACATCCTCGGACACGCCGTCGGACTCGGTTTCGCCGGCATGTGCGTCCTCCTCAGCATCTTCATGATGGTCTACTTCCAGCGCGAGAACGCACGCCGCGATGCCAAGTACGGCAAGGTCCCCGACTTTGTTTTGGGCGCAAACGGCGAGGAGTTGACCGCCGTCGCCGACGACCCCGAAATCCGTCGCCGCTTCGGCCTCGACAACATGACGGATGAGCAGATTGAGGGCTTGGGTGATAAGAATCCGCTCTTTCGTTTCTGGCAATGAGCTGCAGACGTTGTTGCATTTTAAGCGATGTATGACAGACAGCGAAAACGGCGTCGAGAGTCGACGAGAGTCGTAAGCGTGCGTGCAGAGTCGAATCGCGAAGAGAAAGGTCGAGTCCGAGATCCGGTCTGGTAGAGTTCTGTCGCAAAGTCAACAACGAGCGAGCGAGGCGTCAGCGAGCGTCTCGAGCGGTGCGCTGCTCGTCGGCAGCATAGAAAACGCACCTGTTAAGCGTTGCTGCCCTGCGTACGCGCTCACTCCTCGTCAAGCTCGTCAATCTCCTCCTCCTCGTCCTGCTCAAGTCCCTGCTCCTGCTCGGCAAGCTGCGGGTAGTCCTCCTCCTCGTCCGATGCAAGCTGGTCGACCTCCTCGTCTGCGTACGATCGAGCCAAGTGTGAGTCCTGGCGAGGCGGTCGAAGCGAAAGAGACAATCCGACTCACCGCTCTGCTCGACGGCGGCAGCAGCGGCAGTCGTCTCTCCCTCGCCAGAAGGCTCGACAGGCGTCTCTGCACAGTGCAGTGGTCCACTGTTAGTTCAAGGGTCGAGGTACAGAAGCGAGGAAACGAGGGAGGAAAGCTAAATACGCACCGGCGGGTTCCTCCCTCCTCATACGCTTCTTCGGGTGGCCCTTCTGCCCCTCCTCGTTCTTCCACTTGTTTTTGTACTTGAATGCCGCCTTCTTGCCGTACTTCTCCTTGTAAGGCGAGACGTTTGCTGCGGGTTAGGAAGGTTAGCGGGTTCGCAGGAGACGAGAGGGTCGCACGGACGCACAGTAGGTGTAGAAGATGTTGTTCGCCATGCTAAGCGTGCATTCAAAACCATACTTCTCCTTCACAAGCGAGGCAACCCCAGCCCAGGTCAACTTCCTCTCCTTGCGCGCAAACCCGAGTTCGACGACATAGTCAATCTCTTCTTCGCTCCATTTGCGGCGGCGCGGTGCTGTACAGGTCCACATTAGCGGTGCGCAAGGGCGATGCGCCTCGGAAACGTACTTTCCGTATCCCTCGCGCGCTTCTCGGCGTAGCGCTCATTCGACTTCCTCTTCTCCTCCGTGATGACTGCTTCGGCAAGGATCAGCTTAGGCTCACCGAAGCGTGTCGTGAGACTCACACTTGAGGTACTTCTCCCCTCCATCGTCGAATCCAAGCCTCTGCGAGAACTGCGAGTGGCCATGTTCTGCAGGAAGACGTCAGCACGCAAGCAGACAGGCCCAGCTTGAAAGGCGACGTACCGATAGCCCAGTTCATCGTGTAGCACATTGCCTCGGCAAAAGGAACGTTGGAGGGGAACTCCTGATTGAGTTTGCGCGCGACCTCGTCGAAGTCGAGGTATTTGGGGAAGGGGTAGTCGGTCGCGATGATCTGGCGCATGCGAGCGCACTCGGCGAAGGTCCACATGTGGTTCGTCGTCATGGCGCCGGTTGCCAGTGAGCGAAGTGAGTGGCGGGAGGCGAAGAGGCGAAGTCGAGCGGGAGGAGACAACCCCTCTGCAGCAGCGCCGCCGGACGGGCCTGTGAGAGCTCAGTGCGGTCCAAGATGCAGTCAAAAGGCCATGCAACCTCGCAAGGACCCGCCTTTCGACGTCCGGAAGGCACTTGACCGCTTTTCATCCCGCACTCTCCCTTTGCCCTCGTCTGCTCAGCCTCTCTCACTGATTCAGCACAAGCTTGACCGGAAACAATGACTTTCACACAAGGTCTCGTCGGCATCAACGAAGTCACCGAGACCGTCGAGATCCCTGTCGAAGCTGCCAAGCACATTGCCCTCCTCGCCGACTCTCACGGTGTCCTCTTCGGCCTCGCGCAGACGAGCGGAGATGCCATCACGAACGGTCAGATGGTTGTAGCAGGGATGAAGCAGTATGAGGAGATGGGATTTGAGGTCTACTGGCAGGGCGAGGGGGGAGCAAGGGGACCGGACGGACTTGTGGGTGCCGGACATGCCGCTGCGAAGAAGGGACGACAGGCTGGAGAGGTGCAGCTGGGTCTCGACGGTCTCGTTGGGATGGTGCCGAGCGGGTTGGTCTACGAGGCGATTGCGCTGGGCGAGACGGCGGTTGCGCGGGGTTCAATCGGGACAGCGGCGGCGCCAGCACATGCTGTGGTCTCGAGGTCGGAAGGCGAAGTCACTGGCGCAGCACTCGCTCGTCAGCTGCTCGCCGAAGGGTCGCCCATCGTCAACTTCGACGACACCATTGACCAACCCGAACTCTGGTCATTCTCAACCGCCTCCTCTCCCGAGGATGAGCGTCTGTACTCGCAACAGCCGCTCTCGCCACATCTCCCGCGACAGCTCGACCCTCGAGCCTATCAGCTGTCGAGCGCTCAGCCTCTGGACGACCAAGAACTCGCTTCGACCGCTGCGAGTTACCTCGCCCAACCTCTTCCGCCCTTCCCCGCCCCGCGCGCAGTCCTTCGAATCCCGGCAAGCACCATGTCGACCCCAGCGAATGCCCCAGTCACGCAAGACCTGCCGGCGGCGCCTCCCGCTCCTCCCCCCGCCGACTGGGCGGCGGTTCAGTCTCAACCGACGCTCAACAATGACGAGCAGCTGGCCACCGCGAGGACGACGCAGTCAGGGACCTATCCTCCCCCTCCATGGCCGCTCGACCAGCACGAAGACGTCTCGTCTGCCCCCTCCCCACTTTTTCCTCAACCACCTCGCCCGGAGTCGATCCACTCTTCCCTGCCAGTCGGTCTGCGGGGCATCCTCGTCCTCTGCTCCGACAGCGATGCTGTCGCGTCGTACCCGCCTGAGCTCATCGTCGCCCGTCGGATCTCGCGAGCGGGGACGAAGATCTCGCTCGAGGTCTACCGAGTTGGAGCAGCATGGCGCGCGGGAGCACAGCGCTTGATCGAAGGCGCGTCGCGATTGCTGGGGCAGCTCAAGTCGGCGGATGAGCGGTATTCTGACGATGCAGGCGAGGAGGATGAGCAGGCGAGGCGAGAGGGAGGGCTTAGCAGCACCCGGCTCGAGGAGCATCCTCACTTGCGCAGGCTTGCGCGGCGATGGAGGAGTGTGAAGGAGTTCCAGGACTGGGCGACGCGGAACGTCGAGGTTGTCTGGCGCGCTATGCTCGTCGGCAGCGGCGCCGCCGACGATACGACCCCTTTCCGCCCGCTGCCCAAAGGCTCGAGGTCGCCTGTTGGCCCAGCACGATTCGCCCACCTGTCGCTCATCCTGCGCAACAACATTGACGACCTCTACCTCGCCTTGACGTCGATCGGTTACGAAAGCAAGGACGGCATCACCCGCTACGGCACCCTCGCCTCGTACACTTCGCCCGCATCCTTCTACACCGTCTCTGAGGTACCTTCACCCTTCACCGACCAGTTCCTCCTCGACCTCTTCCGCCACTCGTCCCTTGTGCCAGCGATACCTCCCGCCGAGCATGCGACCCCCGCTTCCTGCTCAGCCTTTCTCATATCAAGCGGTACACTTCCACCTCTCGGGACTCGTTCGCTGCACCCGGCTTTCGCCATCGGCTCTTCCCTCCCCGGCACGCTCTGCCCTCTCCCAGGCGACTTGCAACTTTGGCCGCAAGAGCTGCATCTGAAGCGACTCGCGGGCGACAAGATCGATGCGATTCAGCAGTTCGTCAGTCTGCTCTCCGATCCAGTCGCGCGTCAGGGAGAAGCGGTGCGGGATGTATGGGCCAGGATCAAGCGAGCACGGGGAAACGAGCGAGCACGGAGGACTGCGAGGGAAGAGAGGCGGATCCTTGATGCGATTGACAGCGGGATTCGGGCGGACGAGGATGAAGAGGAGAGCCGCATCGAGCATGAGCCTTACGAGCAACTCGATCCGAACTGTGCGCCACGGTCTCCTCCTCATCATCGCATCGGCAATCGAGCTGACACAACGTATTGTACAGGGCTGCATGGTGGCGAGAAGGCGGCGCAAGCGTTGCAGGCGAGGCGGCATGGAATTGCCAACATCGCTACCCGTCTCCTGGCAACACCCATCTTCCAGTAAGCCAGCTTCCGGCTCTCTTTCGCGCTAGTCTCACCACTTCACCCCCTTTCAACAGGTTCTTCGCGCCTGAGGCAGATTCGCCCGTCCTCGTCCAGGAGCGACATGCGCATATCCGCTCGACCGACTTCGACATCACCTTGACCCGCCTCTACTGCCCGCCCGACTGCCTCGACGCTGTCGAGACTTTTGCCGCATGTCTTGTCGACCCGAAGTCGGTGCCGGCACTGAATGACGAGAACAGCCTGTCTCTCGTCCGCCTCGCCGCCAAAGTGCCTTCGCAGCCGATCTACCACTTCGTCCGCCGCATGGCGATGCAGGCTCGCATTCCCTTCGCCTCGACGGCTGTCGAGCGCCTTCATTCACTTCGTCTTGACGCAACCGCACCTCTCGAGCAGTCGATCTTCGTGCACGACGCCCGCCTCCTCGAGCGCCTCCTTGCCCTCCCACAAGGTCGCTTCATCAACTTCCTTCCCTCCCTCCTCGCCTTGACGACTAGCGCGGCTCCGCCGACCTACGAAGTCTTCGACGCGAACGCCTCGCGCATGAAGGAAGCCGGCGCGGATGTCGGAGACTGGCGGAGCCGCATGAGGCAGCTTCTTCAGGCTCTCCTCGGTATCGACACGAGCTCGTGGCGGCACCCTACGGCTCGGAAGCATCGATCCGAGGTCGAGCGACTCGTCGCCGATTCGAGCTACCACCAGCCTCCGCTCGCACCGAACGCCGGGCCAACCGCCGTCCAATCTGCCGCCTCTCCCGGCGCCTCTCCGAACCCCTCATCCTCCCCCGAACCCGAGGCGCCAACTCAGCGGTCGAAGCGCAAGAATCGTGGGTCGAAGAGTTATGTCCTGCCGACGGCGGAGGAGCTGGACGAGCAGGAGGTGGAGGAGGAGGAGGTTGAGGAGAATAAGGTCGCGATCAACTACTCGGGGCGGGAGCGGAAAAAGAGGAAGCGGTAGTACTGATGAGTCTGTTTGCTATACTAGCTTCAGCGGACACCAGCGGGCGCAGCAGCGAAGCAGAAGTCCTCCTCCTCGACGCCGCAGCTTTGGAGAGACGGGAACTCTGCTGAAGGGTTGGGACACTGAGCCGGTAGCAGCGATCCTTGCAAAGAAGTATTCGTTCATTAGCATCACTCGCAGCCGCGCAGTCGCTATTACCACCGCGCGCGCTCGCACAGCATTCTGAAGTCACCCAGCCCAATCTCTGCCGCCATTTGACGGGCGAGGTGGAGAATTGGGCAGTAAAACAGCGCAACCTTTACAGCTCAGTCTATAACGATAATACACGCCGCCTGCTGTCGTTGTTCGACAGCACGTAGCCTCTTGCGCGGCGCTCGAGGGGGTCACTGGCCAGCCGCACGAGCGCTTACGGAGGGCGACGCACACTGCGAGCACTTCGCCAGCAACTCATCGACGGCTCTGCAGCGTCCACTAGTCCCACGACGGCGGTTCTGTCGAGCGACATGTCCACCCGTTTCGTCACCGACTGATGAGGACAGCGGTCGACGGTTGAACTCCACCCACTCACACGCACACACGATGAGCACCGACAACGTCCCCAAGGCTGTGCTCTGTGCGTCTGCATGCCCTATCACCATTCACAGCGCTGCTCCATCGCTCACATTCTCTCCCCGTCGCCCCCCACTCGCACGCGACGTCCCTCGCCCGCAGACTGGTTCGGCGGATCCGTGTGGGCTTCGGTGCCTAGGTTGACGGCAGCAGAGAAGGGTTTCACGGAGAATGAGCTCGAGACGAGGATTGTCGACTTGGGTGCGTCCACCCCACTTCTCCCGGGCTGGGGCTCTGAGGAGCGGCGGCGCTGACCAGGACTCGCGCACGCAGCCAAGGGCGAGAATTTTGCTCCTGCCTTCTTGCGGAGTGCGCGCGCCCCTGTGCACTTGCCCCTGAGAACCCCCCTCGCTGATCCTGCTCGTCATCCATAGTCAACCCTAAGGGAACGGTCCCGGCGCTTGTCGTTCCGTACGCGCACACGGTCGAGGAAGGCATCACGACCAAGTTCAAGGCGCTCAACTCGACGATCGAGATCTGCGACTTTCTCGACAGGTCGACTGTCCGTTCTGTGCATCACTCGGCTCCTGTCCTCTCGCCCGCGACGGTCCAGCGCAGCGCCGTCTCGAAGGAGATCATCGAGAATGTGCACCGCGACGACGTCAACCCGAACACGCTCCTTCTCCTGTGGCGGAGCGAGGACGAGCGCCAGGCCAAGCTCGGAGGGATGGTTGGCGGGTTCTTGAAGGGACGGCAGGAGGCGCTCGAGCGGTACGCCAAGGAAGTCGGCAGCTCGGACGCCAAGCTGAAGGAGTTCTACGAGGGCAAGATCAAGGAGAACGGCGGCCTGCTCGCCTTGCTCGAGGGCAAGGGCGACTCGTCCGACATCCAGAAGAAGGCGCAGGAGCTGTGGACCAACGTCGGCAGGGTGTTTGACTTCCTCGAGAATCGGTTTGAGCCCGCCGCGCCGTACCTCATCGGCGACCAGATCTCGTTGGCCGAGTGCGTCCCGACTCTCCCCTTTCCCGCCTGTTCTCGCTGACTCGCTCTACCCTATCTCACCGGCAGCCTCCACGCCGGCGCCTGGCTCGCTCGCGTCCTCGCCTGCGCCGGCGCGACCTCCCTCAACGACGTCGACTCGAACCTTTCTACGCTCGAGTCGAACTTGAATGGCGTCAAGGTCGGACCGAAGACGGCGGCCTGGGCCAAGGCGCTGTTTGAGCGGGACAGCTTCAAGCAGGTGTACGGAGAGGGCCTGCACTAGCGCGCTACTGAGGGCTTGTAGGAAGTGCGAAGGACGCTTGCAAACTGGAAATCTCGCATCCACTCGTTCCGTCTTCGGTCGATGCCTCTGCTGCGTTGGACACCCTCGCGAGCCTACGCAAGGATCGAGGCAAGCTCGTCAGCGCCGTTTTGATTTTTCGTGCCGACCACCTCGCTTCCCGGCCGGCGCGGCACTTTGCGCCTCGCTCGCCTTCGCCTCTTCGCCACCGCTACACACGCTCACGAGGCTCAGTGACGCTTGGACTGTGCTCAAGCATGTCAGGGGACGCCACCGAGCTTGTCGGGCGGGCCGGAGACGAATCACGGACGACTCTCACGCCAGTCGAGCACCGCTCACGTTTAGACTCCTCCGTCGACGAAAAGACGCTGGCGGGCACAGAGTCGGTTGCGGACGAGATCAAGGTGGTCATTGATGGAGCTGGGATCGGCGAACGCGAGCTGGAGGCCTTGCCAAAGGACGCGACAGCTCGACGAGACGATGCCTCCTCTCCTGGGCGACCTGAGCCACCAACCGGGATCAAGCTCTTCTTCTTGCTCGTGGCATTGGTGCGTGCGCTCCCCATAACCAGCGAGGGCCGAACAGCTGACCTTGAGATGCGGATGTGCTCCCACAGATGCTCGTCGAGGTCCTCGTTGGTCTCGACAACACCATTGTCGCAACCGCGACGGGAAGTATCGCCAACCACTTCAACGCACTAGGCGACGTCGGCTTCTACGGCGCGGCGTACCTCCTCACTTGCGTCGCCTGTGCGTTCGTCATCATCTCGCTCTATCCTGCTTCGACTGACCCTCGCTTTTACTCGCAGTCCAGCCTCTTGCCGGGCGCGCGTTCGCTTTCTTCCCCCAGAAATGGTGTTTCCTTGTCTTCCTCGTCATCTTCGAGATCGGCCTCATCGTCGCAGGCGCCTCGACCTCGTCGGCGATGCTCATCATCGGCCGTGCCATCCAGGGCTTGGGCTACAGCGGGCTTTTCGTCGGGATTCTGATGATCTGCGCCAACACGCTGCCGATCAGGATGCAGGCGATCATCACGAGTCTCATGAACGTCTCTTACGGAACCGGTACGTCCCCTTCCGGAGCTCTCCGCATCTCCCGTCGAGAGGCTGACAGACCCCTGCGGCAGGTACGGTCATAGGACCGCTCATCGGTGGCGCGCTGACGAGCAAGGTCAGCTGGCGGTGGGTCTTCTACGTCGGAGCGCCGCCCGGAGCACTGGCAGCCATCCTCGTCGTCTTGCTCTGCAAGCCGCCCCTCATCCCGCAGACCTTGCCAGTCCCGCGCCGCATCGCCCGGATGGACTGGGGAGGAGCGCTCCTCCTCCTCGGCGCCATGGTCTGCCTCCTTGTCGCTTTGCAAGAAGGCGGCCTCAAGTCCTCCTGGTCGTCCGGTCGGATCATCGGCCTCCTCGTCGGCTTCGCCGTCCTCCTCGTCGCCTTCTTCGCGCTGCAAGTCTACCTCGGCGAGAAGTCGTCCATCTCGATCCGCCTCCTCACCCGCAACCGCTCAATGGCCGCAACTTCGCTCGTCAACTTTACATGCGGCGCATCATACTACGCCCTCCTCTACTACATCCCGATCCGCTCACAAACAGTCGACGGCGCCTCACCCGTTCGCGCCGGCATCGAGCTCCTCCCGCTCATCTTCCTCAACATGACGGCGGGAATCGTCGCCGGTTGGACGGTCAGCAAGTGGGGGATGGTGCAGCCTGCGATGCTCGTCGGAACGGGCTTCACGGCGATTGGTGCAGGCTTGCACGCGTCGATGGATCAGAATACGACGGAGGGACAGTGGATTGGGTACGGGATCGTCGTGGGAACGGGAATGGGTGAGTCTTCCGCCCATGTGATTGCGCCCCTCCAAGTTGACGTTCCCTTTCACAGGCGCGCTGTACATGATGAGCTTCCTCGCCTCTCAAATGCTCGTCGACGAGGAGGACAAAAGCAAGGCGTCGAGCCTCGTCTGCTTCTGGCAGATCTTTGGCGGAACAGTCTGGGTCGGCGCAGCCAACGCGATCTACGCCAACAAGTTCAAAGCCGGCCTCGAGCGCATTCCCGGCCTCGACGTCCAGCAAGTGCTCGACTCGGGCGTCGACCGCTTCCGTGAAGTCGTCCCGCCCGAACTGCTCGACCCGGTCGTCCAAGTCTGCATCGACGCCTTGTTTGACGTATTCCTCTCGTGCGCCATCCTCGGCGCAGTCGGCTTCGTCGCGGTCTTTGGTATTCGGTGGGTGCGTATCGAGGACGACAAGACGGAGAAGCGCGAGCAGGAGAAGGCGTAGTGAGGCGCTGGTCTTGGAGCAGACTGGACGGCCGGCCCCGTCTCTCTCTACCTTATCTCCTTGTCGCATTATAGAGGTCTTCCTGGGTTCTGTTGGAATAGATTCGCATTCGTTGTTCGCAGCGGAGGTTGCTTCCTTCGCAACTCGTCTCCCTTCCGCTCGCTGTCTCTCCTTCGCTCTTCTTCCTTCTCGAAAGTGTGCGCAGGTTCTGTCTGATAGCTTAAAGCCCTCGAACCAGCCATATGAAGCGTGACCCCTTCTCTCGACCTCTGCCCTTCTTCCTGCTCCGCGTCGCTCCTCCTCCTTCGCTACCCATAGCCACACGCAAACGGTTCGTGCTTGCGCGCAACGACTGCTCACTGCTCACGGCACGTCTGAATGGACCCGCGCTCCCCGCCCAGCTTTCGCGCCGCTCAGACCGCCGCGTCCTTTGCTTTGTCCTCCCGATCGGTCTCGTTCTCCTCGCTCACTCGCTCGTGCTGCTGGCTGTGACTCGTGCTAGATCTCACTAGCCGTCTGCATCCGACGCGGGCGTCGACCCGTCAGATGCGCCCTCGCTCGCCCCGTTCTCGCCAACGCTCCTTCATCACATCTCCATTCTCACTCGCTGCGGTCCTCGCCACCCTTGCCTGCCTCGCCAGCGCCTCAGCAGCTCCTTTACTTGACGCCAGAAACGCGACAGCCCTGTATTCGGCGCAAAGCTCGACCCAGGCTTCCTCGTCTGCCCAAACAAGCGCCTCGAGCGCGACTCTTCCTCTCATTGGTCTGAATGCGACGGTGACGCTTGACGGTAATGTTGGAGTGGGTGCAGGCTTTGCGGTAGAGACAGGAGCGGCGCGCCCGGCGAAGACGGGAGGATTGGCGGTAATCCCGACAGCAGCAGCCAACGCGACTGTCGCGAGAAGTGCGACGACGGGTCGTCTGCAGGCCGTGCAGACGGCGTCGAGGAACGGTACGGTGTCGTCGCCAGTCGGGACCGGTAGGCATCGCCCGACCCTCATCGCCTCGACCGGCGCCGCGAACTCCTCCCTCCCTTCCTCCACACACTCTCTACCCGACTCTACGGTCACCGCCACCGCGAAGCTCACTTCTACCGCACACAACTCGACGCGTACACTCGCGCCCTCCCGCAATTCTACGCACTCTCTTTCCGCTTCGGCCAACTCGACTGCCACGTCCACCAGGATCGCTTCGAACACCGGTCGCAATTCGACCAGCGTCACCACCTCGCGTTCCTCTACTTCTCATCAAAAGTCGACCACCACCGAGCCGGCCTCTACAAGTCGAACGACTTCCGCACACCGCGCTCCACCCGTCTCAACGCACAAACCGTCTCTCACTTCGACTCGCTCTGCCGCCTCCGATGCATCTCCGACACGACCGTCAAAGCCGCAGGCGACTCGATACGGAGATGCGCCTGCGAAGGGATGCAAGAAGCCGCCCTCGACCTTTGCCGGTACAAGCGCAGGGTTCGCCTCGCTGTGCCAAGTCCGGTACTGCGATGCGCAACCGACGCGGAACATGGCTTGGAGCGGCGTTGATGGCGACGTGACGCGGACCGAGATCGAGACTGCGCTGGGCATGCTCAAGCAGCTGGAACCGCTCTGGGCGAATGGGCAAGATAACGTCCTCTCGACGGGCTATCTCGGTCAGGCGGCGCACGATGCGGGATTGTTGTACGAGGTTACGGGCGACATCCGCGCGCTCGATGTCAGCATCCAGGTCGCCGACAATATCCTCGCCCTTCAGAACGCGAACACGCCCGGCGGCGGTGTGACCATCTGGACCGGCGCAAAGGACAGCGTGCGCTACCTCACCCATGCTCTTCATCGCGGATCCTAGCTGATGGCTTCGCTCGACAGGTCTGGCCGCCTGGGAACTTGAACCCGCCCGAAGGCCAGCTCGTCTACGCCGGCTGCGAGCAGGGCTTGATCGTCGGCAACATGGTGCAGGCCGCCAACTATATCCTCAAGTCTCCCTGCCTGTGGAACAAGGTGCGCAATCGCTGGTTTGCTATCGCTACTTATCGCTGACACGCTCTCTTGCAGGTCCCGCCCGTCTTTCAAGGCCCAACGGTCTTCAACGAGTCAGCAACGTACTACGACCGAGCCCTCGCGTACATCAAGGCCGCCGACGAGTGCGTTCGTCTCGCATCTTCGTACTGCGCTCCTTGCAACGGCCGTCGCCTGCGCTCCTTGCAACGGCCGTCGCCTGCGCTCCTTGCGATAGCCGTACTGACGCCCCTTTGACCGCCTGCAGCACCTACGAAAGCTTCTTCTTCCGCTTCCTCGACTCGAACCTCTCGATCATCCAGCCAAACGACCCACGCTGGGACCTGACGGGCGACAGTCGCAAATCCGGCACGCCTATGCCGTGGAACCGCCGCATGCTCGTCCTGCACGGGTACATCCAGCTCGCGATCGCGCACGAGTCGCCCGCCGTGTTCGACGCGAAGAAGACGGCGTTGTACGATACCATCGTCAAGCGGAACGTGATGGACTTTCTGATGGCGCTCAACGAGAAGAAGTCGGTCGTCAACGGCAAGATGACGTGAGTCGCTGAGCTTTGCATTTTGAGATCGTCGAACTCGAGCTGACGATGGTGCGCAAGGTTCAACTGGGACTACTCGGCGGGCGAGGAAGGCCACACGGAGGAGAGTCAGGGAATCCACGCTTTTTATGATGTGCTAGGCTCGTGGCGCGCCTGGCAGCGCAACAGTGCAGTCTTCGGCCTGTCGAACTACATCGGCTACACCTTCGCCAATACCTTCGAGAACACGATCTCGTTGGGCAACGGTTCTTTCGCCGGCCTCGTCACAGGCGACTCCAGCAAGAAGGCCTACACCGTCAACCAGCTGTATGCCGGCTGGTCGTTCTACGCGCTTTGGCTGCCGGAGTGGTTCAAGACGGTTGCCGAAGCGAATGTCGCCTCCGGCTTCCAAGGTCGTACTTGGCTGGCTATTCCGCTTCGTAAGTTTCACTTTCTCTGTCAGTACAGGTGGAGTGGACCGGGACTGACGCTATCTTCGCGCCCGACAGTTTGGACGAAGCACGCCGTCGCCATCAACGACATGACCTTCTGGTCCGGGCTCTTCTCGAGCGGCTTTGGCGTGGTCGTCGGCACGGAGTCAACCTCTTCGCGAGGTTCATCAGCAAGCGGAGTGCACTCGGCCTCGCCTCGTGTCGCCGCCACCCCTGCGACCGCAGCTCTCGCCTCTCTCGTCCTCCTCGCCGCTGCGATTCTTCTCCAGGCGATGTAGGCAACTCGTCGAGCCCTCACTCTCGGTTGTACGATTATCACTTCACGCCGACAGACCCTCTTTGCATCCTCTATCTTCCGTTCGTCCCCTATCAGCGCAGTGATAGACTCCCCTCGTTCGTTCTTCGTCCCCGCAGGATAGATCCGCAGCTTTACATTGCACCTTTGCACCTTCTGATTTGGCTGGAGGGCTATTAAGACTAGCCTGGCATGGGTCCGCTTGGCTTCGCTCGGCCTTCGCAAGAACAGAGGAGGAGCAGCTCGCGACAACGCCTCCTGAAGAGCCCAGTGTTCGTGCACGCTCAGACAGCGTCAGTAGCGTCGTAGCGTCTCTGTCAGCTGACCAAACAACTTTGATAAGCGAGTCAAAGGCGAGAATTCGTCCACCACGCTCGGGCAGGAGTCGGCGAACACACGTTCGCGTCCACCACTTCACTCTGCGCTCAGACCGCTTGTCAGACCTTGCTAGCTACCTTACACTTGCTCAAGGACGCCGACGACTGCCCGCCAGATGCCCGTCCTCGTCCGACGTCCCTCCCTCCCCTCATCAGTTCTGCCGAAACTCGGGCGGTCGTTGACCAACTCGGACCTCTCGTCGGACAAGCTCCTCTCGCTTATCGAGCACCTGCGCCTACTCTACGCACCGGCAGACGACCGCGCACACCCGACAGAGGAGGAGGCGCACGAGGCGCCCTTCTCGCACGAGGTTGAGGAGGATGACACCGTCGATCCGCTGTGGGCGCAGGACGCCTTCGAGCGGACATGGACGGTCAACTGGCTGAACATGGTGGTACGGAGAGGGGAGGACTGGATTCAGGAGGCGCAGGATGAGGGGAACGACGCCGAGAAGCAGCTGCGGGTACGAATCGTTGACGAGGCGGCTGGACTCGTCTCGCTCTTGACTGCGACTTCGGGTGCGTGCAGCGCTTCATCGCGACCATCTTGACATGCTGACGTTGCCTGCGAGCAGAGGGCGGCGCCATCCTTCGACCTCTTCTCCTACCCACCTGTCCTCCCGACGCGGAAACACAGACCGAACCGCTCCTGATCACCCTGAACGACGCTCTCCCCTCTTCTCTCGACCCTACATCCGTCGGCCTCCAGTCTTGGGGGTCGTCCATCATCCTCGCGCGCATGATCGCTCTCGACCCGATCGGTTTCGGGCTGGGCGTGCCGAACCACCGCGCTCTCGAGCTGGGCGCAGGAACTGGCCTCCTGAGTCTCGTCTGGAAGGGCATGAGCGAGCGCCTCGGCGCGCCGTGCGAGGTCTTTGCGACAGACTACCACGACGGCGTCCTCGAGAACCTGCGACGGAATGTCGAGGCCAATTCGGCTGCCATCACGCCCGTCCAGTCTCCCGCCGCCTCCCCGCCCCTCAAGCCTTCAGCATACTCTTCCTCGTCTTCTCTCGCCTCTTCGAACTCGTCTCTCCCCGTCCAGGCGCACAAGCTCGACTGGTCCGCTGTCCACTCTTCCCGCTCATTTGCCTCCGCCAATCCCGGTCAGCCGATGGAGATCAGCATGCCTCCGCCCTTCGACAAGCCGTTCCACACCCTTCTGGCTGCCGACGTCGTCTACGGCCCAACTCATGCTTCGTGGCTCAAGAGCTGCGTCGAGCAGTTCCTCGTCAAGCCTGATGCGGTCGAGCAGAAGGAGGCGGTCAACAAGCTGCCAGAGGAAATGGCGAGTCTCTCGCTCGGGGACGCGAAGATGCCTCTTCCCGAGCGACCGGCGCTGCACTCGACCGAATCAGCCGCAGCTGTCGAGTCGACCCCCACGCATGTCGCTACAACTACCACGACAAGCACGGAGCCGACCGCCGTCTTCCGCCCGGCCTTCCACCTCATCGTCCCGCTCCGCCCTACACACGCCGAGGCGATCGCGAGCATCAAGGAAGTCTTTCCGAAGAAGGAGGACCTGCCTGAGCGGAAAGAGGGCGAGCCGTGGCGCGTCGCAGTTGAGACGATTACCGAGATTGAGCGGGTGCAGGGGGTCGGACGCGCGGACGAGGAGAACTACAGGCTCTACCGAATCGGGTGGTGCTGAGCGCCGCTCCTTTTCCATAGCCTCGCCTCGCCGTCGACATCTACCTAGCGACTCTTGCATGTCATACCTAGACGACTCTGCTGTTGTACAAGCCTGACCATCCATTCGCGTTTCCTGCAACTTGCGAACATTGCGACGACTCATTCGTTCTGAGACTTGGCCGCGTTCTGTCTGCTGTTACCTGCTTTCTCCCCTAGCACAGGGTTTTACAAGCCTTACGACCGTCGCAGACCAGCTGTACGCGGATTGACTTGCGCGCTGAAGTCGGCGGAGAGGCTTCACTTCGACCACTCGCTATCGCTCGCTCGTTGGTGTGCTGAGACCGACAAGAAGACTTTTCGGACGCATAGCTATCGTGCACAAGCGGCCTGCACGCCCACGACGCCTTCCCACCAACTCACTCCCCTCACTCAACTTCATCACCAAACACCGTCTCGCCCTTCGAACATCGGCTTCGCAGGTGCATACGACCGCAGCAATGGACGTACAGAGCCTGCTGAACGCCACCTCTACTGAGGACTCGCTCTCAGCGCTGTCGACACAGCTCGTCTCTCTCGGCTACCTCTCCCGACCGCTCGACCTCTCCACCCTCTTCCTCGCCCCTCCAACCCCCTCAAACGCGTCATCCAAGGCTCTCAAGAAACACCACGACTTGTTGATCCTCCAAGCGCGCGCGAGGGAACAGATTGCAAAGTGTTTGTGGGGGATGCTGGAGCAGCGGCGGGCGGAGAGGGGGACTATCGAGGCGCTTTTGTCGAGGGAGGCGAGCGCTGCGGAGGAGGCAGAGAGGGAGAAGAACGCGGCTGATCGGGCAAGGAAGGAGCGCGAGGTGTTGGGCAAGGAACTCGAGGCGGAGAAGGCCAGGGCGAAGTGCGTCTCCCGTATGCTTGCCATCTGCGTCCGTGGCTAACGTGACTTGGTGCGTAGGGACGCGGAGCAGAAGCTGAAGGTCGAGCAGGAGCGGCACCGGCATGCGCGGGAGGAACTGGCCAAGACGAAGAATGCGTTGCAGTTTGTCAGGACGCAGGCGCAGGTTCGTTCCTCGAAATGCACGCCATCTTGCCTCGGAGCTTACACGCCATTCCTCCGCAGCACGAATCGAAGCGGCGCGAAGCCGAAGTCCAGTCCCTTCACCAGCGACTGCAGAAGCTCACGACCGCTCCTGCCTCGTCCGCCTCCGACTCTGCCTTCACTCGCTTCGTCGTCTTGAACGGAGCAGCAAGCGGATCGTCCTCGTCGCCCCTCACCACGACGTTCGGCGGCCGTGCATCCCGCCTCCCCGCCCGCTCACCCACCCCAACGTCCGCTGCATCCTCAACCGCCGCCGCAGCTCTCGAAGCTGAGCTCGACCTCCTCCGCACGACTCTCGACGACCGCCTATCCGAGTGCGAGCATTTGGCGGATGAGAACAAGGACTTGCGGACGTTCGTTGGCGAGGTGGAGGAATGGGCTGAAGGAGTGCTGGAAACGGACGAGATGCTCAAGTTGAGGCAGGCCGGCGAGGAAGGGGACGAGATCCGTGGCGTACTCGATACGGGTGACGAGGTGCGTCGCCTACCTGTCTCGCTTGGAGCCGAGCTGAGCGTTCGGCTGCCGGCACTGACTCGTCGCTCCCTGCTGCAGTCTTTCCACATCCCTTCGCCTCACCTCGCCCTTCCCGTCCCCACTCTCACAACCGCCCTCCACCGCAAGCTCTACGCCATCCGCCTCGGCCTTTCCACCCTCAACTCCGCCGCCTCGTCCGCCGTGTCCACCCTGCGCGAAGAACTCGAAGGCGAGATCGAGCGGTTGAACGAGGAGGTCGAAGAGGAGGTCCGACGGCGCGAGGAGGTCGAGAAGGAGAGGGAGGAGGCGAAGGAACAGGTTAGGATGGGTGAGCGGTTGGTGCAGGAGTGGGCGGACAAGGCGCATGAGGAGAAGAGGCGGAGGTTGACGCGCGCGCCCGAATCGGAGTGAGTCGGACTACTTCAATGCTCGGCTTGTCTCGCTTTCAAAGGGGACATTTTGCCGGGGCTTGTGCTTGCCTGGTCGCGGACTCGCTGACGACTCTCTTTCTCCACCAGCGATGAGCTTCCTCCCGAGATCGAAGCATCTATGGCCGTCGAGAAGCAGAAGCGTCTAGCTCGCAAGACCGGCAAGACGGTGTCTCCCGTCGAGACCGCTGTCGACGCCCCGGCCAAGACGTCCTCAGCGCCTCGACCTTCTGCACCCTCTGCTCACGTCGCCGCCTTTCTCTCGGATCTCGGTCTTGACACGCCGGCCGTCGAGGAAAGTAAGGGCGCGCTGAAGAGCGAGAAGGTGCGGAGCGGGACTGCGAAGGAGCAGGCCGCCGACAAGACGCGAGTGCGCGTGTCGAGCGAACGACGGGCGGAGAAGGAGCGAGAAGTGGACGCCGAGATGCCGCCTCCTTCCAAGCCGACTCGCCGAACCTCGTCCTCTCGCCCCGCAACGTCCGCTCCGGCTGCGCCGATTTCTCGCTCGACTACGACGAACTCGACAAGCGCCGCCGGCACGTCGAGCGCCCTCGCCGACATCCTTTCTCTCGCCACCTCGCCGCCCGTCTCGTCAGAGCCTCTCGTCTCTATCAAGTCGGCGATTCCCTCGAAGGATAAGGAGCGCGCGCGGACCGTCCTCTCTTCGTCGCGAATGGCCAACACGGATGTCGGACGAGCAACGGGCGGAGAGAAGGAGCAGGATCGGGTAGCGGCGAAGAAGCAGGCGCTGCTCGAGAGGGCGCGGAGTGTGAGCGGCAGGAGTGCAAGGTCGTAGACGTCGATGACTCTCCCTTATCGTGCACGACGGCCTCTCGAGATATCTCTGTTGTATGTAACGCGCTATCCGAACGCAGGGCCGGACGGGAGTATTGCTGGGAAAGGCGCGACTCTACAAAGTGCAGATGAATTTCGTCACTTCATCAGTCTCCTCGTTGTGAACGCACTCGAACTTGAGTCTAATCGAGCAGATCCTGAGGACGTTCTTCCTCAGAGTGGCGAGGAAGTCGGAGATGTCGCTGTGGCGGATGGAGATGAACCGCAGGGTACCGTTCAGGAGCTGAGAGAGTGCGGCGGGGATCAAGCTGTCTTCGTATGCCGGCGGACGCTCCTTTGCATTCTTGTGACCGATCAAGGCGTGGAGGACGAAGGCGTGGTGGTAGACGACATTCCGGAGAGGTTGCAGGGAGACGAAATCTTGCGATCCGGGCACGTACTTCTTGATGTCGAAGAGCAGCGCTGAAGCAAAGCACGCAGGCATTGACTGCACCTCCTGAAGCTCCTGCACGTCCTGCATGTCTTCCGCAGCCAAGAGGTCGACCGCAGAACCGCTGTAGATCATCGCGCAAGTAGCCTCCGTAATGTCAGCGTACTGCGTCTCCGAGAGCGCATTCAAGGTCTGCCTCGTGCTGTTGAAAAGTTCGGCTTGTCTCCCAGTCCCGTCACACACTTCCCAGAGGATCTGCTGCCAGGTCTGGCTTCCTCGCAGGTTGGTGCCAACGGGCATCACCTTGGCTGCGTCAGGACCGCAGAGGCGTCGATGGTTCTTCCAGGCCTGCAAGAGAGTCTTGTCCAGTCATTCGTACCGATCGGAAAGGGAAAGACGGGCACGGACGAGCTTCTGGTGTTCCGGCGAGCAGAAGAAGAGGTCGAATCCGCCGCGGGCACACGCCTGACAATGCTTCGTGGTCGGCTGGCCGCACACGCAGCATTTCGAGGGTTCTTGAGTCGACATGGCTAGTCACGAAGCGGTCGCAGGGGATGAGACTGGCGGTAGAGCGGTCGAGGGGAGGAGGAACTGATGAAGGGCTGGCGAGGTGAGGGCAACGTGCGAGCATGTGCAAGCCAAGGACACGCTGTAGAAGTCGTCAGCAAACTCAGCGCAGACGCTCTCGGCGAGCCTAGCGAAGCTAGACTGTATTGGCGGAGCGAGAGGACTTCAAGACCCCCATCGCGGACGTCGACCGCGGTGAAGCGCTATCTTCGCCCGAGCCAGCTAGTTGCCAGTGCTGCTTGGCGCTGTGAACACATCGACGAGGCAAGGCGTTTTGACAACGGCCCTTGACAGCCTGCCGCCGCTTGCTTTGCTCGCGTGGGTCCATGGTGCAGCGCGAGTGGTCGTTGACAAGATCATTGCGGGTAGTACACAACAGCATTGACTGGAAAAGATGGCGCGATAGGCCGGGAATGCGGTGAAGGAAGGCGGACGGCGAGCACACTCGGTCAGTCGGCGTAACGAAGCGTGAATCCGCAGCCGCCCGGGCAAGGAACCATGCGGTACGGACGCCTGGTTAAGGTCGAGATACGGCTGATGAAGAAGTGCGTCACGAAGTTGAGATCGGCGTGCGAGGTGAACGACCTGACCTCCGCAAGCATGTCGACAAGCTGTTCGAATTCGCGACAGATCCAGGCGTCGGGAATGCTCGACTCATTGGCTCGCTGGGCTCGGGAAATCGTTATCAGGACGAGCAACTGATGATTGATGCGGCTGACGCGGCGCATGTCGGCTTCGGTGCTGATCAAGGGCTTACGCTGGCCAGCCCAGGTTGCGAGGCGAGCGATTTGTGACCAAATCGTATGCTGATAGATGTCACCAGTCGATGAGCCGGCGAAATTTTCGAGGTGGAGCAGCAGCGAACTGCGCGCCTTCGTGAGGAGCAAGTAGCGGGAGTCGTGGTCGGTGACAGAGGCGGGATTGCGAAGCAGAGGGACTATTCTCTGCGCAGTGTCTCGATCCAATGTTAGTGACTTATGTCTTACGAAGGCATGGCGTGCCCACCTGTTCGAACGAGCCTGCAGGCATTCGCGCCCACTGCTCCAAGGTCTCTGCAATTGTTGTCAGGCCGGTTGCAGTCGTTGAGCCGACTTGCTGAGAGATTCGCAGGATCTCCGGAGGGAAAGCGGCCATTGGCATAGGACGCTCGGTTCGTGCATAGCGGAGCAAGCCTTGAAGCTCTTCCTCGGTGAGAGGCGGAGGAGCGAAAGGGTGAGCGTTCGGCCCGCAGACCTGCTTGTGGTGCTTCCAGACCTGCGCAAGAGCCGGCCGGTGAGCTCTCTGTACTCGTTGAGAGGAAATACGCGGACTCACAAGCTTCTGGTGTTCCGGCGAGCAGAAGAAGAGGTCGATCCCGCTCTTTGCGCACGCCTGGCAACGCTTTGTGGTCGGCGCGCCGCAGACGCAGCACTTTGAGGGTTCCTCAGTCGACATGGCTGGTCTCGAAGCGGTCGCAGGGGATGAGACTGGCGGTAGAGCGGTCGAGGCGGGCGAGAACTGATGAGGAGCTGGTGAGGCGACGGCGGCGTGGGAGCGTGAGCGACGCCGGATGCCCTCTCAGCAGCGGTCACCAGGGTCAGCGCCGGCGTTCTCAGCGATCCCAGCGGAGCGAGACCGAGTTGGCGCATGGCGAGGATCTCGAGGTCCTCCGTGCGAGATGGCTGCGTCGCATCGAAGCGTGCCGGCTGTCGATGATGCTCTTTCCGGGCACTCCGAAACGGTTTATGCCTGCGGAAGGATGCGGGAGAACAAGCGGAGCTTTCGGGAGCGGCTGGCTCTGCTCGCATCCAGCGCTTTCGCGGAAAAGGGGCATGAGGCGATCAGTACATGTGTGTGGGATTACAGCTTCAGACGAGATTGAGGGAGGGTGCCTGCGGCGTACGTGCGTCGAGGCGACGGAGCGAAATGGGCGAAGCTCGTTCAGTCGGGGTAACGAAGCGTGGGTCCCCTGCCGCCCGGCTTGGGCACAGCGATGTATGAGCGATCAGCCAGGGTCGCAGTACGACTCCTGTAGTGGTTGGTCATGTAGTGGAGCGCCTGGATCGACTCGAATGGCTTGATGTCCGCGTGCAGATCGACGACGTGTTCGAAGGAGCGGAGAATCCAGGCATCAGGAATGGCCGAGTCGTCGGCGTGCTTGATGCGGGCAAGCGTGACCAGAATGAGCAGGTGGTGGTTGATCTGGCTCAGGAGGCGCATCTCGGCGTCGTTGTCGGCAGTGCCCAGCCAGCCGCCGGCAAAAGCACCCAGTCGAGCGACTTGGGCCCAGATCGTGTGTACGTAGACGTCGCCAGTACCGCCGACGAAACCTTCGAGGTGCTGAAGGAGGAAGGAGCGAGCCTTCGTCAGACCCGTGTAGCGTGAGCGACGAGGGATATCGACAGGATTGCGGAGGTTCGGGAGGATGCGCTGTCCAATACGAGGCGTGAGTCCATCTAGGAGGAGACACGCAATGGGTCACGCACCGTCTCAAAAGAGCCAGGCGGCCCGCCCGCGTAGTTCTCCATCAAGTCGGCAATGGTAACGGAGCCTTTCGCGGCGATCGCGCCAAGCTGTTGCATAGCCGCACCATGCCGTGGCAGCGCACTCAGGAGAGAAGGAGGAAATGCATCAAGCGACACGGTGCGAGCCTCCCGAGCGTGGGTGAGCAAGGCGCAGGCTTCCTCATCGGTGAGAGCCCGCGGGCAAAAAGGGTCAGCGTTTGGCCCGCAGACTTGCTTGTGGTGCTTCCAGACCTGCGTAAGAGCCGGGCGGTGAGCTCGCTGTACTCGTTGAGACGAAAGACGCGGACACACAAGCTTCTGGTGTTCCGGCGAGCAGAAGAAGAGGTCGATCCCGCTCTTTGCGCACGCCTGACAACGCTTCGTGGTCGGCTGGCCGCACACGCAGCATTTCGGGAGTTCCTGAGTCGACATGGCTGGTCTCGAAGCGGTCGCAGGGGATGAGACTGGCGTTCGAGCGGTCGAGGCGAGGAAGAACTGATGAGGAGCTGGTGAGGCGACGGCGGCGTGGGAGAGCTTGCGAAAGGCAGCAGACGTGACGAAGCAGTATAGAAAGCGCTTGAGAGCGTTAAAGCGCGAGTCCTAGGCGAGTTCGCGGGGGTGAATTGAGAGGAAGAGAGGCAAGGTCGTGGACGCTCCTCTCAACGAGTTTGGGTGCCAGAGTTTTCTGCAAGCATACTCGCCTCTCGTCCGGGAAGTCTCAAAGTGCGTCTCCATTGCGTGCGGAAGCGAAAGGAGCCTTGACTCGATGCCTGAGACTAAGTCGACCTACTGGCTCGCTGGAAAGCACCGAATGAAAGACCGCTTCTCCGTTGATGTGCCGCTGAAAAAGTCCATGGCGATGAACTTCATCTTGAGGACGACGCGCACTTCGGCGGACAAGTCGGCAATGAGCTTCTTTGCGTCGTCGTCGTCGCGCAGCGCGCGATAGTCGGTGACGGCGTCGAGATAGGAATCGCAGGAGCGGTAGAGCAGCTCATCAGGCACAAGGTCTGCACCCGCTTCCGCTCGAGTCGACATGAGCGAAAGGAAGATGATGCTATGGTGCCGCACCGTCGACCACTTGAGCGAGCCGTCGTCGAGTTTACAGGGAGGTCGCAGCCCGTCGGCGCGTGCCCTGTGGCTCGTGATGATAGTATCGAAACGCGACACGTGAGTCCAGAAGGACTGTCGTGACCAAGGCAACTCCCACCCTCCGTTCCGAGCCTCCTTCGCCAGCTGCAGGTTTGACCGAAGCATGCCAAGCACAGACTGCTGCTGATCGACTGTGAGGCATGGAGGGACACCCTTGAGAGACGATACGAACGACTGCCAGCGGGATGCTGCATCAGTCTTTGCTGCCGAATGCAAGAGAGATGAGGGCATGCTCACCTCGAAGGGGTGCCCATGAAGCCACTCGAGCTCCAAGAACTGCCTGAGCGTGAAGCCATCCGCAGTCAGAGGAACCTGGGGGTGGGACAGCACGTCTTGAACCTCCGCCTCCGACAAGGCAGGGTACTGAATCGGGTGAGCCTTCGGTCCGCAGACTTGCTTATAGTGCTTCCAGACCTGCGGGGTTCCGTTTCGTCAGTCTACGCTTGTCGATGAGCAGTATGGGAGACTCACGAGCTTCTGATGTTCCGGCGAGCAGAAGAAGAGGTCGACGCCTTCCCGAGAACACGGTTCACACCGCTTCGCGGTCCGTGAGCCGCAGACGCAACAGCTCGAGGTCTTCTGAGGCGACATAACTGCCAAGGAGCGGTCGCAGGCGCTGGGACTGTCGGCAGAGCGGTGGAGGGAAGGAGGGACTGATGAAGTGCTTGCGAGGTAAGGCCGACGCGGGCGGGTTGGCGAGCAGCTGTGGGGCGATGAGGGACAGTGTCCAAGCCAAGACAGAAGCTACAGCAGCGAAAGAAGCGAGTCGAAGCAAGCCAAGTGAGCGGACGAAGGAAAAGTCCTCTCTGCGGACGACAGCCAAGCGTCTTTGTGCCGACTATCGCCTTTCTTGCCGCTGATCGAAGAAGGGGTCGTATACTGCAATGAATTGAGAGGAGCGGGAGAACCACGTAAAGTATCCAGGAGAAATGACTAGAAGGCAAAGCTGAATGGTGCTTCCGGCACAGAACGGACACACCATCTCATGTCTCCTCTTCCAAACAAGTCACCGCTCATCACAGCAAACTTGACCCCGAAGACGACCCGCAGCTCGGCTTCGAGGTCGGCGAGAAGTCTGTTGACGTCCACCGGGTTGATGCTTCGCTGGCTGGCGATCGCATCCAGGTACTGGTCGCACGACTTGTAGAGAAGATCGTCGGGTACGCTGCTCTGGCCCTGCTCGGCCCGCCTCGTGACGAGTGAGAGGAAGGCGACGCCGTAGTGACGGCAGGCGGACCAGCCAAGCGAGTCCGGCACTTGTTCCATCGCCATCCCTTCCCCCCGCTGTATGTGCTGAAGAACAATCGTGTCGAAACGCGCAACGTGCGTCCAGAACGATTGCTGGAGCCACGGCAGCTCCATTCGCGCGTTGAGCAGTTCTTTCGCCATCTGCAGCGCTCCTCGCAAGGTGAACATGACATGCTGCTGGTCGATAGGCGGCAGATCGGATCGTGTGGAGCGAAGCGAGTGAACGTAGGTCTGCATTAGGAGGGCGTCAATGAAAAGCGGTCGGAGGGGAGATTCGAAAGGGCAGGCCGCTCACCGCAAAGTCTTCGCCGCGCAACAATGTGTTTATAGCGCCGTGCAGCGGGGTGGACTTGTCGAGGAGAATATGGGCGTGCGCGATGATCTCGTCGACCTCAGTCTGCGCGAGGAATGGGTACAGAAGCGGGTGGGCGTTCGATCCGCACACTTGCTTGTGATGCTTCCAGACCTGCGGCTCCGACGTCAGTTGGGAACGAAGGATGAGAAGGGCAAGTCGTTTGGCATACAAGTTTCTGGTGCTCCGGTGAGCAGAAGAAGAGGCTGATCCCGTTGGTTGAGCAGGGCTGGCATCGCTTCGTCGTCGCCGTGCCGCATACGCAGCACTTCGGCTCTTGAGCAGACATCCTGTCGAGTTTCTGGGCGAACAGCGGCAGAGCAGGAGCACGAGTGAGCGTGAGAAGGGAAAGAGAAGGAGAGCGATCCGAGCGAAACAAGGCGACGAGGCGGTGAAGGCGAGGTCCGAGAGCCATCGGCCTGGCAAGCGCGAGTCTGGAAGAACGCAGTCACGAAGCCAGAATCAGATCAGAGCGAGGTAAGCGGGTTCAAGTGAACTGGACGAGGGAGAGAGGTGAAGTGGAAAGGTTCGCCGCTGCCACCACGCTCGTCTCGCTCAATCAGTGTATCCATGGGCTGGTTCTCGTCTTCTTCGTCGTCCGACTCAGTCTCGATCAGCGGCGCCGCCCCCGACCGGTCGCAGCGGAGCCAGTGCTGGGAGTCTCGGGACGCCTACTTCGCCTGCCTCGACAAGAACGGTGTGCAGGTTCCGGGCCAGGAAGGCGAGGCGTGTAAGAAGGAGAACAACGAGTACAAGGGCAAGTGCGCAGGAAGCTGGGTGAGTCGCCAGTTCTCTCATCGCTTCGAGGGATGCGGGGACGCGAAACTTGGCATCGAGGGAGTTGCAGGGCGCTCTGGAGACGTGGGATGCGCTGCTATACTCTTACAAAATAGTCAGAGCAGCGGCCGCCCACGAAGTATTCCCGAGGTCCGCTGTCGCTGACTTCTTCGTCCCGTTCCCTTCGTTCTCCTCCGCAATCCGCCAGGTCGACTACTTCAACAAGCGACGAGTGCTGCAACTACGCCAAGATCTGATGGAGCGACGAGCAGCGGAGCAGGTGGCGTCGGCGTCGAAGTGAGCGGGCGTTCCGAGCGGGTGAAGTGCGTTGTCCTCAGCGTCGAATGCCGCAATCACCCAAAGCTGACTGTCTCGCCCATTCGCAGGTCAGTGTACATACTGCGACGAGCGAGCGGGCGGGGTAAGGGCGTAGGAACCACGGTTCATCAAGCAATTTTATCGCAACTTGTCACAACTCTCCTCTCCATCCTCACCGCAAACCGAGCGACCGAGAGCACAACGCGCATTGCATACAAGCGATAAGCTAGTTAGTCCTGCAAGAGAGCCTGGACGATGTGGCCGACGCGGAGCATCCGCAAGTCTGAGTAGGTTTGGCCGGTTCCGACGAAATAGATGGGCTGGCCGGTTACGTAGGTCATCGAGAGCGCCGCGCCGACCTGCGAGAAACCAGGGGAGTCAGAAGTTGGCGGAAGACCGGAAGACGGTGAGGGAGCGTGAGGAACGCACCTTGTCGTCGATCGTGTCAAACTTGGTGAGGATCATCCCGTCCACGCCCCTTCCTTCGCCCGCCGCCGCACCAGCGCTACTCCTGACACCTGCCGAGCCGGAGAAGTCCCGCAAGGCGCGGTTGAACTTGGTGAGCTGGTCGACGGCTTCGTTTCCGACGAGGGCTTCGCCGACAAAGATGATCTTGTCGGGCTGGTTCACGGCAATGAGCTACGAGCGATCGAGTGATTAGTTGAAAACGTAGCTCGTGGAGAAGAAAGAGTCGCACCTTGGCGAGAGCGCGCATCAAAGGCTCGTTGTCCTGCATCCGACCTGCGGTATCGATCAAGACGACGTCGAAGCCTTGCTGCTTGGCTGCATGCCGGCCCGGGAACTCGAAAATTAGCCAGAGGAACTTGTAGCGAGCCTGACGAGGGCAAGCTAGCAAACGCACCGTAAGCGAGCGCGTCCTTTGCGATACCAGCTGCGTCCTTGCCATAGCCCTTCTCGAACAGCTCGACCCGCTTCGCCGCACCCTCGCCCTCGAGTTCTTCCTCCAGCTTGCCCAGATTCCGCACGTGCACCCGCAGCTGCTCGACCGCACCCGAACGGAAGGTGTCGCAAGCCGCAATCAAGACTCGCAGGCGGTTCTGCAAGAGCCAGAACGCGACCTTCGACAGGTTCGTCGACTTGCCGACGCCGTTGACGCCAACGAAGGTAATCGCATAGGGATCAGCGACGGCGCCCTTGGCGTTCGAGGCGGACCGCTTGCGCTGAATCTCCAGGAGGAGGTCCGTGCTAGTCTTGGGCGTCAAGATGCGGACGAGCGCGTCGTGCATCGCTTCTCGAACCGCCTTCTTGCCCGCTCCGCCGCCGAAGAGTCCGCTGCCGGACGAGACCTTCTTGCCTTCGAGCGACTTGCCCACGCTCTGGACGACCTGTTCGGCGATGTCCTTCGCGACGTTTTTCGACATAAGATGTTGCTGCATGGCGCTGAGGATGGGTGCGAGGTCGGCGGCGGTAAGGGCGCGAGGTGAGAGCGAAAGTCGGGAGAAGAAGGAACCGAGCGCGGAAGTCGCGCCCTGCGCGGTCGATGCCACAGCGTCGTCCTCATCCTCGTCGTCAGATCCGGCCCCAACAGCATACTCTGCCACCTCGTACAGCCCGCTCTTCGCATCCCGCTTGCCCATCGCGCCACGGTCAACAAGCGCCTTCGTGTCCACCTCGACCTCCTTCTGCGGCGTTCCAGGCGCAGCCGGTGAACCTGGCGCGTCGGAGGAATAGTCGTATGCGGCGAGGTCGGCTTCGGTGATAGGCGAGTCCGACCACTTGGTCGCGGCCTTTCGAGTGCGCGGCTTCGTAGGCGTCGCGTCCGATCTATTGCACGGATAGCGTCAACCCGGCTGATCGCGCGAAGAGAGCCTCAACACGCACTCTGATCCACCGCCCTCCGACTCCGTTCCTCCCGGCGTCATCGACCGCCGCCCGCCCGCCTTGCCCTTCTGCGCCGCCTTCTGCCGAGCCTTGAGCGCAGCAATGTTCCTCGCTATCGTCTGGGCGTCGAGCGTCTCGCCGGCTGAAGGTGATGCAAGTGAAGGAGCTGCAGAGGAGCAGGTCGTCAATCAAGCGAAGGCGGGAGGGTGGAGAAGGGTGACGGACTCGTTGCTTCGCTGTCTCCGGGAGAAGACGAAGGCGAATCCGCAACGGCTGCTGTTCGTGATCTGGTCGTCTTCTTGTTCTGCAACAGAGTACGTCGTTAGCACTAGGAGCGTCGGCTGGTCGAAGCGGACGCACCTTGGCCGCATTCGCCTCGAAGTCGCGCAAGATGCGATTGAACGTCTCGTCCCATCCCGCAAACACCTTCTGCCACCCCTTCTGTCCGAACAAGCCAAACGCAGCCTTGCCCCCACCTGCTCCACCAAGAACGAGGACATCCTTTCCCCTCGTCGACTCGACAATCGCCTCGACCGTCTCCCTGTACGCCTTCAGGAACGCCTTCCTGATGGCCTCGAGCAGGTCTGCGACATACGGAAGGGAGAGGATCCGCTGGTAGGCGACGCAGAAGACAAGGTCGAGGTCGTTGGCGAGGAGCCAGAGGAGGGAGTGGGCGTCTTTGTCCCAGCGCGAGACGGCTCCTTCGGCGGTTGTCGTCGTCGTCGAGGTCGAACGCTGCTCGATCAAAGCCTCGCGGATAAGGGTGTCGAAGGGAGAGGCGGACGGAGTGAACGAGCGCTCCCACAGCACGAGACCGCCTTGGGTCCTGTGGGCGCGGGTGTTAGCGGTTAATTGTATGCTCAGAAGCATGTACGCACAAGATGGAGCAGTGATCGAGCATGTTGTGTGATGGTAGCAGCGAGAGAGATGAGGAGAAGAAGGTCTCCTCTGTACACGACGACCACTCGCTCAGATTGCGTCAAATCGCAGGTTGCTGGTGCTCTTGAGGCTTGACACTCCTTGCCTGTCGCTTGCTTCTCCGGCCCAAGCCTTGCGACCGCCGGACTCGCTCACCTCTCGACTTCATCTCTCAACTTTCGCTTGCGGTCAACGGGACGGTTAGGAGGATCGCTGAAGAGGCAGGACTCTCGATCCTACTGTCAGGATGCCGCACACCAACTCGCAATACGGTACGTTCGCGACACATGCCTCCTTCTCCTCCTCTTCACCTTGCCAAGCTCAAATGGCTGATTTCTTCCTACTCCTGCAGCGAAAGACCGCAAAGTCTCGCGGCCAGGGAAGAAGCCAGCCTTCCTCAACAAGGCGAAGTTCAAGAAGTCGAAATCGAGCACGACTGCCTCCCTCTCCTCCGCCAAATCCGCCGCTGTCGACGCCGCACCGCTCGATCCTTCGATCCCAGCGAACCGACAGGAGCAGACGGCGCTCATTCGGGCTTTCCATGCAATCGAGAAGAAGCTGGCGAGCCCGGGATTGACGGATCCGGAGGAGCGGAAGAAGCTGCTCGAGGAGCGGGAAAGGCTTGGCGGGTTGAAGACGTATCAGGAAGCTAGTGTGCATGGTGGAGACAAGGTGAGCCTTGCGCGGCATTGAAGCGCAAGTAAGCGGAGGAACTGACAATCTGTTCTGCGCAGAGTCGAGGCGGCGAGTCGAGCAAATGGCTCGTCAAACAGATTAAGGAGCTCAAGATCGGCCTCGACGTCAACAAGGAGAAGGAGGTCAAGAAGGTCGAGCCCACGATCCTCGAGGACGGAACAAAGGTCTGGCCGAAGGTCGAGCGAAGAAAGGTGCGTTCGAGTCGTCTGGGCGTGCCCGATTCTGGACCTGACGTGCGCCTTGTCTACCTAGCTGCGACTTCTGGACGTCGGAGCGATCGCGGGAACTGCCTGTGCGTTCCTAAACCCCTCATAACGCTCGCCTGCCCTCCTAGCGCTGGCCTGCCCGCCCCGCTCTCGCTCTGCTGATCCTCTCGTTCTTACTCCTCCTATACAGACGCCGGCTACCCCTGGATCTCGACCACATCCATCGACCTGAACCCCCAAGCGTCGCACGTCCTCAAGTACAACTTCTTCGACTTCCCCGTCCCGCAAGCCGAGGAGGAGAAGTACGATATCGTCGCGCTAAGCTTGGTCATCAACTTCGAGGGGAGCCTGGTAAACCGCGGTGCGTCTTCTTCGTTGTCTTGTTGAGTACGCAGCGACGTGGCTGATCGAGATGAGCGTCTACAGGCCACATGCTCCTGCACGCCCACGATTACCTCCTCCCGAACGGCTATCTCTACATCGTCCTCCCCCTTCCTTGTCTCACCAATTCGCGCTACCTCTCGCATGAGCGCTTCTCCTCGATTCTCGACTCGACAGGCTGGGACGTCGTCCGGAAACACGATTCGGCGAAACTGACGTACTGGCTCGTTCGACGGAAGGAAGGTGAGGGAGCGAAGGGAGATGGAAAGGTTTGGAAGAGGGAGGAGGTGAGGAGCGGGATTGGCAGGAATAACTTTGTGATTGTGGTCAAGCCGGGGACGGAAGTTGAGAGGGTGGTCGCAAGTGCGGAAGAGGCAGACGCCACGGAGGTGGAGAAGCAGGAGTAATTGCGCAGAGGGCGGCGTGTGTGGCGCTGGAACCAGCATGGTGGACAAGCGAAAGACCGCCAGGGCCGGAGGCGCTGTTGTTGTATTCTCAAGTCGCTTTCACAGCATCTTCCTGCCAAATTCTCCTCACTGCTACGAGATTGGAAGAAGCGTACGGTCCGAGCAAGGGAGCCACTGTCGCCAACGTCTCGAGCAAAGAAGCCATTGGGAAGGCTGCTGCTTGGACTGGTGAGAAGGATGCTACACTGGCTCAACGGCTCTATAACGACATCTGCCCCGAACCATGCAGCTCTTACGACTGCTCCTCCCTCGCAGCCTCCTCCTCAATCACTCTCACCCTCTTACACGCCTCAACAAGCTTCTCCTGCAAACCTTGCGGCAGCCGCATCAGGCCTCCTTCCTCCGTCACGAGCCGGTATGCGACGTGATTGGGCTCATACGTCGAGCCGACCACCTTGCCGGACTGGACGAGGACTGAGCCGAGGATGTCGGAGGGGTCACCGATGCGGTTTGCGTCGGCGGGAGAGCGCTCGTCGGCGATGTGGCTGCGCGATAGGGTCTCCCTCAGCTCTCGCAAGGAATGCATAGGAAGAACGTTGCGCACATGTGCGTGTCCTCGCCGATCGACTTTGCCTTTGTCTGCAACCAGAGGTCGCCCTCAACATTCGCCTTGATCACCTCGTGCACCAGTTTCAGGAAGTCAGGGTTCTCGCTCAGCGTGCGCGGAAGGATAGGCGGGACGCCCTGGTCCGCTTTTGGCTGGGCATCGAAGGAAGAGGGAGGGCGAGAGACGGGGGAGAGAGTGCCGATGGTTGTCGGGGAGAAGCGGAGGCTTGGCGGCGGGCTTGGGAGGTACGAAAGGGTGTAGGAAGAGGGCTGGGAAGGGTGCTCGTGGTAGTACAGCCCTGGGTAGAGCTTCGATGCGATTGAGAGAGAAGGGGACGAGGAGGACAGTCGGCGAGTGGAGAGAGCGAGGGTGCGCCGTGGCAGGGTGTGCGTGATCGAAAGCATCTTTTAGCCTGCTCTGCGTCTCAACCTGGCAGTCAGAGCGAGGAGGTGAAGGGGAACTCTCGCATCTCTCCCTCCTCCTCATTATCGCGACCCGCTCGAACTCTCGTTCGAGGCGAGCTTGAGACTGGTTGCTTCTGCTGTGACTCGCTGGACTGCGCTGCTCGATGACCACCGCCGGGCTGTCGTACACAGAGTGAGTTCATCTCCCCACCTCGTCCTCATCGTTGGGTGACGACCAGAAGGAGCGGGCACGCCTGGGAGGAAACGCGGATGGCTGCGACACGCTGAGGAGTGTGCAAGAAAGTGCTCGAGAAGACAGGTGAACCGAATGAGCCCGTTGACACTGTTCTCTCCCTCCTCATCCTCGTCCCGGCCACCTCGCACGACCCGCCCGCTCTACCCCTTTCCCAGCACAAACGCAGCGTACTCGGCCTCCCTCGCATCGGCACTCTCGCATTTCCAGTCTCTCCTCTCGAACCCGCACTCGAAGAGCTGGAAACCTGTCTCGCCTGTCCCCTCTGCGTCCGGTTCGGGGTCAGCAGGCTCGGCCAATGCTGGAGCGAATGGAGCGGGACCAGGATTGAATGGACGCACGAGCGAGGCGGGGCTGAGTACGACGACGAGTCCTGGTGGTGCAGCGGGAGCGAAGGGCAAGGCGCGAGCGACGCCTGCTTCGACGTCCGTCGCTTCCTCGCTCGTCAACGGTCTGGCCGCGCTCGACCCGTCGCAGGTCAGGGTGCACAAGAAGGCGGACAGGCAGAGGAATGCTGAGATCGTCAGGGCTATCGCAGAGGTCCCGTGCGATCCGGATGCGGTTGACCTCGAGGCGGTTAGGGCGGTGTTGGCGACGCCGGAAGTGAGGGCACACTGTGAGTTGTTGAGTCGCTCATACGCTGTCCCAAGCCCTACCGGCGAAGGCCTGGCCTACTTGCGATCCGCAGCTTACTCACTCCTCGTTGCGCAGGGGACAAACTGGTCGACTCGTCGCATTCGCTTTCCCTCATCGATCCTCTGACCCGTATCACGAAGACCGACTACCGACTCGGCTGGCCCGCATCTCCTCGCGACACGATCACCATCTCTCGGACCTTCGACTCGCCTGACTCGTCCTCCCTCATTGACCTGTCAACGAGCCTCCCTCGCGCAGCAGACGAGCCTGCGTTCCTTCGACCGGCGCCGCCCTTCGTGAGGGCGAATGTGCACCTCATGGCGTGGTGTGTGCAGGTCTTGCCGCCTACTGCTGCTCCGTCACCTTCGCTCGGCTCGGCACTCTCGACGTCTCCCTCGTCTCTCGCCTCGACCTCATCATTCCCTCGACATCAGGCTCAGCAGCAGCATCGCCTCCGCCTCACCCTCTTCTGGCAATGGTCTCTCCGCCTTCCTACCGCTCTCTCCTCATCCTCCTCTTCCACATCCTCGCCAACAACCACGCACATCGCCCCGCTCCTCTCGTCTTTCATTAACTACCTCCGTTCGCCCGTGGGTACGAGCATGCCGCTCGTAAGAGGTTACGGGCGGGGAGTTGAGCTGAATAGGGACGAGTGGGACGTCCAGGCGGAGATGCGGAGCGTCGAGTATGCTGTTGTTTACGTTGGAGGGAGCGGCGAGCCAGATACGCATGACGCCGAGGAAGGAGAAGAGGCGGTCGGAGGAAATTTGCAGGGGCTGGATGAGCTCGTGAGGCGAAGAGAGCGGGTCAGGCTGGAGCGCAGTGTCGAGTTGAGCTTGCCGCCGCTCGGGACGCTCGACTCCACGGACCCAGGCGGCTCGGCAGATGGATGGGATGTGCGGGTGGCAGTCAAGTCGCTCGGTGGGCCGTCGACCGCCTCGACACCTCTCGAAGGACCGACCTCATCCGAGCCTTCTGAACCGCCCTATACGCTCTCACTCTCCGCACTTACCGCCTCTTCTTCCTCCGCTTCTCCTCGCCTCACGCTTCGCCTCTCGCATCCGCCTCTTCGCTCGCCTTCCCACCTCCTTCGCGTTACCCTGACAGTCCAGCGACTAGCTGCAGGACGGTGTGTGCGGGTGAACGGTGAGAAGAAGGAGATTGAGCGGGTGGAAGGGCGTGACCTGAGCAGGACGAGAGGGAAGTGGGAGTTTGGCGCGGAGGGAAGGGCGAGCGATGAGGCCGCTTCTTCGATCACAAGCGACGCAGGCTCGGTGATTGACCACGACGCAGACAACGCCGCTCCAGCTCCCGGTGAATCATCCGTCTCGATACGAACAGCCTCCGCCGCTTCTCCCTCGACCCAAATCGCCTCCCTTCTTCGCCGTTCCTACATCTACTTCCTCTCGCTCCTTCAAGAACCACCTGCGAAGTGGCGACACGTCTCCGACTCCCAAGGCGTCACCGTCACGCAGCTCCTCTCGCCCGACCCGACTTTGACGATCTACCGCGCCGAAGCGGTGTTCGTCGGCGTCGGCGTCTGGGACGTCTTTGCGACCGTCGTCACGCCTGGTGTGAGGAAGACTTGGGACAAGGGTGTCGAGGAGGCGGTGCTGGTGGCGGACGAGGAGAATGGGGCGGGCGTCGGCGAGCTGAGCGAGGTCTGGTGGGAAAGGAGGAAGGGACAGTGGCCTGTCGCGTGCGCCTTTGTCATTTCCAAGCTTTCTTGCCGCGTGGAGCTGACCGTTCCGCTTCTGCCTCAGCCCGCGAGACTCCGTCCTCCTCCGCACGGCATACAAGTCGCCTTCTTCCGTCCACATCTTCTCCTCCTCGACCGACGATACCTCCCTCTTCCCGTCGATCCCTCCCGCCGCAGCCGGCACGATCCGCACGCAGACCGACCTGTACGGCTGGTCAATCGAAGCTCTCTCGCCCACTACGACGCAGATTACGCTTCTCGACCAGTCCGATCCGAAGGGTTGGAGCAGTAAGAGCTCGTGGACGCCTGGCGCGCTCATCCAGGCTGTCGCAGGCGTCAGGGACTACTCGATTCGTAACGGTGCGCCGCCCGTCGTGACGAGGCTGAGCGGGGGAGGGGTACGGAAGATGGCCGAGGAGTACGATCCCGAGAAGGCGACGCTGCGAGTCGAGTATGCACAGCCTTCGACGACTGCAGTTGATGCGGAGGCGGACTCGGCGCCGATTGAGTGCGAAATCCGGTGCGACGCCTCGACGTGGGCTAGCGGAGGAATCGACGTTGTCGTCGACCCGCCACCGAGCGGTGTCTCGTGCCTCGCTCGCCACCGCCTCAGCGCTGGCGGCGGGCTCTGGCTCACGATTGAGCACGCTCAGAACGTCGTCGCTGAGGAGGGGAAGGTCGTCGTGACTGTGCGGCGCGGAACAAGCGGGCCGGGTGCGGGCGGCCACAAGGACAAGTCGCTTGGCGGTGCGGCGCCGACTACGAGCGTCGTCGTCAACGGTGCGCGAGTCAAGGTTGACGTCGAGGTGCTTGACGAGGAAAAGATCCGCGAGTTGGAGAAGCGGAAGAGGGTCAAGCCGGCGCCCGTCCCGCTCGATCAGTACGAGACGCTCGGTCCGCGACCTGGTCAGCCTGGACAGGCAGCAGTACCCTCCGCTGGGCGCGGCTCGCCCGCAACCGCGATCGCGGCACCGGCATCCGCCGACGATGGGTTGATGGACAAGGCGGCGGGAGAGACAGTCGAGACGGGCGCAGTCGACGACGTCCCCGCAGCAGCAGGTCTCGCCCTAAGCGCGAACGTCGAAACCTCCGCATCGTCAGCGGATGCGCCAGCTGGGCCCGACGCAGGCGCGCCAGTCGTCGCGGCCTCCGAGTTCGCCCCGCCAAAACCGCCGCTCGACCCTCCCGCCTGTGCACTCGAAGCACTCGCCTGGCTACAAACGTTCCACGCCGAACAAGGACCCGAGTTGACGGATCCTGCGCCGGGTTGGTCCATCGTCAGCGAGCGAGGCGGGATCGTCGTCCGCAAGAAGCTCCTGCCGACGGTCTCGGAGACATTCCCCGTCTACCGCGGGGACAAGATCGTGCAGGGCTTGACGGCCGAAGAGATCGCGTCCATCGTGACAAGCGTTGGGTGCCGCAAGGCATGGGACGAGCGGGTCGACAACGCTACGCCTCTCGCGAGTTACGGACACGGCGTGATGACTTGCGCCATCATGACGAAGCCGACGTTTCCCTTCAAGAGTCGTATCTTCTACGTCGCTAGTGTCAGCGCTGCGGTCAAGGTCCCCTCCGCCAGCTCCGGTGCATCGACTTCGACGGTCCTGTTCGTCGCCTCGGCCTCCTACGCGCCGCTCACCGGCACTACCTCCGATCCATTCGACGCCTCGAAGGTCAACCCGACATCGTTCCTCGCTGGCCAAGTCCTGCTCGAGGGCTGGATACTCGAGACCCTCGACCCTTATACGTCCTCCGTCCTCGCGATACCCTCAACACGGTGCACCTACGTCGCCTGCATGGACCAGAAGGGCTCGGTTCCGCTCGCCCTCAACCAGATTCTGAACGCCAACCTCGCTCGCTCGATAAGCAACGTCGAGCAGCTCGGCAAGACGCGCGGTCCGCTCCCGCGACTGTGGGCACCGAGCGCCAGCTTGCAGATCGAAGGCCCGCTCAGCGACGACAGCGACGCCGACTTCGTCTGGAAGCTCTCGCCGCCGACGCTTCCTCCGGCCTCTCCCGTCGCAACAGCTGGTGAATCGAGCGCCGTTGTCACGGTCGACTTCGACCTCGACGATGGGTCTTTCCGCTCGCTCCTCAAGGTTGGCGGGAAGCGGAAGATGCGAGAGGCGTCGGAGGACAGCGAGCTACTGCTCGGTACAGCAGGCTCGAAAGCTGGCGACAAGGTCGTAGGGGCCAAGTCGAAGCCGATGCCGCTGCTCGCGCCATCTCTGCCAGTCGGCACGAGCCTGCTGAAGAGCGAGCTCCCTCGCAGCGCCTCGCTCAACCTTGGAACTGCCGCGCCGCCCATCCTCCAGAAGCCGCCGATTATCTCGGAGCTCTCGCACAAGACGAGTCGCGGATCGATGCGGTCCAAGTCGCCTCCCGCAGCTCCTTCGACCACCACCGCTACTGCAGGAACGACAGCGCCCGTCACGCCAGCAACGAAGACCGGGCCTTCGTCAAGCGTGATCGATCCTGGCGCGCATGACCTGGTCGTCGCCGAATTCGTCGTCGATCTCAAGCAATACCCGCACGGATACGCCGTCACGGCTGTCTCACAGCTTCTGCCGGCTGCCGGAGGGGACGAGCTTCTCTCGCTCGACCCGCTCCCGGCTCGCACGCCGATGACACCGTCCGCCGCGACCCCGCCTACTCAGCTTCCTCTTCGCTGCGTCGCCCATGACGCTCCCCTTCCGTCCATCCTAACAGCCTCGCTCGACGCCTGGAAACGCGCCAACCACCTCGTTCGCGTGTTCGTTCCGACGGGCGCCATGACGCACCCGATCCAGGACCCGCTCCGAGCTGGCGACGAGGCAAGCAAACCTGCTCCGCCCGAGTGGTTCCGCCTTCTCTTCGATGGTCCTGGCGCTCTCGTCGAGATCAAGATTGTCGCTCTGTCCGCACCGAGCCCGGCCGGCGAACGGACCGCCGCGAAGCGACCCAAGGATACGCCTGCGCCGGACAGAGACCTCGCGGGCAAGGTGACTGGACAAGCCGCCAAGCCGGTCATGTTTAACGGCGAGAAGCTGGTCGTGCAGAGCCAGAAGGAGAGCAAGGTCGTGCTGTCGCGTTTCGAGGACGACGAGCTGCCTCTGCAGGGCGCCAGAATCAGTCGGTGTGCCCGATCTTTCGCTCATTGACTCTCCCTCCCGCCGCTGACTGTCTTTCCCTCTGCAGCGGTCCGCCTCGTAAGCAGCGCAAGTCGTCCATCGCGCCCGACGTCGAGCCGGATCGCCCGCCGCCCCAGCTTCTCCCGGCGGAGCTGCAGAAGCCACTCGCCGTCTCTGCTCGCCTTCTCGCCCCGAAGCCGGTGACACCCGTCGTCGATGACTTCGAGTTCCCGGACCCAAAGTCGCCTGGCAACATGACGCCTGCGCTGGAAGAAGCTCGTTCGCCCGTCCTCGGCAGCAAGTCGACGCTCAAGCCTTCCGTGCGTGTCTGCGCTTTCCCGTCGGCTGAGGAGGCCTGCTGATCCGTTACGCTCGCAGTCATCTCGGCGCGATACCGGGACATCCGACACGATCGCTCCAGCAGGACCTCTGCTCAGCCTTCTGGGCAACTACCAGCTCTCCCGGCTCGGCGCGACGATGATGCCGACGGTCGACGTCACTGAGACCTCGCCCGCCGGGGTCGTTGCCGTTCGGCGCACTTACACCCTGTCCTTCGTCCTCTTGGTCGCCCTCATCTCCTTCCTCCTCGGTTCGCTACTGCGCTCTCTCCTGACGCGTGAGTTGGTCCTCGTCCTCTGCATTGGCTCGGCTTGGCTGACCCGCATGTCGCACAGCTGCCGACTACATCATCTACCGCCCAGTCACCTCCGCCCAGCAAGCCGACGTCGAGCACGCGCTGCTCCAAGCCTTCGACCCCGCCCGACGATGGCGCGAGGCTCGTCGTCTCGTCGAGTTGCGCGGGATGCTCGGCTGGGATGTCATCGTTGCGGCAGTCAGGCGGGAGTAGCTACTCTTTCTCGCATCTCTCGACCGCTGTATCGTTTCTCGCACTCCATCTCTGCATAGTCTTCACGATGTCTTGTTGCCATTTAACGCGTTCGCCAGTCTCTTCGTGCTGCGATAAATAGCTTGATTGCGGGACCAAGTGGACGGGAGGAAGAGGCTGCGGATCAAAAGGAAGGTGGGAAGAGGGAGCAATGGTCTGATTGCGTTTGCGGGGGTTGCGAGATGCGGTGTCCGAGCTGACGGGACGAGGGGTATCGGGAAAACTTGGCGAGGAGCTGAGAACTGTCTGCGAGACAGGCTGGTCAGCTTCGTGCGACCATGAGGATGGTAACGGTGGCGCACCTGTCTAGGCGAAGGTGTAGACGGCGCACTCGTCCTTCCTCGGCGCAGTCTGGACTGCACCCTTGCTCTTCCCGTCCGCTCCGCCGAAGACGAAGACCTTCTCCTGGCCCGCCTGTCCGGCGACGAGCGGCCAAGCAGCGTAGCCGCTCGCGTTCGGGTCGCCACTGCGCATGAATGCCGACCAGCGGGTGAAGAGTTCGAGCTGAGCGGTTTGCTGGACGAAGGTAAGGCGTGCGGAGGAGGAGGGGATGCGGAAGAGGAGGGGAAGGTCGTCTTGGTGGCCGACGCGGTCCTTGCAGAGAGTGGGAGTGGAAGCGCCGTTAAACGGAACGCCGATGTCGAACCTGCGAAGTCCAACGGTCAGCCAAGGGAGTTGATGCTGATGCGGGACGGGACGGACTCGGCGAGGAAGACCTTGCCGGCGTTGCTCAACGCCCTTGCGGAGACGGTGTTTGGGCAGGTCCTGGAGCGAGGGCATGTGTCAGAAAGGGAGGACGATGGTAGGCGAGACAGGACGCACCAGACAAAGTCTGTCCCAAGGCGAACAAGCTGCTTCCTGACCGCATCGTCGTCACTGGGGAGCAGCGAGGCATCCCACAAGCCAGACTGATTGATCGCCGCGACTCGGTTTCCGTAGAATATCGCGAGCAATCCTTGTACGGAAGGGTCGTCGAGCGTTTGAGGGTAAGGACCGGCGCCGAAGTACAACCCGAACCTGGTTTCAGACCGTCAGCGACGGGACAAGACCGCAATGAGAAGTGCGCAGACCCACACTTGGTAGATCGTGAGGCACGCCTCGTCCTTGGTTGTCGTGAAGATGAGCTCGCGCGAAGGGTTCTCGAGCTGTCCGCCTGACTGGACGACCTGGCGGAAATCGCGGGTAACGAGCGAGCCGTCGATGCAAGTCTTGAGCGGCTCGGCCATCGCGACGCCTGGGACGGACAAGTTGCCGAGTTGCGCCTGCTGGACGAGCTCGGCCTGCCACTCGAGGATCGAGTCGACGCTAGCGGTCTTGACGCAGACCCAGCCGCGGCAGTGTGCGAAACGGTCTACAAAGGCTGCGCCGACGCCGTTGGCGGTCTCGACAGTCTGGTCGTTGTAGTCGAGCGGGGCGGAGTGCATGATCGCGCGGCGGAAAAGGTTCGCGGCGCAAGGCGTGACGAGGAGGCTCTTGACGATTTCGGCGCCGCTTGACTGGCCGGCAAGAGTGACGGTCGAGGGGTCGCCACCGTACGCCGCGATGTCCGACTGGATGAACTCTGCCAAGCAAGTCGAGGTGAGTTGTGGACCTTCAACCGAGTCTGCGGCAGACGTACTGAGCGCGAGGATGACATCCTTCAGGCCGTAATTGCCCGTGAAGCCATACTTGTCGTACTTCAGCCAACCAAGCGCGCCGAGGCGGTATGAAACGAGCACGACGACGGCGTTCTGCGACTTGGCAAAGGCGGAAGGGTCGAGGTCGGCTGTTCCGCCGCTCATAAAGGAGCCGCCGTGGACCCAAGCGAGGACGGGGAGCTTGCTCGAAGGAGTGGCCGTGCTCGGGGTGTAGATGCTGGAGGACGAGGCGTCGGTCAGTTTCTGTCGTGCAGAGCCCCTGAGGGCAAGCGACGGTACGCACGTCACGTAGAGACAGTCTTCCGAGCCTGTAACCTGACCATTTGCGTCAAGCTGTGCGCACACAGGCGGGAGCTTCGAGGCGTCGAGGCTGAGCGAGCGAGGGGCGTGGCAGGAACGCGGCGAGAGGGCGAGGGAGAGGCTGCGACGGTCAGCGGGTCATTGGAAGGAAGCTTGACGTGAGCGATGGCTGATTTACCTGCTCGCGAAGCTGCCGACGTCGACCGGGTCCTGGAAGCGGTTCGTGCCGACCGGCGGGACGGCGTATGGGACGGTATATCGGTCGACGCCGTTGCCTGAGGCGAGTTGAGAAGGTGGTCAGTGTGCGCGTCGATATCGAAAGATGAGAACGCACTGGAGTAGGCTTGGACGCTTCCTCGAGGCGTCGACAAGGTCTTGGTTGCGTCCCGAGCGATGACGGCGGCGTTGCACGAGCCAGCGAGCAAACCGAGCAGCGCGAAAGAGGTGAAGAAGCGACGGAATGTCATACCTGGCGTCAACGGCGAGGCCAGGACAGAAGGAGAGTGTGAGAAGGAGACAAGGGAAAGAAGGAGCGCTGGACAGGAGTCCTGCTCTTAAGGCCGCTCAGCCAGCTCCAGCGAAGCATGCCCCACTCCGTCGGTGCCAGCGCTGAGACATATCGGCACACAAGGGGAAGCGAGGTGCGAGAGCGGCAGGAGAAGGGGAACAAAGGGAGCGCTCCGTCATGTCCACACGCTGATGGCCGTTCCTGATCCTCCAGCACGCCTGATCCGCCGATAGAGTTGGCCACGAGCCTCCCAGCGGCGCCTGCATCCTTGTTCGTCCGGTCGACGAGAGTTGGCGCTGACGAGGAGAAAGGGGAGCGAGGTGCAACCCGGCGCCCGTGAGTGGGTCCACAGCGTCTTCGTGCGGTTTGTACAGCCTCGCACGGGTAGCAGAGCAGCGCAGAGGACGGCGCCGCAGAGGAGGAGAGGGAAGACAATGCTTCAACCTGTAACGACGTCGTCACTTCGCTTCCTTGTCCTCTTGCTGTACTGGTAGTCACTGCGCTCGCTGCGACTCGCTTGCTCGATGGCTACCCATGCACGGCGCGCTTGCGCTTCCGGGAGCGCCAGCTCCTCGACCTCGTCTGTCGACCCTCTTCCGTCCTCGAATGCTTTGTCCGCTACTGAACGTTCTGCCATCTGCTTGCTTCCCCAAGGCGAGTACGACCCGTGGGAGTACAACGCCAACGTTCTCGAGGCGGCCGCAGGTGACGGCGGAAGCATCAAGTGGGGCGAGTTGTCGAACGCTCCGTACCTCAGGAAGGGTCCTGGCAAGCTCGTGAGGTGGTGCACGCTCGCCGGCGCATCGACTGGCAGGCTCGAGTCGTGCCACCTCGTCCCGGCCGAGCATGGCGAGACCATCGTGCGTTCCCTCCATCTCAGCGTTTTGCAGGCCGCTTACTCTTGTGCGCAGATCAAGGGCCTCGTCGAGGGTAACGCCGTTCCTGCGGGAATGCGCCACGAGGCGCCCGCGAATCGCTTCCCGCGTGCGTCTACTCGCAACCGCTCCCTTTCGCTTGCTCCTGCTGATTCTTCGCATTGCGCGCAGTACGCCACGAGTTCCATCGAGCTCTGGATCACGGCGCACTTCACCTGCTCCCGACTGTCGACGACGTGCTTGCTCGTTTGGCCGGCGAAGTCATGTATTACGAGCAACGCAAAGCCGCCGACCCTGCGAAACGTGCGAACGACTATCCGACTTTCCGGCCGCCCTTCGACCTCTTCTACAGACGCCTGGAGGCCCGCCCGCCCGCCATCCGTTTCCAGTTCACCAACTTGTCAAGCTGGACCCTCGTCTACGCGCGAGATCGCACAACACGCCGTCGCAGCCCTTTCTCCTAGCCCGCACCGCGAACGACTTGACCGAGAATGCGTCTAGCAACAACCTCGCCCTTCTCCCGCCGATCGAGATCTTGTGCTCCCTCAACCTCCTCATCGCCGGCATGAACGGCAGGCTGGCGCAGTCCGAGCCCGTTCCTCTTGCGGTCGTCGAGGAGAGTGAGGTGAGTTTGCCGCTCTTCGCAGCCGGAGTAGGCCATGCTGAGCACCCGATTGCGCAGACGCTCGCTCTCTTCGCCCACCTCCTCTACCGCATCTGGCACCTTCGTGAGGGGGACGAGTCGCACATGGACAGCATCGTCCGAAATGTTCAGCACCTCGTCTCGGCTCTTCTTCCCGACCATCCCCTCGCTCCATACCTCCTGCATCCGACCGACCACTCGATCGACACGCTTCCCCTCCTCCCGCAGCCGAACAACACACTCCGCTCTTCGTCGCATCTCACGGACCCGGCGCAAAGACTCGCACCTGTCGGCGTCGCTGCTGAGACGCAGTCGGTCTCGTCGGACGAGTTGTTGAGCGAGCAGGACCCTGCACTCGGTCTCATCGTCGGAACAGATGTCGAGCGAGCAGGGCGGGTACGGCGGCAGCACCGCAATTGGCAAGGAAGGTGACGGGGTTGGAGGCCGCACAGACGAGCAAGAGCACAACGACTCGGTGCTCTCAAGGGTGCGGGACTGGTTGCCGTCGGTTACGAACGAGGGGATCTCGCCCTGCTGAGGCGTGGCGGAGGTTCTGATTCTCACGCTTCTACGCTTGTTGCCGTAATTGCTGTTCCGTGCGTAAACCCCGTGCTTAGGATTGGCTCAGGATGTCCAATTCGCGACCGCGCCGGGTTGACTCTCTCCGACATCACCTTGCCGGCCTTGCACCGCTCCTCTCCTCGGACAGGTCGCCTTCGCGTCGATCTCTGCACGAACGTCCCTCAACCGAGCAGGCAGACGCTCCTGCATGCCGTCGACCGCCCTCTCGGTTCCCGAGCGCGCGGCCTGAGCGACCGTTTATCCACCTCCTCTCCGAACCGGCCTCCTTCCGACGTCCGTCTGTGCTCGGTCCGCGCGCTAAGTTGATCGACAGGCTGCCTGCCTCATCAGCACGCATGGCAACCGCTCTTGTCCTCCTCGCCTTGCGCGATGTCCAGCGCCAACTACGAAGTCCAGCTGCTGCAGCTTCTGGGATCGCTCAAGCCTGGCGAGAACCCCTACGTCGCGATCGAGGGCTTGGTGCATAGCTACTTGACCCCGCCTGTTCCGTCGAGCTTCCGAACCCAGCTTCTCGCCGTCGCAGCCATCCTAGCCCTGTGCGTCCCTCCCCTCTCTCCTCGCACGTTCTTACTGACCTTTCGCGTTCCGCAGCTGCTTAGCCCTCGTCCTCGCCTCGTTCGGCGTGCGGATCAAGCAGCGCACGTTCTGGCTCGTTCATCGAGGAGAAGCGCCCGACCTCTGGAGGCCTCACTTCTCCGTAACTTGGTCTCTTTGGGCGGCAGTTCTCCTCGTCCGTGCGTCCTCACGCTTTCCTGCGGCGGAGAAACCCGTACTGATGGCTTTCGTCGCGCAGTACTCGAGACTTTGATCTTCGAGACGGTGCGGTTTCTCGATGGACACCCTATGCGGGGCTACATCGGGCTCGCGACGTTCGGAATGGTGAGTCGCGCGCGCTCCTTACTGCTGAACAAGATCGCTTATGAGTTGCAACGGATAGTATCCCGCGTGGTATGGGTAAGCACCGCGTTCTCTCGCTTGACAACTCTTTCGCCCCCTGACACTTACTCACAGAGGGTTCACCGCCGCATGGGGCATCACCGTCTCATTCGCCCTGCACCTACACGCCCTCGGCTTCAACACCCAAATCGACCGCCTCGCACCTCTGATCAACCTGGCCGCCATCGTCTGTCCCGTGATCTACACAGCCGCTATCTTCCCACCCGCCGCACTCGCCACTTCTCACTTCGCCAAGGGCGTCGACCGACTCGCGCAGATCCAGGCTTTCTTGAGGACGAAGGCAGCGACGTATGAAGGGGGATTCAGTATCGCGGATCTGAGTCCGGCTTTCCCGCTTCTCCAGCCGTTGCAGGACGAGTTCAATGGGTTCTTGAAGTGGTTTGGGATTGCGTTTGGCGTGTTTGCGGGATCAGGATGCTTCCTCGTTCCCGTACGTTCTCCCCTCCCCCCTCCTCCTCGCCGTGACTAACGAGTTCAGCGCCCGCAGCTACTCAGCATCATCGCCGCCTTCTACCTCTACTCCCTCCGCCGGGTGCTACAACAAACCGCACGCCTTGGCGCCGAGACTGGCGCGTCGGGATTGTCGCAGACCAAGCTGATGCGGCGGACGTACACCGTGAGTCTCGGCGAATAGACTGTTCGCTGATACGAAGCTCACGTTACGTCGTTCGCAGAACTTGCTCATGACAATCTGCGCGTTCAGCTTCATCGGCGGTTCGTCCTGTTCTCTCAACCTTGAACTGCTTGGACGCTAATCCTCCGTCCGCAGGCATTCTCACCGTCCTCGCGTTCATCATCTGCCGCGACCCGCGCGGCATGCTCCAGCCAATCCGCTCACAAGTCTACACGCTCGTTCCCATGTGCGTCCCCCTCTCATCCTTCCCAACTCGAGCTCACGCCAGTCTCGCAGGTGGTGTTTCGCGATCCTCGGTCTGCCAACCGCCATCCTACTCTTCGTTCGCTCATTCGACACCGCCTCCCTCCATCCCACAACCAGCCTCGTCTCAGTCTGCGGCGTCTCCTTCTCGCACACCTCCGCCGCAGACGGACCACTCCCTCCTCTTCCTGCGCCGGCGGATCCGCAGCTCGTACCATATGCGCTGGCAAGACAGGCGCTCAACGTGCCTTTGCCGCAGGAGTTTGAGCTTGTCAAGCGCGGAGGGGAGAAGAGGGATTCGGGCGCCGAGGGGTCGATTGACTCGTACGGGGAGTCGAAGGACGGCGTGTACGCCTGCCCAACCGACGACGAGCACTCGAACGACGACGCCCGAAGAAATGACACCGTCTCGCCCGTCTCGGACACTACGAACCACGCCTCGCTCGCTTCCCGCCGCGGCGCCCGCCCACTCAGCGCGCTCAGTCTCGCCTCCTCCATCCAAGCACAGCGCGACACGCCTGCGGTGTACTTATTCGACTTGGGAAGGAGGCCAGGGACGGGGAGGAGCGAGGCGCAGACACCATTGACGGGACAGAGCGAGGTGTGCGCGAGGACGGAGAGCGATGCGGTGGAGACGAGGACGTGGAGGTGACAGAGACTGTAACTTCGTCAAGAGGAGGAGTGTAATACGCAATCAATAGTTGTGTCTCCGTCACTTTGTCGTCGAGGTGTTCGAGGAAGAGAACGGACTTTCGTTCGCTGCTCTCCTCGTCGCCCTTCGTTCATCATCACAGTGTATACTCTACTGCACGCTGTTACAGTCCTCCTTAGCCGTGTTCCCAAATAGCCCTCGACCCCGCTCCGTCCAGCTATTCTCGCTCTTCGCTCGCCAGCTATTCCCGGCTCAGACTCGTCGAGGTGCGCTGCCGTGTCCTCGTCGTCCAGCGTCTCGACGCGTGCTGACTGTCGCACCCACTCGCTCGCTCACCTTCACCCTCGCTCACGCCGTCCCCCGACCGAACCTGTCCTCGACCTCGTGCACCGTCCATCTCGCTTTGCACCCGACTGCTGCTGGTTCGTGAACCTCCCAGGGCCCCATAGCAGCCTATCAAAGACCACACGAACCCGTCTGACCCGCCAGCGACGCGCACGACGACCCCCTTGTCTTCATCAACGAACGCTCAAATCGGATCGACCGCGGCACTCTTGCCTCGCACCAGAAGGACCGCTGAAGGCACAACTGCTCCACGAGGGTATATCGCAGCACCGTCCGTCTCCCGCCGACCAGCAACGAGCGCCTCTGTCGCCTGTTGCGACCCGCATACATCTCGCCTCTTCCGCCGGACTCGCTCATCTCGAGGCCGTCGTACGCGGTCCAGACGCGCAGGATACTTTCAAGAGAATCTTGTGAGGTTCTCGGTGCGTGGCCTCTTTATGGGCCGTATGGGGGTCACTACGGTTGGCGAAAGAGCAGGTTGAGCGGATTGTCAACTAACTCTCTCGCGTTTTCTTCCTGTATTGCAGCTTCTCCCTCTTCGTCCTGAACGCTCACCTCAATCTACTGCCAACCGTCGGGCGCGCCCCTCCTCCTCGTTCCCAATCCCGCACCTTTGCCTCCTTCCCTCCGACTTCTCCCTGATCCACCCCGCCCTCCTCCCGCTCCTTCTACCGCCCAACCTCCACAATGGGCCGCCGCAAGATCTCGATTGCGCCAATCAAAGACGACCGCAACCGCCAAGTGACCTTCCTCAAGCGCAAGAACGGCCTCTTCAAAAAGGCTTACGAGCTGGGCGTCTTGTGCTCGGCGGACGTGGCGGTCATCGTCTTCAATGCGAATGGGAAGCTCTTCGAGTGCGTTGTGATGCTCGATGAACTAGGAGGGAATGAGCTGATTGGTTTGTGGTGGACGAGCAGGTTCCACTCGGGCGACATGGACGCCATCTTGCTCAAGTACTCTCACGTGCGTCTCCCAATATACAAGCGTCCTTGGTCTCGCTCACAGCGTTATTGCGCAGTATGCCGGCCCGCCGCACGAGAAGCGCGGCCCGGAGGACTACGTCAACAAGGACCTCGACGCCGCGACGAAGCGCGGTCTCGGGGGCAAGATGACCAACATGACGGACGATGACGACGATGACGACGACGACGAGAAGCCGCTCGTCGCGACGGGCAGCTCGGGCGTGCGGATGCTCCCACAGGCGAGTCGGGGGAAACAGGCTATTCGGGCGGCGGCGGAGAGGAAGGCCAAGGAGGCGGAGAGGAGTAGGGGGCCTAGTGAGGAGGTTGGAGGGCCAGAGGCGTCGGGCAGCAGGTCGGGATCTTTTGCGGGTCAGGGGGCGGGTCCTCCGCACGACACGCTGCCGAACTTGAACGGCCTGCCTCAACCCCCGCCTTCCGCCCAGCAACCGCCTCAGCTCCCGCACCTTCCGTCTCTCGGTTTCGCCTCGAACGCTGCCGGTCTTCCCTCCCTCACATCGCAACAACCCGGACTCCCTCAACCCTACGCCAGCGCAATGCCCTTCGGCGTCTCAGCTTCTCCGATCGCCCTTCCCTCCTGGGCAGCCGCAGCCGCCGGTCTCACCGTACCACCAGTCGGCTTCAGCCTCCCCGCCGGCGTAGCAGGCTGGCCCGCTCCGTCCTTATCCTCCGGACAGCCCTCCTCGGCGAACGCAGGCGCAGGCGGCGTTCCGGCGTGGTTCGCAGGCGGAGGGGCGATGCAGATGTCGGGTGCGCAGGCGTTGGGTGGACAACTTGTGCAGGCGCCGCTGCATTTGCTGCAGCAGATTGGCGGAGTACCGGGATGGCCGCCTGGAGCGGCGGGGATGCTGGATCCGAACGTAGCGCTTCAGGCGTTCCAGCAGCAGCAACAGCAACAACAGCAGCAGCAGCAGCATCAGTCCGGCTACCACGATGGAGCTCGACCGCAGTCGGGTCCTGCGACTCAGCCGACGCCCGCACCGATGTACGGTACTCCCGCCTCGATGCCTCCTCCTCCCGCAACGCAGCACAACACCCCGCCCGTGTACGCCGAGCAATCGCACCACGAGACTCCCCGTCCCTCCAGCGTCGCATCGATGGCCTCGCACTCGCAGTCGCAGAACACGATGTCCCCCGCGACCCACTCGACTCCTCACCTAGGCCATGCGCAGCCCAGCGCTCCGACGAGGAGTAACTCGCTCAACGCGGGATCGAAACCGAGGTTGTCGGTGGCGATTCCCGCAGAGACGGCCAAGCCTGGGTTGGTGACGGCTGGAGGGGCGTCAATTCTTGGGGCGGGTCTTGCGGCGCGGGGAGGGCAGGCAGAGGGTCAGACGCAAGTACAGCCAACGCAGGAGGCTACCGAGGTGCGTTTGCGCTACACCGCCTCATCAAGTCGGGTTCTCGCTGATGCATCGAACTTCAAGCAGAACAACGGCATGCCCCGATCCGCTTTCGCAGCCGACCTCCTCCCCTCTCCCTTCTACCCAAACCCGATTCTCCCCGGTTTCGGCGCGACCTTCCTCCTCCCCTCCGCCGGCCCTGCGACGACCCAAGTCTTCCAATGGCCATCGGCCGTCTCCTCCGCGCCTCCTCCACCCGCCGCAGCAGATCAGCAGAATTATCGACCCGCCCCGATGCTCGGCGAGGCGGAAGCGCCTGATCTCTTGCGCCGCAGGTCTTCGGAGCAGTCGACGAACGGGCTGGCGGATCTGACGCAGGCTGCGGCGGCTCTCGAAGGAGATGCGCGTACGAGAGGTGTCAAGCGCGGATCGAGGGACGAGGAGCGCGATGATGGAGGTGCGGGAGGAGGCGAGGAGGGGGAAGAGGGAGACGAGGCCGGTGCGAAGAAGCACCGCGCTGCGTGATCTGGGTACCCTGGTTTGGTCTGTGCAGCTTGTTGTATCGTTCTCTGCAGACACTCATTTTCGAAGAGATCGCCTCTTGCAGCTCTCGCCGAGAGGCGAAGAGGGTACAATGGGTCGTCTTATGTTACAGGCATGCGATCCGAGGGTCTAAACGAGTGTGGGTGAGCAGTGTATCCCGCTCAGACATGACATAGGTGAGAGAAGGCCAGCTAGACGGCCAGATCGCCTCGTCTCCTCTCCAGCTCCGGCTTCTCGTCGAACTCCGCCTCGTCTTCCACAACGACGTCCACGTCCACCGTCACGCTGACGCTGCCATCCCAGTAGACACCTCCTCTGTCGACGCTGCCTCCCCTCAGCCAGTCCCGTCGACTTGCCCCGCCGCTCGAGTCGGTCGCCGCGTTCGCAACCGACGGCATCGACGCCAGCTGGATCGAGAACTCGTTCTCCTTCGCTCCGCTCGCTCCTGCTGGACCGAACCGAATCTTCTTCTTGATCCCGCCGCTCCCCGAGGAGCTGCTGTCCTTGTTATTCCCGCTCGTTCCCTCGGTAGTCGCTTCCTCGGCCGCGTTCGCGTCGTGCGCGCGGAGGACGAGGATGACGGCGCAGGGAAGGCCGAAGACGGCGAATGCGTAGAAAGGGAGGAGGACGATTAGTTGAGAGCGGACGGGCGAGGTGATGAGCGATTCGGGGGACGCGGCGCCGTAGATCGCAACGGCGAAGAAGAGGAAGCCGAGGATGGAGAAGAGGAGGATGGTGAGGAGGAGGGACTGTTGAGGCGACTTCGTCAGGCAAGAGCGTGCATGGCGGAAGAAGGAGCTGCACCCGAAGAGTCTGTTCGACCCGCTTGTGCTGCAGCCGGCGGCTCATGCTCATCGAAGCGTTGGGGCCTTGCAGGTTCGGCGCGTTCTGACGAGTGCTCTGGAGCAGGCGACGGAGCGAGGACAGGTGGACGTAGGCGATCGAAACGAGCCCCTGCGGAGTTGCGAAGGTTAGCGCGAGAAGGGTTGAGTAAGCAGTGAGAATGCCCCGCACCATTGTGAGCAACAAGGCAGTGACACCGTAGAAGATGAATGTCGGCTTGAACCACTTGAGAAAGACCTCAAAGTGGTCGACCATCTTCTGGAAGAGCGGCAGCATAGGCGCCAACTCGAAGGGACTGAAGGCGTCGCCTTGTTTCCACAGCGCAGCTTTGGCCATCAGCTGCTTGTCAATCGCTTGGAAGACCTCGATGGCGTCCGAGTAGCCGCGACCCGCGAGACAGGCAAACGGTAGGAGTATCGACAAATAGCATATCGGGACGACGACTGCACCGACGTTCGAGATCATGGCGAGGTGTTCGACCGAGCGTTGAGCAGTCGCCTGAATGTGCAGGATGTACGAGACGCCGAGCGACCACGCTGCGGCGCTGCCTCCAAGCCAGGCGACGAACCTGCGAAAGGCGGAAGTTAGCCAGGCTTGCAGGTTTTTGCAGGTTTTTGCAAGGAGCCTGACACACCAGACGAGTAAGAAGACGTATCCGAAGGCCTTGTTCGTCTCTTTGCGGTAGAACTGGACGGCATGGACGATGACCACTTCGAACACTGCACCGGAGCCCGGAGGAAGGTCAGCCGGGGCGGAGCATCCAGCGCGGAAGAAACGCGGACGAACGAACGAGCATTACGAAAGCGATGAGCGACCAGCTGATGCTCCAGTGGGGTCGAATCATGCGCGGCTGCTGCTGCATTCGAACGACCCAGAAGATGCCCTTCGCCCACCGCAGGACCAGCGACGCGAGCACGAGAAGCGCGGTACTGCGTCACAAGTCGGGACAGTGTTAGTATAGTCCATATGATACGAGGGAAGGGCGGACGTGCGCTCCGAGTCCGGCCGCGACTAGGTAGAGTTGGTAGATGGCGCTGTCGGGAACGGTTGGGAAGAGCTTGTCGCGCAAGGCAGCGGCAATGGCGAGATACGGGTTCTGGTCTTTGGGCAGATGGCTCAGCTGGTCGAGCAGCTCCGCCTCAGCGGCAGCAGCGAGCGACATGATCTGGAGGAACCGGTCAGTCAGCGAAAGGTCCGCTGTGACGGGAGGCAATCTGCGTACAGGTCGTGGTAGGATCGAGCAAACAGAGATGGTTGTTGGCACAGAGCGAAGCAAGAAGAGACCGGCGTCAGCAGGGCGGCTGGGAGTCCGAATCCTCGTCGGAGACGCACGATCTGCAAGTGCAGCTCCGTCCGCATGGACGATCGCCTGAAGAGGTCCGTACGGACATGCATTGGGCTCAAGCGCCGGTGAACGAAGGGCTCGTCCTCCCATTGACTGCTGGGGAATCTCGAAGGGTTCGTCGAGGTCCCTTTGTCCGTCGGATCGCCTCCCCTCCGACTGGCGATCCTACCTGAAGGCGGCTCGTGGCCGGTCTCAACAGTTTGCCCGTCTCGTCCAGCGCAGAAGCGTCCATTGATGAGAGGTTCGAGAGCAGAAGGAGCGGCGAAGGTCCGGCGACAAGCACTGAGCGGGATGGAGCGGGGACAAGCCGAGTCGGTCTCTGGTGCCCACTAGGCCGTACTTGGCGGATTAGCAAAGCGCTTCAGCCGGTGGGCTTGATGAGAGGGGTGGTCGAGGCGAGGAAAAGCGAGTTGGCGAAGTCGCGCAGGACCACGCCAGATCCACTCGCTCGAAAGGCTGGCCAGAGTGCTTGTGTAGTTGCTAGGACTGCCCGCAGGCCAACCAAGTCGCCCAGCGCCGCCAAGAACTTCTTTCTCCTCGACTCGCCATCTTGATCAAGGACTCAAACGCGAGGACGACAACAACACCACGCGGAGGGCTCAGAAGGCATTGTACAGGTGCGTACAGGGCTTTGCGTGGGTCTACGCAGGGTACTGGGCTTGTCGGGCGGAGGAGTGAGGCGGCCTTCGACTTCATCAGCTTACGCCCCTCCGTTGTTTGTTCGCAGCTAGACCTCGCGACAGGCAGCTCAGGTCGATCCACAAAGTCGCCAGTGCTCGTCAGAACCTCTCGCCTGCCCGTTGCGCGCCCCACGACTAGCCTCGGCGTGTGTCCTCTTCACCCTTGCGCTTTCTCCCTCTTCCTCGCCTCTCCCGCCTCATCACTCTCGCACAACTCTCGAACGCCGCTAGACTAGCGCCAAGCCGTCATCATGATCTGCACATCCTGCGGCGAGGACTCGGTGCTCGAGATGACCGAGCACGCCCAGACGGTCTGCACTCGCTGCGGCACGGTCCTGTCGGAGAATGCGATTGTCAGCGAGATCCAGTTCGGTGAGACGGGAAGCGGTGCGGCGATGGTCCAGGGTAGCTACGTTGGAGCGGATCAGAGTGCGTTGCAGTCCTTTCATCCCGTTTGGGGTGGAGGCAATCGCTTGTTCTCCTCTCCGTTGATTGCGTGGACGTGTTCGCTGACCCAGCTTTCACCCGCAACAGCCCGCGCACGCGCTCCCGGTGGCTTCCGCCAGCGAGGCGTCCAGAGTCAGGAATCGAGGGAGCAGACGCTTGCCAACGGTTCGTCTCCTTCACCTCCGCATGCCTCGCTTCGTTCCGCTGACCCGCTTCTTCCAGGTCGGCGACGAATCATGGAGCTCGCAACCGGTCTACGCCTCAGCGAGCATCTTCAGAACGTCGCAACCCGGTTCTTCAACCTCGCCGTCAACATGAGTTTCACCAAGGGTCGCAGGACGCAGTATGTCGCGGCAGCGTGCCTGTACGCTGCATGCAGGCAAGCGAACGGCACGCAGATGCTCATCGACTTTTCGGATTTGCTCGAGGTACGTTCGGTCCACCCATCTTGCATGGCTCTCTCGCTGACTCGCTCGTCCTCGCAGATCAACGTCTTCGTCCTCGGCTCGACATATCTCAAGCTCGTCCGCCAGCTCAACATCAACATCCCCGTCGTCGACCCCGTCATCTACATCACCCGCTTCGCCGCCCTCCTCGACTTCGGCGAAGAGACGCAGAAAGTTGCGCTCGATGCGACTCGCCTCGTCAACCGCATGGGCCGCGACTGGATGCAGATCGGTCGTCGTCCGTCCGGCATCTGCGGCGCGTGCTTGCTCCTCGCTGCGCGGATGAACAACTTCCGCCGCAGTATCGAGGAGGTTGTCCAGGTCGTCAAGATTGCGGATGTGACGTTGAGGAAACGACTCGCCGAGTTCAAGGAGACGGCGAGCGGGAACTTGACTGTGTCGGATTTCCGCTCGATCTGGCTCGAGGAGACGCACGACCCGCCTGCGTACGCCGTCGGGCTCAAGAAGGAGGAAGAGGCGCGCAAGGAGCAGGCGAGGAAGATGCGCGAGGACTCGATTGCGGCGAGTGAGACGGACAGTGTGGTTGGCGACAGGGCGTTCCGCGAGTTGGCGGAGCGGGAGGCGACGGCTGATGCGGAGGACGACATCGCTTCTTCCTCGCCGGTCAGGGAGCGTGCGCGCGGCAAGGAGAACGAGATGGAAGTCGAGGGCGCGATGCTGCCTCCGCCGAAACCGTCGGCCAAGGCGCTCGGCAAGCGAAAACGCGTCGAGCCTGAGGAGGAGGAGGAAGGCGGCGCTCCTTTGTCCGATGCCGCTTCTGAGCGGGAAGACGTTGCGGAGGACCTGCTCGAGGGCGACGGGCACGAGCAGTACGATGCGGTCATCGAGGTCGAGCTGCAGAACTATCTCGGCTCGAACGTCGGCGTCAAGCTCTCTCACGAGCTCGAGTCGCAGGAGCAGCAACGGCGCGCCAAAATCTCACAGTCGCCGGCCTACGAGCTCGATACGAACGACAGCCTCGAAGGGCTCGACGAGGAGGAGCTCGACGCGTTCATCTGTACCGAGGAAGAGGTGCAGATCAAGGCCAAGCTGTGGATGGAGCACAACAAGGAGTACCTCAAGGAGTTGGCCGAGAAACAGACAGGTCCAGATGGCGAGCTCAAGCCAATCAACAAGCGTCCGGTGCGTCACGCGGTCCCGCTCCAGCTTTGCGAGAAGCCTGACTGACGCTTTCGCTTGGGTCCGCAGCGGAAGAAAACAAAGCCTCGCGACGGCGCGAACCCGACGGGCTTGACAGCTGCCGATGCGACGACCAAGATGCTCGAGAAGAAGAAGTTCTCGAAGAAGATCAACTACGATGCCATCAAGAACCTCTTTGCATCGGGCGACTCGGACGCCGGCTCGACGTACGGCGGCGACGACGACGAGGGCGACACCCCGCTCATCGGTCAGACCTACGGCCGCAAGGGCAGCCGCGTCGGGACGCCTATCGTCACACCTGAGCCAACTTGGCGGCAGGGCAGCCGTGCGCCGAGCGAGGCGCCGTCCGTCGGTGGTAGGAGCGCTCTCAGTCGCGAGGTCGCGAACGCTGCGCACGATGACGAGGGCGAGGAGGAGGACCACGAGCCGGAGCAGCGCGAGGAGGACGACGAGGGTTGGCGGTCGCAGTTTGCGACGCAGGCCGAGGGCGACGAGGAGGAGTTCGGATACGACGAGGTGTGAGTGGGAGGCACGCTTCGACTGGTGTTGTACGGGTAGACTAGCTTCGCTTCGTTTGTCAACCATGTTGCCGTTGTCCATCCTCGAGGAGGCGAAGGTCGGCTTTTTTCGTCGCCCGCCTCTCGCATGCATGTCTGTGCTCTCTACAAAGCCTCAGCAGTAGTATCAAGTGATTTGTCGGCGCTCTTACGGCTGCTCGACGAGGACCTTCACGCCGGTCTCCCTTGGAACGATGACGCCGTTGCTGGTCTGCCTTCACTCAACTCGCTCTCTCGCTTCGCACAGCTCGTGAACAATTCAGACATGGTTAGCGTGGCTCACTCGAGCTTGTGCGACTTGCGCTGACCCGCCGCTCGCTCTCCTCTCTTCCCCCGACCCTTGCATCGCCTCATCAATCTACATCGCTTTTCCCGCCCTCACAGCAGAACAACTCGACCCAGATCCCGCCAGAAGGTGCTCAGGGTGGCCATTTCAAGTGCGTGATGGTCCGTCTGGCTTCCGAGGGCTGTTGCGGACTTCCGGGGCAGAGGAAGATGAGGCGGTTCGAGTGGGTGCAGGAGAGAGACGGTGGAGCGAGGATGGGCTAGTCGGGAGATGCAAGGGGTGGTAGGAGCTCAAGAAGGCGCTTGCAGGCCAACCGAACGTAGCTGACTTTTCTCGTCTCTCTGCCCCTCGTCGCCTCTTTTCGCTTCCTCTCGCTCCCAGCCAAATTACCCAGCGCTGGGAGATGCCAAACGAACGTCCCGAGATCGCAAGCAGTCAGGGCGCCTCGACAATGCCTGATGCGGACGGCAGTAAGTGCCCTTTCTCCTTTCGCTCGCTCGTCCGGCTCACCCCCCCCCCCCCCCCCCCCCC